GCGTAGCACCACGTTATTGTCAGCAGATAAAAGCCTCACAGAAGTACTTGCAGCCTTTGGAGACTATTGCAACCCTCCCAAAACTGAGACAGTGGACCGTTACAAATTTTCCACCAGAAATCAAGAGGCTGGTGAAGCATGTGATGCATTTCTGATGGAGCTGAAAGTGTTAGCTGCAAATTTGGTGACCTACAGGATTCGCTAATCAGAGATCGTATCATTTGTGGAATCAACAGCTCGGTGCTAAGAGAATGGTTGTTGAGACAAACTGAATTGGACTTGGATAAATGTGTGAAACCATGTCAGGCATCTGAGTTGTCCAAGGCCAACATGAGCATTCTCGATGGACAATCAGCTGTTCATGCAATGAGGCAGACGCCGATTCCTGACATGTCGATTCAGAAGAGGCCTTAAGATGACAGAGACATGAAACGTCCTTGTAAGTGCCACAGGCTAAATCATTTTGCCAGAATGTGCAAGTCCCAACAGCCCAGACAAATGAAAAGCCAAAAGAAATCAGTACATGAAATGACAGATGAACCAGGTGGGCATACTGAATTCTTTGTTGAGGTTGTCCATGCAGGAGATGATGATGGAGATTGGATGGTTGATCTGAAATTGAATGACAGAAAGCTGCGTTTCAAGTTGGATACTGGGGCACAGTGCAATATTATAAGTTCATCTGTTCGGAGCCATGTCATCTCCAAGTTGTGCTGGATTTGCATTTAGTCCAGGTTAGGCCCCATAGGAAAGGGCTCGAACATTGTTTTTTTATATATACAATGTTTTTGATGGATTTTGTCAATTCGAGGGTGCTGATTCCAAATCCGATCAGTGCCAGGCGTAAAACCTTGAGCATTTCTCGTAAAATGCGAAAAACTCAAAATGGCCGCCAACATGGCCGTGGAATCATGAAAACACTCATTATTTGACCATTCAACAGCTAGGTTATTTGATGTTTTCTTGTCAATTCGAGGCAGATGTAATAATGACTTACCACATGATAAAGGAGGCTGAGAATGGTCACTCACCTATCAAAATTGTGTGCAATGACACAGATATTATGTTCATTCTTGCACACCATCTACATTTCAAACTAATGGCCCATGGAATCAAAATTTCACACTGGAGCAGTCATAGATATCAATGAGGTTATCAAGAAACACAAGAAAATCATCTCCAATCTACTTGGAGCCCATGCATTGACTGGATGTGACACCGTTTCCTGTTTATATGGAGTAGGAAAGGCTTCTGCACTGAAGAATTAGGAGCTAGCTATCCTAATTCTCTACTCCTTGGGAATACTGAAACCCCTCTCACTGAAGTAATAGAATCCTACTTGTCATACATGGCATCTCTGTAAGGAGAAGAACCAAATAATTCTCTTGACACAATGGGAAGGATCATTTTTGCAAGGAAGGCTGGTGGCAAGCGCCTATAGTCCTTCCCAAATTGATGAGTTTCTTAATTCTTATCATCATGGTGTACAAGGTCAACAGAATTTCCTAATGACAAGCAGCCTACATCACATGATGACCAAAACGTAGCTATTCGAAGGATCACCAATGAGAAGGTATCAAATTTTTTGCTTTCATATAGTTATGAGGAATTGGCAAAACTGCAGGAAGAGGATGAAGGCTTGAAGGAAATACTTCACCTGAAGAAAGCGAGAAACCCTGGACCAGAGCCAGGTGCCAGAGTGACAGATTTGCATGGACGGCTACGGGAGTATGCAAGCTATGAGATGTACCATGATGTGCTGTATATTCGAGAAGTAGAGGACCCAGTGTTGGGCAAGATTCAACAGTTGCTTGTACCTAGAGTGTTGAGAGAGACAATGCTAGAGATGAAGCATGACAAATGGGGTCACCAGGGAGTTGACAGGACCCTGAACTTGTTACGAGAACGATGTTATTGGCCTGGAATGACACGAGAAGCAAGAAGGTACATCAAGAAGGGCTTTAGATGCATCACTTCAAAATTGCCTACACCTACGGTTCACCCTCCACAACGGCATTTGATTGCGTTTAAACCTCTAGAGATTGTAGCTGTGGACTTCTTGAAGCTTGACAGAGAAAGAGGAGGAAAAAGAAGATGTATTGGTAATCACTGATGCGTTCAGCAAGTTTTGCCAAGCCATCCCATGCAAGGATCAAACAGCTGTTATGGTAGCAAAGGTGTTACGAGATGCTCGGTTCACATGGTACGGTATACCGTTGAGAATTCACTCAGATCAAGGACGGTCCTTCGAGTGCACCCTCGTGGCGGAGCTTTGTAAGTTGTACAACATACAAAAGTCACGGACGACATGGAGTGAGTGTTGACCAAGGCAAGGTGGAGAAGATTCAGACGTGGCCGCAACCCTTAGAATTGGAGAGAAGTGAGTTCCTTTCTTGGGATGGCATCCTATTACCGTCTATTCATTGATGGTTTTTCTCGCATAGCTGGCCCTTTGCACCAAGTCGCTGCAAAAGGGAAAGGAAGCAAGACTGAGTTTGCGTGGGGAACGACACAAGAAGAGGCCATCAAGATTTTGAAGTCAAAGCTTAACAGTGCACCAATCTTAGCGTATCCGAAGTTTGATGAGGAGTTTGTTCTGGATGTGGATGCTTCCAAGAAGGGAATCGGTGCTTGCTTGATGCAGAAAGGAGATGATGGTAGGATACACCCTATTGCTTATGCCAGTAGAAGTCTGCGAGGTTCAGAGAAGAACTACCCCGATTTCAGTAGCATAGTGTTGACGGATCATAAACCGCTGAAGTATCTGTCTACAGCAAAGTTGGGAGCTACAGAGTTCCGATGGGTTGCCCATCTGGCACATCAATTCCAAGATGTGGATGAAAATATCCGTTCAAGTCATCGAAAAGTGCAGGTCGTCCAAAATCTGTGCTGAGTTATTGGAAAAGGGGCACAGTCTGACTCTTGATCAGTTTCTAAACAATTGCATCCACGACCGAAACAACAAGGAGCCAGATGAGGCAGATGAATGCAGCAGGTGGACGAGAGCGTGATCCAGGAGGCATCCATGCTGTGACAGCGAGGCAGGAACCAACAACCTACTCAAGGCGAGATGGTCAACTACAAGAGCGCAGTGCTACGTGGGTAAGCAGTGAGGTGCTGCAGGAGGAAGCATCACAAAGGAAGGGGAGATGATCGAGTCTAACAAGGAAGAACTCACAAGGGTTAAGTGATTTGAACTTTTGAACAGTAAACATTCAACAAAGAGCCACTTGAACTGTCAAAAAAAGACTTGGTTATATGGACTCCAGTAAGCAGTTGACGAGGCGGCCAACGATATGTCGGGTGGCGGTCCTGTCAACCATGAGGCAGCCCAAGACCCTCACGAGGACCACCGAACGATACATCACAAAGGAAGGGGAGATGATAGAGTCTATCAAGGAAGAATTCACAAGGGTTAAGAGATTTAAACTTTTGAACAGTGAACATTCAACAAAGAGCCACTTGAACTGTCAAAAAAGGACTTGGTTATATGGACTCCAGTTTTGACTCGCTTTGACAAAATGCCTTGATTTTGTTATTGTTGCACAGTGTATATAAGTTTAGTATTAGTTCGTTGTAACCTAAACAAGCTGTCACAAAAGTTATGACAAATTTAGATATTTCTGTGAGTGTTTGTTCATGTATAGTTTGGTTTTGAAAAGTGTTCTGTGGAGACAGTGAAAGTTATCGGGAAGTTATCGAAATATTTTACAAAAGAAACTGCATGCTGTTTTGGTTCTGAAGTTCCGTAGAACTCTCCAGAAAGTGAGTGGCCTGAAGATCAGAGAGCAGGCCTGGAGAGTAAATCCGTGATGGAAGTGGAGAAAAGGAAAGTTCATCTTCTCTCCATGGCAACTAATCAAGAAGTCATTAAGACAGAACTTCTCAAGCTGGAGGAGGCATTCCGAGTAGCAGCCTATGTATTGCGATTCGTGCACAAGCTCAGAAAGGTGCTAACAGATGAAGAGAGATGACATCAGCCATTCTCTGACACCGGAGGAGTTAAGAGAGTCAGAAAGAATGCTGATCACAGGAGCTCAAACTTCCCTTAGAGCTCGTCTTGAAAAGGGTGAATTCAAGATGCTAAGTCCCTACACAGATGCAGAGGGAATAATTCGAGTTGGTGGTAGGACAGACAAAGCTTTGATCTCGTTTGATATGAGATACCCTGTACTCTTGCCACGTGATGACTACATATCGTGTCTCATAACAAGTGAGATGCATCAGGATGGACACGGCGGAGTTGAAACTATAGTTCCTGCAAATGCGACTGTTGATATAGTTACACGAGTTCGAGCTGGACCTATCAGTGAAGCCACAAATGTCTTGTTTGAACCCAACTACGATGATGCATTGCCTGAGGGACTAGAGATAGAGCACTACCTTCTTCATCTGTCTCTAGGAAACTCTAGCCGGATCAAGATTTTGGTCTATAATCATTCCGACAAGCTAATCGTCATACCAAGCCGCACAGTTCTAGGCCAAGTAGTCCACATCGGGTCAGTACTGCCTGGTTATCCGGCACCCACACATGCCATACTTTCGGCAAACACCAGCTCCATATCAGCAGTGTCTGCTGACAATGCGAACAACAATCAGACTTTTGAACTCCACCATTTGTCAGAGGAACAGAGGTCGGCTGTACACGATTTACTCAGACAGGAAAAAGCCAGTTTCTCCAAGGGAGACCAGCATATGGGTTTGATTCCCGAACTGCAGATGAAATTGTGACTCACTGATGATACCCCTGTGCAATGAACTTATCAATCGATACCACGTCAATGGTATCAGGAAGTTAAGCTGCACCTACAAGATCTCCTTGACAGAGGGTGGATCACGAAGTCAGAGCCTCTCTACGCATCTCTGGTAGTCTGCGTGAGAAAGAAGGATGGAGGGTTACGACTTTGCATTGAATATCGTGAGCTCAACCGGAAGACTATACCTGATAAGACAACCAATTCCACGCATGCAGGATGTCCTTGACAGCCTCGGAGGGTTTACAACACTGGACCAAGGTAAAGCATACCACCAAGGCTACATGTCAAAGGAGAGTCAACCAATGACGACATTTGTAACTTCTTGGGGACTACATGAATGGAAATGGATTCCATTTGGATTACGAAATGCACCAGCATCCTACCAGAGAGGCATGGAAACAATTCTTGATGGCTTAAACCACAACATCTGTGAAACATATCTGGATGACATCATCATGTATAGCAAGAGTTTTGACGAACACCTAACCCATTTTGGAATGTTCTGCGAAGTCCGAGGACTTGGAGAGTATGTACAGAATTTCAAGCAATTTTCTGTTGAATTTGCGATGGTAGGAAGCTATCCTCTTACACAAAATTCATGGAGTAGACATGTGATCATACACAACCTTTGGCATTTAGATCGCGGACTGAATTTTTTCCCTCAGTTTTATCTATAATTTGTATGTAATTTTGTAGGCCTAATATGTAATTTGTATGAATGTAATAATGTAAAGCGCATAGAGAATTGACATCAATGTTAGTTGATGCACATACACATTGACTGACCATTGCTCTCTCTCTCTCTCTCTCTTTCATCTCATTTTACAGTTGTAACGCCCTCCCATCGAGGGAGCGTTAACACCATAATGCTGATTCAATGCACGATCATTTTACGGGAGAGGGTGGGAGGACTTATACGTGTAATCAGACGAGTCAGCATATATCCTTATTTTCTTTCTTAAATCTCAAAAAATTTAGCCTAACCCTTAGCTAACCTTTACCAAATAATTGAATTCTTTTCCAGGGGTGGGGGGTTAGCTGCAAAATCTAGTTTACTCATATTGTAATATTATAGATAAAATAGAAAAAATGCTGGAAGAAGAAACACATGTATTTGTAACAAATATCAATATTGCAACTTTAGAATGATCTTCCCAAGTCATTTAGAAAATATTTTATAAAATAATGCCTCCCGCACCACCTTTGGTGGCGGAGGGATGAAAAAGAAAGCAATTCTGAATAGTGTAGCACACATCCTTAACTAATATTTCTTTGGTATTCTTGTACATGTACATGACACCTTCACGTTATACCTTTTAAGATTAAGCACATCTCGATCTGCTTGTCAGCCTCAATTCATCATAAAGTAAAAACTGTTTAACCAGGCCACCACCACAAATGACACAAATATCTCCATCATACAGGCTTAAAGACTGATTGAATACAAATTCAGGAGTCCACACAGGAATAATCACACATTTTTGTTGCACATGCTCCAATCATGTTCCGAGCCCCAAGGAGTCAAACCAGGACTGTGTCTTCACGGTTATACTGCCCTCTTCAGACCTGGCTATGATCTTTGCATCAACACCGCCACCGTTCAGCTCACCTGTAATAACAAAAGCAATACAAAAAAAAGATTTCCCATTGGCATTCTGAAGATATAAACCTTTCCTGCCTTGCTAGACATTAAATCTCTAGTCTATTAATAGACAGGTTCAAGAAAAAAAAATCTTGTTCTAATCTTATATTGTTTTCTAATACATGGTCATCAATAACAGTTGCCTTTCCACAATAAAATAAAAACCATAGTTACTGTACCACATTGTTTGATTATCTAAATGCCTTTCAGCCCTTGTATCAATAAATAAAGCATGATTTAAACACACATTTTTATCTTGCTTCTGATGCTCTTACATTAAACTAATGTAAAACAAAGAAAAAATCATAAAATTGCTGATGGTGGCAATTTTTGTACAAAGAAAGCTCAGCAAAATGCAAAGATTCAGTGTTGTGATTCAGAGATCATTTTCTAACCTCAACTAATAGGAAAATTTGCAAAAGTTCCATGCATGCAAAACATTTATAGTTTTCAAGAGTAAATCCAGTTTGGTATAAAAAAAAAGATTGAGTACTAGCATTTTTTAACACATGATCCAACTCTCTCTCCTTGCATGCCCTCCAAGTAAATTACTCTGTCATCCCCTAGAAAAAGTAACCCGAGGACTTATGGTACAGAAGTACCTTCTCTTTGGTATAAAGTACAAATTTGCTGAAATGTCTTTGTTTTACATTGAAGAAAGCGCGATGGCTCAGTGGTAGAGCAGTGGTCTCGTTACCAGGAGATCCTGGCTTCGATACCAAGTCGATGCCCTAGAGCCCTTTTGGTTAGGCATTAACCTTCATAACCAAGTCCCTCGGAGAGGACTTAAAGCCTTCGGTCCCCTGGTTGCTTACTTTAATACAAGCACACACATGCTTTCTTAGCACTCAGGTAAAACAACCAACCAACCAAACAAACAAAACTCACCTATCATCTTTTGATGATCAGATGGTTGGGTAGTGAGGAAGACAAGAGCACTATCCATGTCGACCTGCTTTCCAGTCAGATCAACGTGTGAGACACATTCTTCAGGTAATTTGATCTCTATGTCTCCTAGAGGAGGAAATATAACGAGAGGGACATTTACGTTTAAATAGATGACAATCAAAGGAAATTACAATTTATTATGTGTTTACAGATCATTCTTTGTGAAACACACTCCTCAGCTTATTTGTGATCTCTATGTCTCCTAAAAAAAGAAATATGAGAGGGACATTTACGTTTGAATAGATGACAGTCAAAGGAAATTAAAATTGATTATGTGTGGACAGATCGTTCTGTAACTTTTCTTATTATGTCCTGAAAGAAAGTTATTGAACTGCTACAAAGACAGCTGCTGTACTATGCTAAAGGCTTGGAAGATGCACATAGGCCAAGCTGAAATCGTGGGAACATATCAACCACTAACCAAACATCCTCAAGATGGTAGTTCACCATGGGGTTTCTAGCATTGAAACAGAAATACATGGATTAACCAAGCAAAAATAAAGCAAAAATAACCAGAATTAGCGATCAAAAAGCTTCTGTTGTAGAACCATACAACATCCTATGCAAATGCAGTAGGCCTGGCTTCCTACTCACAAAGGAATATGCAGGTTCAATAATATTGGTCTTCAATTGACACAGCATGACTTTTACCATCCTTGCTACTAAATGCTTGAAGGAATTTACCTTTTTCAGTCTGGATATTGATATCATCATGACAGGACAGATAACCCTTGAATGAAGCTTGACCTGGTAGACTAACTGACATGGAACCTTGTACACAGCCTGGAAGATAGGGAAAAAAACACAGGAGTATTAGAAAACACAACAACCAAATGCAATACAACAAGGACCACCCTGAAGTACAGACTCAGCGTTGTTGGATTGTTCAGGTTATCGTTCCACTTTCTATTTATCATTTCTACAAGCTCTTTTAGAAATGTTCAGAGGTTAAATTCTCTCAGTATTGTTATTAAAAAATGCATACATACCAGCAAGAACATCTCCCCCTGTGGTTATACTGCAATCAGTGTGCATGTTACTGATGTGAACTGATCCTGTCTGACTGGAGACTTGAGATTTTCTGGCATAGATATCCTTGATGTGAATGGCACCTGACTCAGTGGAGAACTCAAAGTCTAGGCCCTGGATCCTGTCAGCCGTCACTGTCTACAAAGTTAGGAGATTTACAAACAAAAAATGTATGTAATTTTACCATACAGTACTTCAACAAAAGCTTGTTTCTAATCCAGTGAAATCAAACAGAATAATGATTTTAAAACAAGTGTTAATTTCCTGGCTAGTCAAAAGAATACAACTTGTATGTTTCAAGATATATCTCTCTGATACAGTGATCATGGAAACAATAATTCTGTGCAAAAAGTGGAACAGCTGATTTCCTAAAACAAATTTCTTCTTCTTCTCATATCCATTAATTATACAGATCTTTTAAATTAATCTTGTCGCTATTATGCCTTTGCTTTACAAGTTTATCTTATACACATTTTACAGACTTCAATTTACAAAGCTTTTCTTGCTTGATACTATTAGTATATAATATTCATACTATATACTGATACTATAATAACTGATATATTCAAAGCAGTTGTGAAGTATTAACCTGAAGCCAAAGTCTTCATTTATATCCGAATGCAAAACAATATATAACGAGAGATTAGAAAAAGTTACTACAAATGGCTTTGATTATTATCACCACTATTTGTTGTTGTTCATTGTGAAGACTTACCCCATTATTGTTAGTATTAATCTTTCCACTTCCCTGTAAGGCTTTGAGGCAGATGATATTTCCACTGGTTGACTCAACGTGGACATTGGCAGACTGGCAAGAAAATCAATAGATTTAAAATGATTGAGAGAAAAAAAAAAAACAATGAAATACGAGGATTTCTTTTAATGTTTCTCCCTTAAAAAACAAATTTGTGCATGTTTTTTTAATGCTACCAAACCATGCAATGATGTAAACGAACCAAGATACTGTTACATAAATGCATCAATCTATTTAGTTTTTTAAGCAAAATTGAATACTGACAGAATTTTCTGTTAATTACCTTCATGCTCTGAAGTGTGATGTTGCCCCTATCAGTACTTATATAGCAAATTTCATTCTCCAGGTTTTCCACAGAAATATGGCCTTCATCTATACTTGACACATCGATATCTATAGAAAGATGGTGGATAAAAAAACATAATTTACATGAAGTGGAGTTTTGCAAGTGTATGTAAATATACACCAGGAAATAAACCAAAATCATTGCACCTACAAGTTTAAAAAAGAAAGAATAATATAATAAAGTAAACAAGGTGCAATCACTCCATATCAGGCTACTCTTTTTCTCTAACCTTTTCTTTTTTAAATGCAATCTCTTCACAACAGGAATATCTTTGTACTATGTTATTAAGAAAATGTTAACATAAATAAAATAAATATATATATAAATATAGTGATTGGAAATTTGGTTCATCAATCATTCCTATATTTTTTCACCTTACAGTTTTCCAATGACGGAAAATTTGATCCAAATCCTGATATAATCAATGACAATATTATTTTTGAAGATCAAAATGTGCATTAGAAATTAAGAAGTTATCAAAGTTCAAACACTTCACATCACAATTTAATTAAGAACTGGAATGGAAGGATATAAGTTTTACTTGTAAATTTACCATAACACGTTGGTACTTCAATAAGCAAAGCTAATGATGATTGCACATCTGAGCTACCATCATGTGAGATTTGGATGCCTTCTTTATCTGATAAGCAAGTGATATTCGAAACTGTTTCTGCGAATGATGATGGATCCAGTTTGGCATCCGTGTCCATGGCAACAGAAGCTAATAAATGAACAAATACTCTGTCTCCTGCTGGATAGTCATGAGGATTCGTAGGCACAATGCGAACAGGAAATGGAGTCCCTTTCATCATCAGCTTCCCGAAAGGTGTATCGAGTTGGAATGGCCAGGACTTTACTTTGACTACATGGCATCCTGGCTGGTCATGGTTCGACTCATTTTCACTACTGGCAAGCCACGCACTGCAGTGAACTTTGCGGAAATTGGTCCACGTTGCCCGCGAAGCTACCGGGGTAGAAGTCCTTACTCGCTTCGTCTCGGACGCGAGAATCGAATGATCTCGCACACCACGATATGTACCTGCGATTTTTATGATATTCTGTCTTTGGTTGTTGAAATTTCTGGTAGAAAAGTCGACATTTCTCATGAAGGAATATCGAATTCGTTTTATCCCCGAAAGAAATGCCATTTTACGTTCATTCAAGACAAAAATCGACCAGTTACATCACTTCTTCGTTTTCTTGAAGTTCAAGTGTTCAGCGCTGAATGAATTGAAGCATGTTTACACTTAGTCTATTTCCAGGCTGTGCAATAAGATTGATTTGTTTTCCAATAAAAATATTTAAAAATAATATTTTTTTTGAGGATGGTCGGGCCCTGTATAAACCGGGAATCAAACCTTTGAATACAGAATAAGAGTTTGATATGTGTACAGAGCGACCCAGGTTTTTCTTTCTATTTCATGTTTGATTTAGAGAAAAAATAATAACAAGTATTTGAAGGAGATTGAATGAGGCTTGTGCCATTCCCAGCTCAACAAAAGCGTTGTGTCCAGCCCCTTTTGCTATGCAAGCATCCAGTCGGTGTATAAATACAACCCTGGTATGTCAAATACCGTATTTAACCCTAAACTTATTTAAACTAAAACTTTATTTGCAACGCTAAATTTAACCATAATATCCTTTTCAGTTAAAGCCAGGAGCAAATTAAATGTTGGGTGTGCGTTGTTGTTTCACTCTCGTATACCGGTATAATAGGCTAGGAATATTGTGTCTTTTTTTAGGTTAACGTCAAACAAATTGCAATAAAATATTTTTTACTGCAATGCATTTCAGTAAGGTCCCCAAAATGACATACTAAAAGTCCAAACAAATCCAAGTAGTGGAAGTGTCCCTAATTTGCATAAATCCAATATGGCCGCTATTTCGAGGATTTTCACATATATTTTATCATATTTTACAACTTGTATAAGCTGTTGTGGCACTAAAGTGAGGAGGAAAAGTGATCTGCTGTACATTTTGTATCAACTAAAATACCCATATACTACAGGTACATCACACACCTGAAACGAATTCCCCGCACACCCACACTCACACAATCCAACATGTAATTTATGCTCAATTTATCACCTCAGCAGATGATGTTATTTCATTATGCACTAGACAAATATCATGTCCTTTTAATTATATTGAAAAACTGAAATAAAAATATTCAGAAAAATTGGCCCTTATGAGTATCCGTACAAACACAAGAGCTGTTGGTAGGGCTATTAGGGCATTTAGGGGTACAGCCTGGGCTTTCATCGAAAGGGTGCGGTGCGGTGCGGCGCGGTGTGGTGTGCTCAACGCACCCATTCGATAAAAGAGGGGGGGGGGGGGCTTTTCTCGAAAGGGTGCGTTGAGAGCGGAGTACCGTTTTAACACACCCTTTCGATAAAAGCGGGGGGGGGGGGCTTTTCTCGAAAGGGTGCGTCGACAAGTCTTTCGCGTCAGTCGTTTAAAATGAGGATCTGGGACAGAAGGTAATAGTTGCCAATTTAAGTATATCGAAAATGTATTAAATAAAATGGAATGGTTGTTGTTGTTGTTTTAGTTTTAAGGGCGTGTGTCATTCAATTATGAATATTTACGCCGTCTTGATTACAGAGTGGTCTCTTTCGTTATTACTATGTTGATGGGGGAGACAGAGAGAAGGAAAAGAGGGAAAGAGAAAGGGAAGATAAAAGGAAAGAAAGAAGAATAAGAAGAAAAGAGGGAAACGGGGGGGGGGCGAAGGGCTCTTACCTCCTCCTCATCCCCCCCGCCAAAAAAATAAATAAGAGAGAGAGAGAAGGGAAAGGGAAAGGGAAAGAAAATATAAAAGGAAAGAAAGAAGAGGAAGAAGGAAAGAGGGAAACGGGGGAAGGGCGAAAGGCTCTTACCCCCCCCCCCCCCTCCCGCCAAAAAATAAATAAGAGAGGGAGAGGGAAGGGAGAGGGAAAGAAAATATAACAGGAAAGAAAGAAGAGGAAAAAGAATAAGAAAAGAGGGAAACGGGGGAAGGGCAAAAGGCTCTTACCTCCCCCCCCCCCTCCCGCCAAAAAAATAAATAAGAGAGGGAGAGGGAAGGGAGAGGGAAAGAAAATATAAAAGGAAAGGAAGAAGAGGAAAAAGAATAAGAAAAGAGGGAAACGGGGGCAAAGGGCTCTTGCCTCCTTTTTTTATATTTTTCTTTCTTTCCTATTCTCCCTCTTTTTCGTTTTTCTCTTTCTTTCTTTTTCTTTTTCCTTTCCCTCTCTTTTTTCCCCTCCCCCTTTTCTTTTTTTTTTGGGGGGGGGGGGGTGTCGCACCCCACACGAATTGGCGTGGGGTCAAGGGGGTGGAGCCCCCGGAAGCTCAGGGGTTTTGGGCAATAAATAACGGTCAGATGAGCATATTTTTATATCTATTTGTGACACTGGCAGGACACAAATTGGTGTTGGATCCAAGGGGCGGAGCCCCAAGAAGGTGAGGGGTTTTATACATCAAATTATCGTCAGATGAGCATATTTTTATATCTATTTGTGACACTGGCAGGACACAAATTCTTCTTCCTCTTCTTTCTTTCCTTTTATCTTCTCTTTCCCTTTCCTTCTCTCTCTCTCTCTCCCTCTCTCTTATTTATTTCATTAAAATTGTTTTAAATGTAATTGTATTACAATCAGTTTGCATACTGTAGAAATGCATTAATACTTGTGAGGCCAGTTATCATCATCATCATCATTAAAACTCATTGTCATCATCATCACCATCATCATCATCATCATCATCATCACGATCATCATCACCATCACCATCATCATCATCATCTCCATTATCTTCATCTTCATCTTCATCATCATCATCATCATCATCATCATCATCATCTTCATCATCATCATCATCATCATCATCATCATCATCTCATCATCATCATCATCATCATCATCCTCATCCTCATCCTCATCCTCTTCATCATCATCATCATTACACCATCATCATCACCTGTGTATAATGCCCACAGACATCAGAGCAATTGTTTGTGTCATAATCGTAGTAATGTCCCTCATCATACCAGGACTGTGTTGTTCCTACTCCATCTGGCTGGGACCCACTCGAGATCAAAAAGACGCCAAAGTTGCCAAAATTGAGAAATTGGAGAAAAGTTTGGAAAAGCAGAGAGAATCAAGTACCATTCTCCAAAACAAATCAAATGAGGCTGAGCCGGATTCGGGGGGGGGGGGAGCACAGTGCCGCTCATTTTTTCAAGTGCCTCCAAAGGGCCCCTCTATACATAAGAAAAGTGCCCCTTCTACGTTAACAAGTGCCCCTATTAATTTTTTCCCCACCATTTGATAATTGAATAATACTGACATAAAAAAGACATAATTATATTTATTAAAAAGAAAATCACATAAACTATACTTATATCACAAAGTGCCCCTTCTACGTTAACAAGTGCCCCTATTAATTTTTTTCCCACCATTTGATAATTGAATAATACTGACATAAACAAGACATAATTATATTTATTGAAAAGAAAATCACATAAACTATACTTATATCACAAAGTGCCCCTTCTACGTTAACAAGTGCCCCTATTAATTTTTTTCCCACCATTTGATAATTGAATAATACTGACATAAAAAAAGACATAATTATATTTATTAAAAAGAAAATCACATGAACTATACTTATATCACAAAATAATTATACTTGTTTAAACATAATTAACATTTTTTTCCATAGGTAATACTTTTCAACATTTGTCCTCCATAATATTACCTTTAGATAAATGCCGTATATGTTTGTAAAAATACATTTTCTTTTTTGTGTATAAAAAACATAAGAATCTAAATTAATTGAAATTTTTTTAAAAACTACATATTTTGAATTTATGTAATCACATTGCTTACCTACAATTATATCACTGTAAGCATTTTTGTCATTATCAAACAATACTTCTGTTTTTCTGAGAGAAATTAAGACCTTGTTCCAAAATATTTTTGAGTAAACACTATCATAACATAAAAGAGAATAATTTTCTGTGCATTTGCACTTCAAACAATAATCATGATCAGAATTTTTGAAACTATTTAGATATTCTTCACATGCTAATAACTTGTAGAGAAGTTTGAAATTTAACTGATTTAATCGTATTTCTTTGGCGTATGTCAAATTCATTTTCCAAATATTTGCCCAGGATAACTTTTGTCCATAAAAATATTCCCAATAAATTTGAACATTTTGATTTATAAAAGTTCTATCAACTAATACCTTATATGTAATTTGTGACATCTTTATATTTGTAACTGATATATTATGACATACTTTTGGTGTCATTTCAAAGTAATGAAGACATGTATTTTCATATAAACAAAAACCAGTTTCATATTTTAATTTTCTTTTCCAGTCACGTGGTATACAACTCCAAAGTAATTTAACCTCACATAAATAATTATTTTTAATACAAAGTAATTTTTTGCCCGATTTATATCCACATCCCCTTTGGCGTCTATGATGTCCCCAATAAATAATATTCCAGATTTTAGCCAATTTTTCCACCATTAACATAATTTCTAACAGTGCCCCTTCCCCTTTTCACCTCTGGTAAGTGCCCCTTTTGTTTTGATACTTGACCCTTTTCCTTCGACAAGTTCCCATTTTCCTTTGCAATAAGTATACATTTTCACTTTTGATCAATGCCTCCTTCACATCTGGTAATTTCCCCATTCAAATCTGACAGATGCCCCTTTAACTTTGGCAAATGCCCCTTTTCCTTTGTAACAAATTTACTTATTTTCTTATCATTTGAAATGTGCTTTATATCTATGTTTTTAAAACTTGACGTAGGCCTATACATAACAAACTCCAATAGTACTATTGGAGTCACCGAGGCCCATGGTTTTAACAGATTAAAATATGGGTTTGAGAAAAATCAGAAAAATTTATAAGAAATTTAGGACGATCCTTATCTCATTGGTATAAATTGGCAATTCGGTCATGAGTTTATGACGTAATTTCGTCGTTAGTTGTCAATTGGGTTGTATAACTCGATATCAGTTTGATGAAATATTAAGAATTTTGAACGAAAGCACTGTACGACTATTTTCGATTCAATTATCATACTGTAAATGGTTGCATTATGAGAAGAAAACTATTTGTTATAATGTCATCTATAGAAATATCACTTATCAAGTAAGTATAAAGACATGTTTTTTTAAATTGTTTAATTCAAGTGCAATTGTCAGCAAAAAAAGAAAAAAAGGATTTGTACAGCCTTTTCAGCACTCACACATTTCAGCCACTTAAAAACTAAACACACATGACAAAGATTGCATTATAATTAATACTTATCAATCAATAAGTTACGGCATATAAAACCATAGAACACTTTACTCTTTGTTTAAGGGGAAGACGGGTAACATTGAATCATATTCTGATTACGGCTGTACCATGTGTCATTTATTCAAACTAAATACAATAATTTTTTCCTCGTCTTATGTACATAATCAAACACAGTCATGCATCAAAGTAGGAGAAAGAAGACACAAAGGACACCATATGTTAATACATTTGTATATTTTATTTTCATCGAAGATGGTATTATATGGTATTTACAAGAGTCATGTATATATATAAGCTGGTCATATATTATTCCACAGATGATTTTGTGTGTGAATGGATATATAATTTTTTAAAAAAAATATATAACAAAAATATCAATTTATAAGTACCTTGTATAAAAGCAATGGGGGACAACCAACAATGCCCTACACCTTATACAGAGGAACACAGAAATGACTTGAAGTATATCGTTCTGACTTTTAGTATTTCAGCAATTTGTCATCGTTACTTAGATTTATAAGCGGAAATAAATTATTTATTGATTAATAACATCGAACTGATGCGTAACAGAACCTCATCGTCTTAAAATGCAAATTGTCTATTTATAAGAATATAAAAATGCGATATTTCATATAAAAATCGATTAAAATTCCTCGATGCAAAGAGAGAGAGAGAAAGAGAGAAAGAGAGAGAAAGAGAGAGAGAGAGAAAGAGAGAGAGAGAGAAAGGGAGAGAGAGAAAGAGAGAGAGAGAGAGAGGGAGGGGGAGGAAGAAAGAGAGATAGGAGAAAGAAGGGATAGCACAGATTATGGAGATCGCTAGAGACACAGAGGGAGAGAGAGGGGAAGCGGATCAACTTTTTTATTTCTTTTTGCCTCTCTTTGTTGGTTGCGCCTGTGATCGTTTAACCGGGGGCAGTGTATTATTTTTCTTGAGTTTGGGCACCTTTTCGCTAGATTTCGCCTTGATTGGACTCAGTTTAAGAGGTTTCCCTCCTGCCGGGTAAACCTTGGTTTGGGCTCTGCTCATCGGTGGAGGATCGTTATCTCTGTCGGACCCTTTCTGCTCGGTGTGCTCTGGGTCTTCAGGGTCATTTGGTTTGCTTCCTCCAGTTTCTGTCGAAGTGAAGCGGGGAAATGAATATTATAGACTTTATCATATTATAACAATTTGACCATCGTCAGTTATCCATTACGATTTAAATGAGGAATATAAATAATTAGAATCACGCGCGTACGCAGGGGGGGGGGGGGGGGGTTGCCCCTTCAGTTTTTTATGTGTGTATTTTGGAGCGAACCCCCCCCCCCGCCCCTTGTGATTTTTTTTTTTTTAGATTTTTGTTGATGTTTAAATTAATTATAAAAATAATTTTTTTTTAAATGTCAAATTTTTCAAATTTCGAGACCAAAAAAAAAAGAGTGTCCTCTTACCCCCCTTTCTACGCCACTGAATTCAACTATCAAACGTAAGGTGATATTGTCGTATTAGATACACTTCTTACGAGTTCTCATGAGTTAATTGTGTATATAGAGGATTAATGAATTGTATGTAGAAGATGTTTGTAAAAGTAATGAATAGCAATTACAAATGATCTTTAAAAGATGAAGCCATAAAGGTGCAAAACAGCTTTACAACATTGCATATTAAGTTACAATTTGTTGGTATTGTCATAGCATTCCATTATAAAGAACGACTCACTGAATGGATCTGTATGATCATCACATTTCAATACAGTATATCATATTAATATTTCCTTGTCAGCATAATGAAAACCGTATGATGCAAATGTTAATTTGGTGGATATTTAATGGGTTAGTAGCAGAACCAGGGGTAAGTCTACGTCTAAGATCATTTTTAAACAAACTAGTGGGCACTTTTTTGATGTTTTCGTGTCAGAACCCCCCCCCCCCTGGATTCTCCAATATGATTGGAATAATGAAAGGCCTCGAAAGTAATGATTCATTTATTACGGTAATGAGTATAGAGCCACGTCAATGAAACTAACTGCAACAAATCAAATCTGCATCAGAGTGAGAAGAGCCCTTTGCCAGATGAAATAAACATTTAGTTAACCGATGGCCATCAATGTTATGAAGGTGAAAATATGTTCATTCAAGATTTTCCAACAAATGGGAAAATATTGTGCGATATATTCTTCTCAAGAACGACACTCTCGAAAGTAAAGAAACACAATCATACAAAAAATATCCCCTGGCTACACTAATTGCGCCGGGTCTGGCAGGAAGGGGCAAATTGCGGTGAGGGGTTTTCGTGGACCAGTAGATCTGAGATTCTATTATCAAAAACTATGATTTATGAAGAGTACGAATTTACAAATAGTTTTTTTTTTTAAATGAAAGGCGTAAATATTCTCAAAAAGAACGAACCGCCGATAATACCAAAACAGCGTTTAATTTTCTAAATAGAGTCCGTAAACTTTAAGTCTAGCCCGTGCTTTAAACTTCAGGGTCATCTGGTACATGACTTTGTATACGAATCGTGCAGACGCACTCATGGTCACTATGAACATGACTGACAAAGAAAGCGTACAAAATATACAGTTCCTCGGGTAGACAAAGGAACATCCCCTTCACTGCTATTATGTAAAAATGTGTAGAACAGGTGTCACATGCACATTCACCTTTTTACATAATATCAGTGAAGGGATGTTCCTTTGTATACCTGAGGAACTGTATATTTTGTCCGCTTTCTTTGTCAGTCATATTCATAGTGGTTTTTCGGAAAGTGTAAACGATCGTATGGTTAACGCGATAACTATACTAGCAGCGGAGTTCTTCACTTTAAGTTGTGCCGTGCAGAAGAAACTTTTGCCTGCTTGTACTTAAAACAACTGCTTGCCCTACTTGTAGTTTTAAAGTTCGAACAGTTAAAGGTCGTGGTTTTAGTGACTTATACCGTCCTTGTTAGTGGGTCATTGTTTAAAACTTCGAGGAATCTTAAAACTATGATGCTCCCCTGCGGACAAAGGTAATGTGCGTAGTGTTGGGCAGTAAGGTACCTTATGAAAATCATGTCACAGATGCTTTTTCCTTAACGTAATTCGTTGTTTAGTCGTTATTTACAGTCAATATCCCATCCATTGAAATACAATTTTAAGAAAATGATATTGAGTTTAGATTAATGAGGTTTTTTTTTTTAATGAGATGATATCTGCTGGTTACTAATACAGTGTGAGTGATATTAAAATTCCGATATTGATAACTGAACAACCGTATGAAATGGATGACGCGAGTTCATGCAATGACAGAGGAAAAGCTCTTTGAGTTCACAACGATTTATAAGAAAAGAAATTAAAAAAGAAATGCTGATGTTAAATGAATGAAAGCTATGAAAAACATGCTCTTCTTTAAGGTTAAAAGTGAAATATATACAAAAAACATCCCGTTGCATGCTTCAAAATAATATCAAAAATAGAACAGTATTCTACATACTAAGTATCTCTGTTATTGTGCCGATGACGTGGGCTTTCCTGTGAAAATAAAAGGCATTCACATTTCATAAATTTATAAGAATTAAGAAATGGTCAATGAAATCTATCGAGGGGTATCCCTTAATCATACCATTTGCAGACCTGAACAATTAACTTACTGATTCTAAAACTTTAAAACTTTTCCAATTTTCTTAATTTCTTGATCTGTTACAAATTACAAGGTCTAATGGTTATAACGTTAACATTTCATGTACACAGTTTAATTGCTTGTGTACATTTAGTACTTATTATTAACTATTTACTAGCAAACGCTATCAACAATTATACAAACCTTCATCTCTCTCAGATTTGACGTTTGGGGACATGGTTCGGACACGTTTCCTGAAAAAAATATATACAAAGAAAGTGAAAAATATTCTACTGCATCTCGTAAAACAACAAACATTTTTATCCGATTTGAATTTATAGGTTCAGTTTAGCATAACAATAAAAATAAAGATGAAGAAGGGTCAACATCCAGGAAATGTGCATTTATTTTTTCGATGATCATGAAATTCGTTAATAATTGTTTCTTATAATCATACAAATTTTGCAATTGTTTTTAACCCCTAATGCTTGTCGCCATTTCGCCGGTTATTCCCATGAATGAAGATAGCGAATGTCCCACTAACTCATCGCAGTGTTTGCACAGATCATTAATCATGTTCCATACTCTATGTTCAAGGTCAAATTCACCTGGAGCAGCAAAGCATAGATCCATGGTAAAAAAAACCCCAACATATACGTCGGTGAATGGCGCCTCATAAGCAATGAGTATTACAACTTCGACACCACTCACTCTTTCATAGTGATGAACACAACTATTCCGAGAACGATCACCACAACCAAAAGAACAACGACAACGATGAGTGCTATTGCCCATGCGGCTAGTCCTCCGCCGCTGCCTGAGTCAGGTTCGATCTCACCTTTGACTACCTCTCCTAATGTGACGTTGAGTTCGTCTTCCAGGGTGTCAATGTTCTCGCTCACCGCCTCGTACAGCGCGTCCTGATCCAGGTAGTTTTCTGCGGTGACGAAAGAGGATACAAAATTTAGTAATCACTGGAGTATCCAAACATTAGCTTCGGTGGGGGGGGGGGGGGGGGGGGGGGGGGGGGGGGGGAGGGCAACCACCATAATTATACTCAACACGCAGGGATGCCCTGAAAATAAATACCAGGCATCACTGTTTTGCGACCGAGAATTATTTTTAAAACATTTCACGCGTTCCAGTGGCAATATTACCATTATCATTTTACAAATCATTCTATAACCTAATAACTCCTGCGGCTGAATTTTCTTTTATTGGTCGAAAATGTATTCAGGGGCAAATTGTTCCCTTACCACTCCTTTGAATATGCTATTAGTAGCCTTTAGTGAACAAGTTTATTTTTCCTTAATTTCAAAGGGATTTTCGTTATCTTTTGCCCAAGTAGTATCGTGCAACTTTAATTTTATCTTATAGCAACGCAGTTATACACAAGGCCCCCCCCCCCTTTTTTCCCCTTTTTTAAGTTTGTTCAAACATTTAGCAGAAAGGATGACAACGCTTGACGGTGATGTGACTTTTGCTCCGGCTATATTTATCTCACTTTCTGTCATAGAAGATAGGGGTTAAGGATTCGGTTTAAGTCAGGGTTAGCGTTTGGATTACGTACAGTTTGGGTTCAGGGTTGAAGTTAGAAATTCGCCTCGTGAAAGGAAATGATTGTGGAGCAGTTATCGCCAACGCACAATGTCATCCAATTGCCTAAAACAAATTTAAGAAAGAATTAAACCTGAATCGTTATGGAAATTAAAAGATCCCAGTGTGATTATGCAAATTACCCGATGCATCTCTCTTAGAAATCATGTTGCTATGGAGATATTCAGTCCATCTTCTCCTTCTGGTCGCAGAGTTGGAGTCAGATCCGGCTGAGCAGAGCTCGGTTGTCTCCGGCGGGGTCACCAAGAGCATGACACGGAAGGCATCAAATGAAAGCCCCGTTTCCTCTCTGGGAAACCCGTCAGCAACTGTAACATGGGTCTCGTCGACGTAACCAAGGGTTGACGATCTGCATAAACAAGATTTTGATAGTTACTGTTGGAGACAAAAGGGTTTCTAGGTTTTGATCTATCCCTATCGTAAAGAATTTTCGAGAAGTAATGAAGATGTCTCTGCCGACATTGACTGTAGTATGATCTTTTTTTTTTTCGTAGGTAAGATAATAAATGATACTTATGAACACGATGATATTGCCTGGAATCATCCACAGTGTTTGAATGCATTTAATTTCACGCAAATCGAACCTAACGATGAACTTAAATTTCTTTTATCCCACAGTAATATAGATAGTTATTACGTTTAGCTGCACCTCTTATCTGCACATCTCTCTTAGCTTTTACTGATAATTTTGTTATCCTGTATAAATATTTTCCAATAAATAGATAAATAAATGTTCGTTCATTTCAATATAAGTAATGGACAGGGCTATTGAAATTGCTTTAGAGGTTGATTCTTCGAAGGTCTTTGCGATCGTATTCCCTCGAAAATATAGCTAAAGGTTTATGCTAAAATATATTGTCAAATATTTCATTCTCATATATAGGCAGATTTGGTTGGGAAGGACGTAATAGGAAAACATTAGCTCACCCTTCAAACACAATATTATTTATCATGAAACATATCATTAATTAATCTGTAAAAATATACGATCAACATTAATGAACAGCTTCATATTCGTATCGCAGAAGTTTGTACTGCTAGCTCTTTCTCCAGTTTGATATGCAATTTCTATGACGGTCACAAGTGATAGTAAACATCTTCATTATCAATCAGGAGTTGTCGCATCAGTTTCATATCGAGTGACATTCTCCAAAACTCTGCAATCCACAATATAAAGTATGAAATACACAGGCATCTGTTTCTTTCAGGTTCGGTACTTGGAGCGAATACTCACGATGATGACAATGTTCCCTGATTTGGGCAGCAAATCTCAAAGTTATCATTGCACCATGACGTCACAATTTCTCCAATTATACGCAGCAGAATATCCTCGAGATCGGGCCACTAATTACACAAACAAATGAAGAAAAAAATGAAAGAAGCTCCTTAATCCTTAATTTTAGGGTGGGATGAGGATGGGTGTGGCTATTTATATTAGCATATAGTTCCTTCAATTTAATATCAATGTAAGTTGTTAATGAATTAAGTGAATTAATCAGGATGAACTTTAAAATCTAAAAAGGAACTTAAACAAATCTTGAAACGAGATTAACTTCAGTCTAAAAGGAATATTTTTTGGTTCGATCATTCTCAAATTGAATCTTCATCATCTTTTAAACAATAGCCGGACTGAAAATAGTTATGTTTAAGTAAGAAAAACTGGTAATATAAAAGTAAAAACTTATGCGTTTTCATAAACTTCATGTCCAATATGAAGAAATGATACATGTAAGCATCCAAAGGGGGGGGGGGGGGGGGAGGGTGGTGCAGTGGCGGATATAGGAGGCACATCCGATCGCCCCCCCCCCTCCGTTTCAAACCAAAATGAGAAACCTTGGTGTACACAACTCCACAATGTTGTTGATTGTGCCCCGCCCCCCCCCCTGATTTTTAGGTGATGACCTATTTACTTTTCTAAAATTATTTGTTAAAATTAGTTCCTAATATCGAGTCCTCTCTTTTACAAACCCCTGCATCCGCCCCTGAGGGATGGATAACATTGCGACAGTTAGGGATACTTACTCGGCTGATACTTGTATAAACCACTACGCCATACCGCACTTGAGACTTTGTTTCTGTCAAATACAAGATGAGAAGGAGAATAAAAGAGAAAAAAAATCATCCACTTAGTCCTGTATGAACATGATATTTTACATCGCGCTCATGTCTTTCATAGCTGACGCTCCGTATGAACCCGACTGTAGAATGGCTGCTAATGCGTCGCTGTATCATTTTAATTATTTTTAATTAACTCCTGTCAGGCACACATTTACTTCATCACCTTTGTCGAAGGGCGTTTAATATCTTTCATTTCAGGATGACGTTATAATGATTTACATTTACCGATATAAGAAAGTTGAGAGAACTTTTGCTGATTTTATCAATTTTCACTCTGTTCATTTATTTTGTGTGTGTTTTTGTGAGGATTTTCAGGAAATCCCTCCCCCCGGCCGTCTCAAAAAATTCTTGATCCACCAAAGAATGTGCTTTAAAAAACCTTTATTCTTATGATTATCTGCACACACATTTGTTATATTCTTACGTTCACATTCTGCGCCCTGGTAGTCACTAGGGCAATCGCATTCGCATGTCGTCTCGTCGACGATCCCGTCATTCTGACAAGTGGTGTCACAGGACGGTTGAGCTGTGGTCGTCTCGACGGTGGTAGTCATGGTCGTGACATCACTGCTACCGCTCGATGTGGTCGTGACATCGCCGCTACCGCTGGATGACGTCGTAGCTGCGGAAGGTGCCGAGGTGCTTTCTGATAGGTTCGTATGAAAGTGTGTTAGAATGGGAAAATGAATTAAAAATCATTTTTAAATCTACAGAGGAGTATCGTGTAAAGCGAAACCCCTCATCTAAAACACGTTTTATAGGCAGATTTAGTCTCTGTCTATTTTTAGTAAACGACATGAAGTAGGATGTATAATAACTATGAAGCATGCTTTTAAAAATATCGGTTATCGAAACATCGAGAGTTGCACATCTCTTTTCATCATGCGTCATGATAATGTAAATACGTTATCGTCATTAAATAAAAGAGTGCCTTGTCTCTATTATCTTAAAATAATCTTACCACACGTCTGACTTGGATCGGCTGCATCTGCAATAAAACAATGGAAAGGAATATGATTACAAATCAAACAAAATGGCAACATTATGACATGTTCGAGTTAATATTTTTACTAATTATATGTTGTTTAGGAACGACTCAGTAGTGTAAAGCTCGTTTTGACGCGCGTTCATTGCGATTTATATACGCCTACGTTTTGCTTTCACCGTTCAAAATATTTGTTTTATCTGGCTGATCATAGACGTAGTGACCGTTTATTCGCATCTTGATCAAATATTAAGAATGTATCTTAAACTATTCTATCAAATTGAAAGGTCTTAGCAAATATTCGCCTTTTTAAGAATCACTGTCCAAGTACAAGTTGTAAAAATCCAATGAGTTTCCGGAACATTCCACGTTTAAAACGTTCTACTTACTGCATAATCCACAGAACAGGGGGCAGTTTGTGAGTACGTAAGACCTGTCCTCAGTGCACCAGGAGAGTGGCCAGCCAGGATTGCCGCCGCAGTACTCATGTGTGTCCTCACAAACAGCTGAGAAAGAGAGAGAGAGAGAGAGAGAGAGAGAGGGGGGGGGGGGGGAGAGAGAGAGAGAAAGAGGGAGAGAGAGAGAGAGAGAAAGAGAGAGGAGAGGAGAGAGAAAGGATGGGTAGAGAAAGAGAGAAAAGAGAGAGAGAGAGAGAGAGAGAGAGAGTGTGTGTGTTTTTGTGTAAGTGAGGGACAGAGATGGGGAAAGAAAAATCGGAAAGAGATGAGAGAGAAAGAAGGAATTGCAAGAAACAAAAGTGAGAAACGCATAAAAGGGTGGAAAGTGAGGGAAGGACATGTGCCGATAACAAAAAGATTAATCGATAGAATTTTATTTAGCATGGCAGTAAAAATTTATGTCATCTCGATTCAATACACGCCTTATACAATAACATATCAGTTTTATTGCCGTACAGGTCTTTACAGGACTATTCAAAACGAATCATAACTTGATGCTTTTTACAAGTTTTTTTCAACTAGTGCGTCATTATTATATATTTCGGTATTTTAGAAGACCTATTGGAAAGTAAGTATTTGATACACGAATTCATGCCAGTTTGTCATTCTCTATTTATGAACTAAAATGTAAACAATGATCGTCTTCGGATATACATACTGGAACAGTCGCTGCCGTAATACCCGTCTCGACATGTACATGTACAATCATTATTCAGTGTTCCACAGTTCTGGCACACGGCTTGGCAATCTATAAAACAAAATATTTTAGCATACAAAATTTGAAACTTCCAATGTATCGTTGGATATGCTCTTGATACCTGGCCTAAGATAACATAATATTTATTTTACAAATTAATTTCCTTTACAGACTTTGTTTTGCTATATATTTTCATAGGCGTACAACACGTTTTCGCCAGTGGGCTTACGCCTCATAACTTCCACTTTCTTTTTATAAAAGGAAAAAAAAAGAAAAAAAAAGAATATGAGGTGTTGGATAAGTCGAATATAAGCACTTTCATATTCGTCTCGAACGCATAGGCCTATGTTTTTTTTTTAACAATGACGTATGTCATTTGAATCATTTTAAGTTGATGTGCAATTTGTGCGTCATCTCATTTTTTTTCTATGATTAAAATTACAGTTAGCAGTTCTATCCAATGTATTTGATCTACACAATGATTCTTATTCAGTCTAGTGTTTCATTTTTCAGTTATTGATATTACATAAATGTACACTAGCGACAGGTAACTATCTCTATGAAAGCATGAACTATTCACGATTAAACTGTTATTATATATATGTTGGATCATAACTTTATCATTTACACGTGATAGCATGGTAAAATATCTATCTTTCAGAAAATGTTAAAAGTATAACTAAGAATCAAGAAGAAAATCAAATGAAGAAAAAAAATTAGGTTTGAAAAAACTAACTTACCACAGGTTTCACTGTGCTCAGAACATAATCCTGAAATTTAAAAAAAAGAGAGGTTTTTAAAATGTATTTGTTTGTTTTTATTACATTTTGTTTTCTACGGCCATAAAACTGAAAATAGCTTGCTAGAGTTGGGTTCAGGAGCGGTTCTAGATTGTTTTCTTCTTCAAGCTAATAAATACTATGTAACATGATCTACCATTCCCTCCTCTTCCCCATCATCTCTCTCTCTCTCTCTCTCTCTCCGTCTGTCTGTTTGTCTGTCTTACTCACTCTCACCCTTTCTCTTCTCTCTAGCTCTCTCTTTCATTTGTGCATTTATTTATCTGATTATGTTTCTTTGTCTCTCCCTCTCCCTCTCCCTCTCCCTCTCTCTCTCCCTCTCTCTCTCGCCATCCTTTCCATTTCCTACCAGTCGTTACTTTTAGTGCACGTGCAAATCTCATCTATCTGAAGAGCTAAAATTATATTTCAATTGATAAACTTCGTGGCCTATACTAGAAATAACTTTTGTTACAGTTCATGCACTTACTACATTGATTATCATAACATTGTCCGATGCCTGATGCACACTGTGTGCAGCTGCTACCAGTCGTATACGGGCGTACACCGTTGTAGTTCCCTCTGATATTACAAAATAGCGATACAAAAATGTTCACATAAATCAGACAAAAAGGCCTTGTGAATTCCTAGTTTGGGTAATCACTATAAAATGTAATCTAAAAACTTTAATGACAACCAAATCAAATCATTCATTTTTCAGGAGTGTGTATCCTTTACAGGAGGAAATAGGCCTACATGTATCATCTATTAAAAACAAAGAGACTTTGTTCTGTATAGTAATCTAGGTTTAATATTATAAACGATTCAAATTAATGTCTCTTTGAAGTATTGTGTCAAGATTTTCTTTGAAAATTACCGACAACATGTGGCTGATAGAAATGTGTGAATATAAAAGTCATATTTCAAGTATCGTCAAGTTTACATTTCAAATTTGTTGATGTGTTGGCCTCAGACATGAACAAAACAAACGATATTAACTATTTAAAAAATAAATTTCCTTCAGATATGTTTGCATACCTCAAACAAAACTATGATAACATTTCAGGTATAACATGGCTGAGTACAATAAACAGTTGGTGGAAAATGAAATCTCTTTGAAAACCGATAGAATCAAACTTGTTTTATAGATTCTTATTTTACGATAAGTACATGAATGACGTCATACTTACGCGGGTCCATAATTACAGGTTACGATATAGGCGTTCGTCCAGCCGTTAGAAACTGAGGAGCAAAAGGTTCGGCCACATCCCACAGCATATGTGTCATCCCATACAACCTAGTGAGTCGACATTTGAAAAAGGAAGTATTATTTATATGTATTTAAAGAAAACATCATTCCTTTCTTCGTACGTGCTTTTTTTTAAACTGAACTCTATCTTGAGAAGTTGTCATTATGTATTTTATAACCCGATTTATATAGACCGAACACAAATGAAGTAGTTATGAAGGGTGAGACTTCTGTTGGTCTCCAGAAATGTATTTGAAAGGTGTGGCTACCTTTGGTATTTCATCTTCTGAAGGATGAATGTCATCTTTATTCTAAAATATTAAACATACATGTACATGTATAGAGTACCGAAGCTGTGACATCATAAAAATCTATTTTTAGATTTTTTTTCAATTTTTACTTCATTTTCCGAAAGAGCATCAAATATAATGACCAAATGTCGAAAACCAATTGAATATGTTAAGTATTGGCTGAGATATGACCATCTGAAAAAATAGATTTCCTATAGGAACTCTGTGTCATTTTGCTCTGGCTCGTAATGTTATGAACCAGAGCAAAACAACACTGAGTTCCTATATAGGAAATCTATTTATTCAGATGGTCATATCCCAGCCAATATACTCAACATATTCAATAGGCCATTTTCGTAATGTAACCAAACTTAATGCATAAGTCTTTGTACCTCAATACAAATTATTTCATTCACCTGATAAGAATAATAGTATTTCAATAGACAGAATCTGAACTGCAGACATTAGTTGTTGCCAGGTAGGACAAACATTATGGCTTGACCTACCTAGCAACACTTAATATATGCAGTTGCATTCTGACTATAGAAATACTATTATTCCTAACAGGTGAACGAAATTATCTGTATTGAGGCACTCACAAACATTTATGCATTACATTTGGTTACATTACGAAAATGGCCTATCGATTTTCGACTTTTAGACATTATTTTTGATGCTCTTTCGGAAAATGTAGTAAATTGAGAAAATCTAAGAATAGTTTTTTTGATGACGTTATACTTCACCACATACTGTTACTTAAATGAGAGAAACTGTAAAACGTTAACTTCTTCTTTTTCTTCTTCATCATCATCATCATCATCATCATCATCATCATCATCACTACATCCTCATCATCATCATTACATCATCACCATCATCATCCTCACCTGTGTATAATGCCCACAGACATCAGAACAACTGTGTGTGTCATAGTCGTAGTACTGGTCTTCATTATACCATGACTGTGTTGGTCCTACTCCATCCGGCTGGGACCCAGTCCCAAGCCATAGGTTCTGGCCTACCGATGAGAACGGCGAGATGTTTGTAGGATTACCATGTTCCCAGAGGCACTCGTCGGACCAGTCCTGGGCCATTGAGGCTAAGTCGTCATCCCAGCTCTAGAGAAAAAAATATGGAAGAAAAGAAAAAGAATGTTGTAGTAGATGTCCAGAATTGTCCATGTCCTAAATGAATCCAAATATGTCTCTATTGTGATCTAATGACTGGACAAAGTGCATACAAAAAAATTACATAGAAAATCAAATCATACAAAACAAAGGATGAAATATCATTTTAAAAACATTATCGTGATTCCCATGAGCATTTACAAGTTGCCGGAAATGATTATGAGAACTGATCCCCATATGAAATAATAATATATCACTAAAATAATTCACCCTCATGTTTTTTTAAACATAGGCATATACTCTTGATGATGTGTTGAAAGCTCATTTTTATCAAAGTCCCGTTTTTAACGAGATGAAATTAGTGCTTTCGTTTTAATTTTTCAAATTACAGCTAGATCTATATAGTAGAGACGAACCTTGTCAAGCAGACCAAATAGACCTAAAGTAAAGGAAACCAAAGCTATAGGTTGTCACCTGCAATATTGTACTAGTGTCACTAAGGGCTTTATAGATCGCTACAATCGGACCTCTGAGTCAGGCCTGCTCTGAGTAGTCCACAACAAAGTGAACAAACCTGCAAAGAGTCTGCTGGGGGGGGGGGGGGGTTAAGGTTTTTTTTTGATGTTGTCAGTGATTTTTTTCCTTCTAAATGTTTCAATTTATATAACCTTGTAATCAGTTATTGTTAATACATGCTTTTTTCCTTGTAAATATGTTTTTGAAGTTACACAACCTTGCCATTTCCTTGTAATCATTTTTGTACATTACCATGTTTTTTGTTGTTGTAAATGAACTTCTTGATCTCGGTTGGCGGACTCTAGATCTGGGACCTGCTTGTTTTGGGGGCCCTGCGCGCGTGAGACTGTATCGTATCCATGATCGTATCCTACCATCTTTCATGATTTGAATTGCGCAGATCCTTGAGACACGTTGGTCTCGTTGACAATCCGCTGGGATTGAGAGGTCCATCCTCCACAGGGGCCCCACTCACAAGCATTGCTTTTTGATGTCTCAATTTGGATCATGTTTGTTCTTCATGATTACTATGCCATGTGTTTTTTAATCAAACTGAACTGAACTGTAAATAAATATTTGCAACGTCGTCTGCTATCATGTTTGTTCGTCATGATATGCCATGTGTTTTTTAATAAAACTGAACTGAACTGTAAATAAATATTTGCAACGTCGTCTGCTATCATGTTTGTTCGTCATGATATGCCATGTGTTTTTTAATAAAACTGAACTGAACTGTAAATAAACATTTGCAACGACATCGTCTGCTATCATGTTTGTTCGTCATGATTACTATGCCATGTGTGTTTTCGAGAGTGGTCTTTGACCAAGTCGCTTTGCGGAATAAAATTGGCCGATGTGACGCGTTAGTGGTACGGAAAAAATAATCGCGGCCCGGGACACCAAACGTTTTTAATTTGAACAAGAACCTTATTTCACTTCTTCCTTACAATCTTAGCATTGATGATAATCATATTAAAACAATTTCTTATCTGCAAACACGAGGATAAGACCTCCAAACCCCCGTAAGTTTAACCAACAGTGGTTAAAACTAACCAAAAACCCACTAAAGTTTAACTAACATCGTGTGAATCAAAACAGAATATTAACCAACAATGGTTACAATTTTAACCAACGGCCCATGTAAGTTTAACCAACGTCATGTGAATCAGCCCCGAACAAAGCATAAATAACCAACAAAAGGTTAAAGTTTTAATCAGCAAAAGGTTAAAGTTTTAATCAGCAAAAGGTTAAAGTTTAATCAACACCATTTTAACCAACATTGAGCAATTTTTTAAAACCAATAAACGATTAAATATGTAATCAACCACAGGTTAAATTTTAATCAACAGGCCGTTGGTTAAAGTTTAACCAACAGTTGTGTGATTCATATGGTAATCCATGGTTGATTAAAATGTTAACCAAGTTGATTAAAAATTGTAATACTTGTTCTAACAGTGTGGTTAGAATGCTTCCCAAGGGAGTGGAGAATGTGTACGCATTGTGCGGGCAAGCCTGAATCCGATGACTGGGGTAAGATAAGACCTACGTCAATTCCATCTCTGCGCGCTCTCTCTCTCTCTCTCTCTCCCTCTCTCTCTCCCTCTCAATTATAAAAAAAAAACGTTATTGTACTATTCCTTTGTTAGCATTAGCATCACAATCATTAATACGTGTTTGGGGTATACAGTGTGAGTCAATAAAAAGTTTACACTTAGAAAATTGCTAATTATTTTAAAAATCATCTATGAACAGTAAATTATTATACATCTTATGAAAGAGTGTTTTATCCCTAATCATTTAGTATCATTTTGTGTGGTATGTGTTCACGCTAGAAAAAACAGGGGGTATTATTTGCGAAAGTGCAAAAATCGTATCGTAATTTAATGTTCATAGATGATTTTTAAAATAATGAGAAATTGTCTAGGTGTAAACTTTTTTTTCTAACTCACACGGTATGCGATCCGACTACGATTCGATTCTGGAAGAATTTACAATTGCATTTTAAATGTATATTCTTAATAAGAATATAAGTCTATAACTCATAACATTTCAATGAAGGATGATTTGAATAGTCATAATGATTAATAAGATAAGATTTTAATAGACTTTAAGCTTTCTTGGAGGAGGAATAGATAAATCCACTCAAAATCGTAAAGTGACGTTAAAAGACGGGAGTTGCTGCTACCTTGTTTGGCGTTCAATAATAAGGGATATAGCAACGTCGATCTGGCGCTGCTTAGTGGCTGCCGGGCTCACGATCAATTGGGCAAAAAGAATTTCCATTTTTGGTTTAACTTAATAAAATTTTGAGTGGACTTTAAAAGATTATTATTATTATTATTCGTGCGATTGTCTACGACTTGAAGCCGAGTTGGCTTTTATTCTGACTAGATGGCTTAAATTCACTATAATTCCGGATATATCTATTCGTTTCATTATTTAGAACCTACTTCAGGAAAATGATGTTTGTTACGATTTCCGTATATAAGATAATTGTAATTTCTTCGAAAATCGGATCGGAAGAAGATCGTATATGAGCGGTGGGCTATAGTTGTTACGCTCATTCATTGAAATTTGTTCTTTCAAAAGAATTCAAGGGATCTAAAACCATGCATGTCAATCCATATTTTGTACGAGACATCATTCTAAATTACAAAACGTGGGAGAAATACCGTATACAAAATAAAACAAGGTATATTTAGTTATCCCCGAAATCTCAAAGGATAAAAGTTTCACCGTGAAAGTCACACACAACATGCATCATTTCAAAAGTTTTGATAAGCCTTTGACTGTTTGAAAAACAACATCACTTTTGTTCCAGAAATTGATAATCGCCCATTACAATCTATATATATAATTACATTCTTTATGTTAATTTGGACGTCATAATACTTATACCATATAGTTTCAATTTATGGATGTTTCTCTCCAGATCTCCTGTCTATTGACTATTTAATAAACATGCTATTCATAATGGATCTCAGATGGAATCCACTTTACATTTAAAAATATTCCGCTTATTTATAGCGCTTAATACATCGATGCAGGCGCGGATCCAGGGGGGGGGGGGCCGAGCGTGCCTTGCCCCCCCCCCCCCCCCCCAAAAAAAAAAAAAAAAAAAAAAAAAAAAGAAGAGAGAGAGAAGGAAAAGAAGGGAAAGAGGAGAGAAAGGGAAAAAAAGAAGAGGAAGAAGAAAAGAAAAGAGGGAAGAAGGAGATCGGGGGGAAGGACTTGCCTCCCCCTCCCCCCCCCCCCCAATACAAAACTAAAAGAGAAGGAAGGAAAGGGAAAGAAAAAAGATAAAGAGGAGATAAAGGGAAGGACAAAATAGGAAGAAGAAAAGAAAAGAAGGGGGATAACAGTTGCAATTTTCCCGCCAACAAGTTGTGGATCGAGGGGGGGGGGGCAAAAGACCCTAGCCTCCCCCCCCCCCCGCCCTCCCGTCCCCGCTAAAAAAGAGAGAAGGAAGGAAAAGGAAAAGAGGAGAGCTTAAAGGGAACAAAAAGAGGAAGAAAAAAAGAAAAGGGAGAAAAGAAGCGGAGATCAGTTGCGGTTAATCCCGCCAACAATGTATGGAGCGGGTTGGGGACCAAAATGACCGTGCCCCTCCCCCCCCCCCCCAGCAAACCTAAAAGAGAGATAAGGAAGGGAAGGGAAAGTGAAAAAGGAGAGAAAGGGAAAGGAAAAAAAGAGAATGAAGAAAGGTAAGGGATATCAGTTGCAATTTTCCCGCCAACAAGGTGTAGATTGGAAGGGGGGGGGGCACTGGCATACTGATAGGGGAGGGGGGGGGGGTTGGAGAAATAGAATTCAAACGTGGTTTATTTATAATTCCATAACGGTGGTTAACAAATAATGCTGAAATGAGATAATTTTTCTCACTTCATCCGTTTGTTGGAAAATGACAAATTCCTAAATTTACAGCCAGGCAAGAAAATGCTTCTTGAGATGCCTACATATCAGGGCCCGCGGAACGGCGGGGATCGGGATCCTCGAGCCCCTCCCCCACACTTTCTTTGAAAAAGTATATTAAAGAGAAATAGAAAGAAGAGAGCGAGAAAGAAAAAATAGTTAACTACCAGTGTCACATTATAATGGGGTATAAAAATATGCTCATCTGACCATGATTAAAATTAATGCCTAAAATCCTAAGGGCTCTGCCCCCTGGATTCCACCTAGGGCCCTAAGGCGGGCCCTTAGATGCTCATATGACGGTCATTTAATGCCTAAAACCCCTGAGCTTCTGGGGGCTCTGCCCCCTGAACCCAACCAAGAGCCCTTAGGCGGGCCCCTCGATACTCATTTGACCGTAATTGAGTGCCTAAAACCCTTGAGATTCCGGGGCTCCGCCTCCTGAACCCCAAGCCAATTAGTGACCTGCCATTGTAAAAATTAGGTATCAAAATAATGCTCATCTGACCGTAATTAAATGCCTAAACTCCTGAACTTCCGGGGCTCTGCCCCTGGACCCCGTCTAGGGCGCTAAGGCGGACCCCTGAATGCTAATCTGACCGTAAATTAAAACCTAAACCCCTGAGCTTCCGGGGCGGACAAGGTATCAACATATGTTCATCTGACAGCAGGCGCGTAGCCAGGGGGGCGGTGGGGTGGTCCCCCAATAAACGCCGGCCAAAAAAGAGAGGAGTGTAAAGGAAGAGGACGTAGGAAGAAAAGGGAATAGACAAAGAACATATTTGAAATTCAAACAAGGATTAAGAGTCGAGAACGGTACAACGAATCGTCTTCTTTCTCTAATGAATTAATGAAACGTCAAAGTTTCCGCGCTACGTGCGGGGGAGGGCAGGTGAGGGCAGGGGGAACTTAATTCAGACGAGGATAATTTTCGGGAACGGTACAACGAATCGTCTTCTTTCTATAATAATTTAATGAAAAGTAAAAGCTAAAAGGGTGAGGGAAACTAAATTATTTTCGAGAGCGGAACAACGAATCGTCTTCATTCTCTAAAAATTTAATGAAACGTCGAAGCGGGGGGAAAACTGAATTTAGACAAGGATTAAGAGTCGAGAACGGTACGACGAATCTTCCTCTTTCTCTAATGATTTAATGAAAAGTAAAAGCTAAAAGGGTGAGGGAAACTAAATTATTTTCGAGAGCGGAACAACGAATCGTCTTCATTCTCTAAAAATTTAATGAAACGTCGAAGCGGGGGGAAAACTGAATTTAGACAAGGATTAAGAGTCGAGAACAGTACAACGAATGGTCTTCTTTCTTTAATGATTTAATGAAACGTAAAAGCTTCCGCGCTTCGCGTGGAAAGGGGGAAACTGAATTAAGACAAGGATTAACAGTCATAACGGTACAACGAATCGTCTTATTTCGCTAATGATTTAATGAAACGTAAAAGCTGTATTCAGACGAGGATTATTTTCGAGAACGGTACAACGAATCGTCTTCTTTCTCTAATGATTTAATGAAACGTACAAGCTTCCGCGCTTCACGCGGGAGGGAGGAGGGGAAAACTGAATTCAGATGAGGATTAAGAGTCGAGAACGGTACAACGAATCGTCTTCTTTCTCTTATGATTTAATGAAACGTAAAAGCTTCCGAGCTTTGCGCGGGAGAGGGGGATGAATTAAGACGAGGATTAAGAGTAAAAAACTGTACAACGAATCGTCTTCTTTTTCTAATGATTTAATGAAACGTAAAAGCTTCCGCGCTTTGCGCGGGAGGGGAAAAACTTTTTTCAGACGAGTAGGCACGTACGGAAGGGGGGGGGAGGGGGTTAGGGGTTGACCCTCCCCCCTTCGGTTTTTATGTGTGTATTTTGGAGCACCCCCCCCCCCTTTCTGTGATTTTTTTTTTTTTTTTTTAAATTTAAAAAAAAAAAAAAAAAAATATGCCAACGGCTGACCTAAAAAAGGTGACCTAACCCCCCCCCCCCAACGGAACAAAATGTCAAATTTTCAAATTTCGAGACCAAAACAAAAAATGTGTCCTCTCCCCCCCCCCCCCCCCCCCCCCCCCCCCCCCTCGCTTATTTAGCGGCTGGCTGAGTCGTTACGATTTTTTTTCGGACCAAAAAAAAAAGTGGGCCCCCCCCCCTAAGAAATCCTGGATCCGCGCCTGCATCGATGATATCTCTATTAGTTGTTGTTATGTCTGACAGGCTTCTGACAAGCTTTTAAGTTACTAAGACAAACTTTTATTTCAACCGTAAGCATGAAATGAGTAAACAGCTATTCAAAAGAAAGAAGAAAAAAACCTTTGTCATTTGCATTACCAACGGATAGCATCACATTGCTGATAGATGCCTCACCTCCCCCAAGTTTATATGATAAATACAACGTATCAGCTAATTCATAACATAGGATCATGGATCTGATAGGAATGCTTTATTTCTACATATTTTTTTTTAACTGTAATACACGCAAGTTTGAATACATGACATTACATAAATAAGATGAAAAAAGTACATGATTAATGTTTGAGATACGAATAGTGAGACTCGTGTTCATTGTTTAAAGAATTCTATATAGGCCTATTTGTAATTGATCATAACGTGTTTCGTCTTAGCAGTTTCAGCAATCAATATATTTCACCTAAACATTGCTCGTCTCATCAACGATCTTCTACTATCTTCTTCTTTTTTTGCAGGATATATTATAGCTTAAAACCGCAAGGTTTCGAATTCAAGCTTAAAGTGGATGACAAGTCTTGCTTTTATTGTCTAATGAACAGACTCATGAGACTCATGCCCTTATGTGTCCATTGGTTTGTCTTTAAACATATTGTACAATACCATTGTAAAGTGTACCGAATGTTAGTTCCTCTGTATCCGTTCTCATATCCATTTTGTGTACAATTGTGTTAGACCTATGTGTGAGAACACAGACAAACTTCAAAGTCATGTGGAAATGATTAAATCTGGAGGGAAAGAAAAGAACAACACATTTTTTTTACACTGATGTCATTAGGCAGTGTACAATTTGTTTATATAAATAATGAGTTTCGCTTTTTTGTTGTATTAAATTTCATATTACTTTATGGTTACAGAATCAATCTCATTCTGTAATGCTTCAAAATCATACTGAATTAGAATTAATATACTTTTTGAAGTTGCTATAGTTACCAAAGATTATTATCTCGACTTACCATGAATTCCATATTGGCGGCTTCGGGTGAAACCTGTCCTCTCAGAAGATTATGTCTGTCTAGAATTCCCTGGATCTCCTCTGCCGAAAACGACGTCGATCTCTTTTTACGACGTCGACGCTCGTCTTCCTCATCATCGCTTGCACTTCCACTTGATGTTCCTGAATGCTCATCTTTTCTGTCGAAAACGCGCGAACTAAATCCGTCATAAATTTCATAATTTGCATTCATGGCGAAAATAAGTGGTGTACCAACGATGTGCTTTCCAATATACTGATCATTCCTACCCCTGGTGAGTTTGCCATCCACTGAACTAAAAACAAAAACTGCTAACAAGAAGTAAACCCCCTTCATCGTTCCCATGTTTGATGACAAGGAGAAATGAGGAAATTGGAGATCCGTGATTGATTCCGAGTTGGATGTTGTCAAGTACTTTCAGTTGTCAAGTACTTTTCTCCCAGGAGAGTTGTACGCTAGCAGAGAGAAACTCTCGGATGATATCCGAAACGATTGTTCTAAATTGCAAGATTCCCACATAAAGAACAATCTGATGTTTTTTTTTTTGATCCTCAAAAAAATTTCTATTTGCACCCCCCCCTTGAGCGCCAGGGGGGGGGGGGGGGCCCAACCCACAAAAAAGGTAAAAATCACGTGATTTTACATGATTTTTTTTCTCAAGGGGGGGGGGGGCGGGCCCCCGGCCCCCCCCCCCCTGGATCCGCCACTGAGCTTGGTATATCCTTTTTCCTCTTCTTTATTTCCTTTTATATTATCTTTCCCTTTCCCTTTCCCTTCTCTCTCTCTCTTATTTATTTTTTGGCGGGGGGGGGGGGGGGGAGGGGGGTGAGGAGAAGCCAAGAGCCCTTCGCCCCCCCCGTTCCCCTCTTTTCTTCTTTTTCTTCTTTCTTTCCTTTTATCTTCCCTTTCCCTTTCCCTTTTTTCCTTCTCTCTGTCTCCCCATCAACATAGTAATAACGAAAGAGAACACTCTGTAATCAAGACCATTCCATTTTATTTAATACATTTTCGATATACTTAAATTGGCAACTATTACCTTCTGTCCCAGATCCTCATTTTAAACGACTGATGCGAAAGACTAGTCGACGCACCCTTTCGAGAAAAGCCCCCCCCCCGCTTTTATCGAAAGGGTGTGTTAAAACGGTACTCCGCTCTCAACGCACCCTTTCGAGAAAAGCCCCCCTCTTTTATCGAATGGGTGCGTTGAGCACACCACACCGCGCCGCGCCGCACCGCACCCTTTCGATGAAAGCCTACAGCCTGTACCTTACATTATCCTCATGGTCATTGGAATTAGAAATTGTTCTCAGTGCAACAGTTTACTTAATTTTAGAGAGGTGACAAACAGAAGCATAAATTGCATGCTAATGGCTCATCACAGTATACAAGTATCCATGTTACTGCGGTAGTGTGCTCTCTAGTCACTATTTTTGTCAAATACTCAACTAAGTTAGACCCGTAAGCTTTTATTATGTGATATCCATGATGCCTAATTCATAGTCATTCATTGCACAACTTTAAAGTAGAACACCCAATAATAGTTTAAGTATAATATCGATGGAAAACTTATAATGTGCAGAATACAATACATTTTTTCAATTAAGATATCAGAATCCACTAAGACACAATAACTAATCGAAGTTTGTCACTACACCCCCACTTCATCTAAGGTCATTCAGAGTTCAAATTAAGCCTGTAATTCATGACGCCACAGAATGTACACCTTTCTTGATCGCCGATCTATGCAGTGCTACAAAAGGCAAGCCTACATATGAGCTTATAGCTACATCAATAGGAAGGGGGCTTTAGTTGTTGATGTGGTACTGGTTGTGCTATTAATGTAGTTGTAGTAGAGATATGCATAAAAAGAAATGATACTTGGTTTCAAAATGTGTCTGGAAGGCTTGCATCTGTCAATAATCTTCCCGCAGTTGATGCAGTATACCATAAACTATATATGCATGGTGAATTAAAATAAAAAACAAATACCAATGGTATACTCTGTAAGCACAAGCACTTACAAAAAGGCTAAAACTGGCCGACCTAAACATTAGGTGAAATTGACTGCATTCTTAAAAGTAGTTAAGTCCCTTGAGGAAAATGATGAGGAACAAACAGCAGTAGTTGATTTTGTTACTAAGATATGCAAGAGTATTTTCTGGATACAGATCATGATGCCGACAGCTAGTGGGGTATACATGAACAAGAAAATACAGGGGTACTTCGGTGAGAGGATTATATAACTGAACTGAAAGGACAGAATGATGTAGTTACATTTCGTACTATTCTGTATGAATTTCACAAGCAGCCAAAGAACAACACACCAAAGCAGGAGAAAATGAAGATTATCAAGACTGCTGCCTCACTGTATAAAGAATGATGTCAAGTTATTAAAAGAAAAATTACATGCAGTGACGCGTTTACCTGCATTTCTTTGTTTGTTGGTGAAAAGGTAGATTGTGATGCTGGCATCTATTGGGCAAGCCATAATGCACGCAAAACGTCCAGGGGTTCTCCTTGCTCATCTTCAGCTTGGACTACAAATGCATTATCAATTCTCATCTCGATTTCTGATCGACACACATGCATGCGCAATGCTTCTAATGCTCTTATCCGGTGGTTAAGAAATATGAAAGAAGTGCGGCAATGAAGCAGATCGTTCTGCAAGGCATTTGATGACGGGCTCAGGACCCCAGGAACTTCTTGAAGTAGTGTATGCCATATATGCTGGTTGGAAATGCGATGATTTCTAGAGCTGCATGTGCGGGGCCATTTACTCGTTGATGCTGCTCTAAATACCATGCTGATACCAGACTTGTATAATGTACATCTGCCAACGAGTACAAACAACCTCCGGAAGCTCCTATGGTGTTCACTATAGGAATGTCCAGAGGTTAATTGTTCAGCACCCATGTGTTCCATGTGGAGTAGCTAATTTCGGAGAGCAGCCCACTTAAGTTCTCTCTCAAACAACTACTAACGGACACCATCTTCCTAATCTTCACTGTGACGTAGCAATTGACGAAGAGCAGATTCCTGGAATTAATTGTGATATGCATCAGAAGTTTAAAGCCACAGTTCTTGTCGGTGATGTCACAAACCTTCTCATCTTGCTAATCTTCTACGCTGATCTGAATGCAAAGGACTTCTTCTTTTGCACCTGAGCCCAAGGCAACTCCAAGAAGAACCGAACATGGAATATCAAACAGCTGAAGGAAACTCTAGGAAGTAGTGTGTGTGACTACTTTCTCCTTGCCATGTGCTTCCGGGCTGCGACACAACGTCTCGCATATTTGGACTAGGGGAAGGCGTAGCACTGAAGAAAATCACTGAAGAATGCACTGAAGAATGACGACTTCTGTGAGCTTGCCATGGTATTTAGTCCGAGCCGGCATCAGACCTGAAGAAGGCCATTATTCCAGCTGGAGAGAAGGCACTGTTATGCCTGTATGGTGGTGACTCAATAGAAGATTTGCGTAAAGGTATCACCAACCTTGTCTGCCTTAGAACTTCAGCAGCAGGAAAGTTCCACAGTCTGCGTGTGTACTATCAGATATTCGAATGAAAAGGAATGGCAGACAGCCTGACATTGGGAAACTGAGTTGGCAGGTCATGGATGGGAAGTATCTTCCAATAAAAACTGATAAAACAGCCAGCATCCACATAACACGTTAAGGTCATCAGATGTGGATGCATCCTGTAATAACAACTGCACTGGGATTGTAAACCAACATAGACATAGCTGCTTTGAAATGCATTGTAAGGTGAGAATCAACACTAACTTTATGCAAATTAACCTACTTAAAAAAATGTATGTGTATATGCAAATTAAAAAAACCTAATAATGAAACATTTGAAATATAAAAATATTTGTACAACATACATGTATATACAGTGTAAGTGTTGTTGCAATAAGTCTGAATGTAACATATAGGACAAAAAATATAATTATAATAAATTCTTTACAAAAATGTTTAATTTAGCAGCCATTTTGAATTTAAGCAAATTAAAACACTCAACCGGGCATATGAAACCTTATGCAAACAGAAAATTTCTTGGAAAAAACATTTTAGACTTTCAAAGTACACTAAAAGTACGCTAAAAAGTATGTATGGTGAATATTGTGACCAAATCTAGGAGAAACCCTAAAATTGACGGCCATTTTGGATTTATGGAAATTACACGGATAATGTAAGGTATACATGCTATACCCCTAATATCTCTACCAACAGCTCTTGTGTTTGTACAGATACTCATAAGGGCCAGTTTTTCTGAATATTTTTATTTTAGTTTTTTTCAATATAATTAAAATGATATTATTATTATTATTATTATTATTTTAAATTAAATAAATGTAATGCTTCCTGGAAGAAATTTCAATAGTTTGAACATATTTGTGGCTTACACCCAGTACGACCAATTACAGATCGATCAATCGATCTTATTTACTGGGTGTAAGCCACAAATATGTTCAAACTAAGACATGATATTTGTCTAGTACATAAAGAAATAACATCGCTGCTGAGGTGATAAATTGAGCATAAATTACATGTTGGATTGTGTGAGTGTGGGTGTGCGGGGGATTTGTTTCAGGTGTGTGATGTATCTGTAGTATATGGGTATTTTAGTTGATACAAATTGTACAGCAGATCACTTTTCCTACTCCTTTAGTACCACAACAGCCTATACAAGTTGAAAAATATGACAAAATCTATGTGAAAAACCGGCGAAAAAGCGGCCATATTGGATTTATGTAAATTAGGGACACTTCCACTACTTGGATTTTTTTGGACTTTTAGTATGTCATTTTGGGGACCTTACTGAAATGCATTGCAGTGAAAAATATTTTATTGCAATTTGTTTGACCTCAAAACACAATATTCCTAGCCTATAATATCTCTAGCTGTTCTCTCCCAGTTCTCATGCTCAATCTTTCTCTCCCATCCTCTTTTTTTTCTTCTCCAATATGCACAAATATATCACAAATTGATTATTTCTACTAGTGTAAGGAATGTTTATTTCCCTAGTTTCCCTTTTCTTTTTCTTTTTTTCTCCAAATAATTTTTCAAAAGGCCTAGCCATATAGTCACATGCCTTTTCATATACTACTTGACTACCAGAAGAAAAAAAAAACTCCTCCTTTTTCTTCCTCATCTGCTAGATATTGACAATTAAGCATCATCACAAGTTAGTCTTGGTTTGCAAAACAGTTTATGGCAATCTCCACTTTAACTGACTTCAACTTGATAACATTTCTCCACACGTAACTTAATTGTATATCCATTGTCTGTTAGTGTTTTCATGCACTAAAACTTACTATTTGCTAAACCATCATAGTCAGAGGATTAATACAAAAAACAATATATGACACTTAAAATGTAAGAGAAAGTTTCTTTTGTTTTTATTATAGGTCAAACAACATCACAACATCATAAGAATTTCATAAGCATTGGAATATATATCTCTTTTCATATATAAATGGTTGTGAAGAACAAAGATATCACAAAAGCAGCTAATTTACAAATTATACAAAAATATATGTACATTTACAATTCTCAATTCAAACTGTCTTTAGAACACTTACTTTCATTCAAGGTTCTGTCCAATTATTACATTCACAAGGTGATCAAAGTAGGCACAAAATATCTGAAAGAATCTGAAAGGTTAATCCTTCTCTCTAGTCCCTCACAGACAAGTACTTGTATATATTTTCACAATATTAAAACTCACAACTTTTCTGATCCATTCTTCCTAGAAAAAAGTGCTATACATTCACAATTTAAGTGAATATTCCATTGCCAATATAAGCATATATATATATATATATATATATATATATATATCAGTTAACATTAACATGTATTGGTTTAAAAAGACATTCCTTTTTACATCAGTTGCATACATAAGAGCACTGAAAGTGCTAAAGGCATGGAAATATTTCTGACAGAGGAAGATAGAAAACACTTAATTTGGTCACACATTATAAACCACCCTAATCAAAGAAAAATCAAACATTCATTTACATGCCATAAAGTTTCATACAATAAATCAAAATAGAATTGCTTGTGTGGTATACAATACTCTAATCCACATTCTTATATCACAATTATTCCTTCATAGAAAGAAAAAGGAAAATAAAAGTCACTTCGGTGAGAATGGACGGGAATACCTTGACATCGGACAGAATACATATGCTTACCAGGTGCATGGACGGAGGTACATTTGGGAAATGTTTACATCCTGACATACAATTATTTACAATAATGCATATTACACAAATATATATATAGCGCACCATCTCATTGCAGGAAATTCTGAGAACAAAGTGCATGTAACTCTCAAACCTTTACAGAACTGCATACATACAAGATCAATTTTCAAAATAAATATATCATGACATATCTGTAAGTGTAGAGTTAATCATTGATTCAATCTAAATATAATTCAAAGAATGCTAAATAACTTTTTATGATTATGGTACTATGTTTTATAGTCTCACAAATTCTTCTCAACTTACTGCATCAAATTAAAAATCAATCACAGCAATGATCTGAAAAGAAAACAGTCAAACATTCTCTTCTCTTCTCTCTCTCTCTCTCTTTCTCTGTCTCTCTCACATACATGAATTGTCAACTGAAGTCATTTCTTCCCATTAATGAAGTCAATCTAGTCTCATTGCCATTCTACATGTTTATCAGGCAATAATTCCATTCACTACATCATAAAAAGTATGAAAACCCTCATAAACTTCAAGAGGGTATTCACAGCACACACTTATTTCAATTTACAAAGTCTTGAATGTCTTGCATGTAGTTATATATTTACAAGGCCTTAAAAAAAAAGTGTACAATCATCACAATAAAGCCTTTTCTATATACATATCACCTTTCATATTTACATGTATGGCTCTCTTCACATGTATTTACAATGTCATTTAATCCTCATCATGAATTTCAAAAAGAAATATCTTTTGAAATTAGGTATAATACAAATATCTTCTACAAAATATTGAAGAAAAAAGGCATAAAGGCATAACAGTTTTTTCTATATCACTCTTCATTTTTAGGAATGCCCTGTGGATAAAGACCTCAACATTTGTTTTCAGATGTTAGTGTTTACAATAAAATATACCTCTACTGGGCTGTATTTGATTTGAGTAGATTTTTCTTCCAACTGCAAATTTGACAGTATCATAAATCTCACAGCAGTATAAGTATCAACAATATTAGCAAGTGTCTTTTTTACTTGTAGACTGCTTTTCCAGTTCCAAGTAAATGGTCAAAAAGCTCAACAGTGTACTTACAATGTATCTCACAACTGATAACTATTGCAAAGATCAAATATCTTGGATGTATGATACATAAGTATTTTGTACATATATATTTACAGGAATGCCATAAGAATATTATATCCAAGATATATGAGTGAAACATTAGTAATCAGTTGTCATTAAATATACACATTCGTCCAGCAATGTTATTTCAAGTAATTGATCTTGCCAATACATGTACAACCATAGTCCATTACATCTCCAATATCTTACAATATAATTTACATAACTTATATGTATGTATGTATAGACACTGGTTTTGGTCTGAACTCCGCATTAGATATGATGTGGAGCAAGTGGATGCACACATAAATATCTTACGTAAAGTAGTGATACCTCTCAAAAGGTGCATCCCTTTGAATCTTCTCCATACAACGAACCTGCATGAAGGAAATCACAGAGGCAAGCATCCCCTTAACAAAATTAAGTACCGGTATAAAAACCTAGGATGTGCTCAGTCGTCCAAGCCACAGAGGAGGGCGACGCCCCTCTTGATCCAGTGATCTACCGGCCGGTCAGTGGGCAGATGAATGGCAAGGACAAAGTTGGTAGAGTGACCGGTGGTGGACAGGGTACCTCTCCTCTCGCTGGTCTTGTACAGAGGGCTGATGTAGTCCCCTTTAGCCTTGAACTCGGCTTTTATGCCTGCAGAAAGAAAAGAAGGGAATTAGAAATTACCATAATTACCAAAGCGATACCTAGTCACACACCCAATAATAATAACAATATTGGGTTCTTGTATAGTGCTCATATCTGTCAGACTTGACACTCCTAGCGCTCCCGATTATTACCCTGGCTTTAGCATGGCTGCCATTACAGTGCTCTAGCATTTCAAGGAATTAATTCCTGCCAGGTACCCATTTTCATCTCCTGGGTTGAGTGGGGCAAATGTAGATCAAGCATGCAGGGTCTTGCAAAAGGACATTAGTGCCGGGGCGGGACTCGAACCGTATGAGAACAAATATCCAAAGTCTTTTGAATGATTACCAGAACATATTCAAATCTACTATCTTATTAGAGGTGTATTCTCTCACCCTTGGAAAATTATTCTGACTCCCATATACTTATTTAACAGAGAAAATAAAAGATTCTTACCTGGTTTGATCCAGATGATTGGTACAGAGTCAAACAGAACCTTGGGTAGTGACTCTCCAAGCATTCCCCTGGAAAACAACAAGAAAACACGATATAATCAGAATTATTCTTTATAATTTGCATTAAATCAAATTATTATGATTCATAAATATTCTCTTCCTATACAATTTGAAAACAATTTTGTGATTATTCACAAGTATACAAACTCTATGAGGAGATATTATTCACAATTACTTTTAGAAGGGTTATAAGATAGTGCAGTAAATCAAATGGGACTGTTTAATAATAAAACTATATCTTACATATCCAACAAAAAGTCAATGATCCAAAGCAATATGAGTTTTGAACAAACAAGATACAATTTACCAGATTTAATAAACAATTTCCGGTAGTACATTTAAGAATGACAATTTTGGTTTAAACATGTTATATCCCTTTCATTATTTACCAAGGACCCAAGGAAAACACTATTTTTCCAAATCAATATTTACCGTTTCCTGTCCCATCTAGCTCCATCCAAGTAGAGTCCATTCACATAAACACCATCGTCAGGAGCCTTATCAGCCGTCTCTGAAGGCAGCACCTACATATGTGAAGAGAAATATAAGACAATATTATCACACTGAAGATGCTCTTCATTTCCCATTTAACCTGCATTTTGATTGGCACTGATTCCAAGTTTATTCTAGCTCAGTATATTCAATCCATACAAAATAGAGAATGCAGGAGGCGTGATGGCTCAGTGGTAGAGCAGTGGTCTCGTAACGGGTATGTCCCGGGTTTGAAAACCAAGTAGAAACACTAGTGCCCTTTGGTAATGCGTTAATCCTCATTAGCAAGTCCCTCGGAGAGGAATTAAAGCTGTCAGTCCCCTGGTTGCATACTAACAAGCATTCACATGCTTTCTTAGCAGTCAGGTAAAACAAACAAACAAATGTACAGAAATGGTATTTAAAAGTAGTGGTATAGGTAGTGGCTTGAAATGTACCCTCTGTTAACCTATTATTTCTGTAATCATATATTGTCTTCATGGCACAGCTAGGGGTGCGTTCGAGTGACACTTTTTCAGCCTAGAAACACGGTTTTCAAAGACGTTTAGTTTAAAACACGGTTGCGTTCAAGCGATTTTTCGTCGGTCTTAAAAATAAACGTGTTTCAAAGCACAAACACGAAACGCTGACAAAGATGCTTTTTGTATCATGGTCGCTAAAAATCACTTGAACGAACGGAGATCTCAATTGTGATTCTATAACATCATTATCGTGGCCTGCTTCTGATTTGGCCGACAGTCGACCGTAAACAAATTCAGAAACGATGCAGCGAAGTTGACCTATACTTCCTGGGTCAAACTGCGCAGTGGCTGGGCTTAAAATGAGCGAGAATCAGCATTGATGAAAAATTGCTTGAACGCTCTCCCGCAGTAACCATGTTTTTTAACGGCGTTTTGATTTGTGATTCATGTTTGTGATTCTAGCTTCATTTTTTGAACGCACCCTAAAAACACAGAGCACTCACCTCAAACTGGAAGCCGCACTTGTCAATGGGTATGGTGTACTTCCTTGCGTAGTTCTGCATGGCTCCTGTAAGGAAAGCCTGAGTGAAGTAGAACCCAGACAGCCAGAAGATCATAGGTTTGCCATCATCGTACCAATCCTGCAGGAACTTCAGCCTGGCCAGGAAATCATTGATGTAGCTACCCAGGGGCTTCAGACTCGGGTAGGAACGCTTGGCCCACACATCTGGCACCTGAAGAACAGGAAACAGGATAGAATACCACTTACATACAATGCTTGGTATCCTTTAACGTAACACAGCGGACAAATTTTTACTTCTAGTGTCACCTTCACAGACCGAGACTTGAGGGTACATGTACAAAGTAATTGGTTGATTAATCACTGATCAATAGCATCATTATTATACTGTAAGTCCCGCGTCCTCCACTTGACTTTTCATTCTCTGATTCTGCTAAGATATCATTATAGTAATTATGACTGCTATGAGAGACATAGATGTTTTTACATGCTCAAGGGGAGGTTACATCGTGCTATCGCCCGAGGCGTGCCGAGGGGTGATAGCACGATGTTACCTCCCCGAGAGTCTATAAAAACAACTATGCCTCGAATGTTAAAGCAGTCATTATAACTTTTATAAACAGAAAAGGGTCATGGAATACATGTGCGACTTACCAATCATGGTATAATTAAACTTTTTTACGCTATCAAGACCTACTCTTTAATAATAGGGTGTCTGATCGCGCGCCACTCGAGTTTGTAAAAAAGTATGGTAGTCGAGCTCCACACAAACTAAGTTAATTAACACGTAAACCAAGGGGATCGCAGTACTCTTACCCGCCTACCAGTCAATAGTCTTTTGAAAAGTGCCCTAGGGTGCCTTTCAAATGACTATTGACTGGTAGGCGGGGCATGGCTAGAAATTACGACTCCAATTTCAACCAATCAGATGGCTAGATTTCTAAAGTGAGGTATATAAAAACTCATAATCACTGTTCCTTTCTTGATATAAGTTATCACCCCTTTGAGGGGACTTCACTTTCACCAAGAGGAATCAATCTTCATCTTCAAGGGAGAATTGCAAGAGGTTTATACAAGCGGCAAATGTTCATAATTTTACTTACTCTTCCGATTAGCAGATTATGAGCCACACCCTCTAGATCAGAGGACATAACAACCAGACCCTTGATAGCCTTCTGAAGATTGAGCAAACTGCTTCGAATCGTAATCAACAGTCTAGGAGATCAAAATAAAGATATAGGTTGATTATAACAATAGGAATGTTTCAGTGATGCTTTCAACATGCTGAACAATAAAAACTTTTAACATAAGGATGATCAGTTGCACAAAGTTATTCCAAAAACAGATTTAAATAATTAAAAAAAAACGATTCACAGGACGAGACATAATTAATGGACATAACAAGCAAATTAAATATTGTTAAAGGCATTGTTTAAAAATGTTAAATCTGAGATGCATCGCCCTACGGGTTATCAGTGTCTGTTATATGGTGTAATATTGAAGCCCTAAAAAAAAATTGCACATCAAAATGATCACGAAGTGCCTCAAATCTTTGAGTGACCGGCTTTACCAATACCATACTCATTTTCCCCAAAAGACTGTAGTTTTATAAAAACCGTTAGGAAAACAAAAAATATAATTTTGATTTCTAATCATAAGTATCTTGATAATCAGAGTCATGGGATTCCTGAATGATCTAAAGGTTTATAGATATGATTGCAGCATGAGCTATATCCAGGATTTTGTTTCAGAATCTGAGGCAATGTCACAGAGTCACTTTAATGTAATATCTGCATTAACACATAAATTCATACATATTTGTGAATCAGATACATACTAATGTGGATAAAACAAGACTCCAATGAAAAAAATTCTTAATTGAAAAATTAAAAGATGTGTTTAGCTTCATCAAAACTCTTTGCTTACGTGTTAAATCTTTCCATCTCCTGTACTAAGACTGTGTTCATACTCTCCCCGTATGTGACTGGATACTTCTTAAGACTTAACTCCAGATCAAAGTTTGGTGGAAGCTGTAGGAATAATGATGATCAGTCAATGAAAAATGTTGATAAATGTCTCATTCACATGTATTAACCATAACAAATAAACTCAGGCTTATAACTCTGTCTACAACACAACAATACGGACAAATGGGGTATACAAAATAACAGAATAAAGTCAACTATAAACATACAATATATATATATATATTAAAAAGAAATAAAATCTCTATTGCATCACAATATATACACACTCACAATGCATACAAATAAATCATTGTGTCAAATTCCAATGAAACATTACATGAAATGTGTTAAACTTATCCTTCACTATATATTTTATATTATTAATAAATGGTTGCATGACATTTTATGCCTCTCTAAGAACTGTTTGTCTTGTACTATTTGAACTTTGAAATGAAAAGGAAAACAAACCGAGGGTTCAGTGACACAAAGACGTAACTCCATATTTTGCCAAAATGAGTATTTGATATCAAAATGTTCAGAAAAATGTGGGCTTTCTAGAAAACACAAAGACTTAACTCCACCCAACACCCCATTGAAGTCAATGGCTAGTGAAACATAGATTTAACTCCTTAAGGCCCAAGTGCTCAGTGACACATAAACCACTTTTTCTCAAAATGGCCAAAATGGAGTTACATCTTTGTGTCACTGACCCCTCGAAATGAAGGTACGGTACTGGAAGAACACTGACCTTGGAGACGATGTCTTTGGCGATGTCTGATAGGACGTTATCTGTAGAGCCACTGCTTCCTCCCATACCCTTGCCTCCTATGGTGAGGAGGATGTTATCAAAGAGGAGTCTGGTTTCCTGCAGAGACTTGGAGATGTCGACATTGTCGTGCATACCAAAGATCTCAGGTACCTGGGTGACTGGTAAGGCCTGTCATATATCCAGGGAGAAGAAGGAGGAATGGTGTCACGTTGAGATGCTTAACTGCTAAACAACATTTTAGGGCTTGTCATATCTAAAATTATATTCCTTTCATCATAACTGATATTATGTGTAGCAATAGACTTTAATCACCACTATATGACTTAAACATTGCAGAAACATAACATTGCAGCTCAATTAATTCTTCAGTAGACATTTTCAGGGTAAAAAATGAGAAAGTGAATGCATCTTTTGAATTTGCATTAGTTTGGAAATATGTTTTCATCAACATGACGTTTATTCTGATTACAATGGTATACAGTTTATCTCTTTATTAAATGGAAATGAAATTGTTAAAAATGTTATATAATCAATCAAAAAATGTTTGACCATTTAACAGGGGAAAAACGGGTCCACTCCTCTTCTCTCTTCTAATACATAATTCTAACTTTGGACATCTGTGTCACATAATTGGAAATAACAAATTTCTCAATAATTATACTGACCTTGATGAACTCAAGGTAGCTCTCGTAGGATCCCTTGGGAGGTGAGTGGTATTCTCCGCTCGGTGAGAACTTGTACTTGGGATCACTGATGATATCCGGAGTGTAGAAGTCTGCAAGGATGGTCAGAAGGCAACGTCGATCCCACTCCTGAGTGACCCTACCACCGTAGTTGCACTCTCCGGTCAGGTATGCAATGGCCGCATACTGGACTTCTTCATAGTCGTTGACAAACATCTGCAGGGTGACAATTAAAAGCCATTTGTATATACAGTCAAACCTGTCTGTAGCGACCACCCAAGGGAAACAGAAAAAGTGGTCTTTGTAGTCAGGTTCCTTTAATACATGTTTCAATGAGAAACCATTTTCAAGGGAAACAAAAAATGCTGTCTTTGTAGACAGGTGGTCACTAAAACAGTTTTGACTGTATCAAGAAAGGTACTAATGATCCTGTAATAGTCCCCAGAGAGTCCCTGAGGCATGCCTCTTCAGTTGCCAGTCATATTCCATGTCTATCTCTTTCTAGATAACGCATTTATTCATAGGGTTCATTAGTACTCTCGTATCTCAAAGGTCATTTTGTGAAATGCATCCCATACCCAGAGCTGCCAACCTTGTGCGACCAAAAAAAGGGAACCATGTTGGCAAAAAAAAGGAATTCATTAAATCAAAACTTACAACCACGCGCGACACACTTCCAATGCTGGTTGCTTACTAACAAGCATTTATGCTTTCTAACCAGTCAGGTAAAATAACCACCACTTAACACCACTAATATATTTCTTTCTAGCATCACTTCATAATGGCCAAATTAGAACAAGTTTTCATCAATTGTACACCAGAGTTAAGGCTAAAAAAGAAAAGAAATGAAGGTTGTCCTCATGTCCTGTATGACACACACTGAATCAACATTGGGCTGTAGATCGACTCATTCTTTGTCTCATCCATTCACCAGTTATTACCTGTAGCTGCCTGATGCTGATACGAAGGTCAGACTCGTTGAAACCGTAGGCAATGTTCCAGCCTAATGGACCAAACTTTCTTCTCTCCTGGACCAGGGCATGGAAGAAACACAGGCCAAACAGAAGTTTCTCCCAGATCTATAAAAAAAAAAGAACATACCGGTACAACAAAACAATTTTGAAGTAGTCAACAAACATACAACACACTTTCAGATCGATAAACATTTCAGGTGTATGAAGAGCAATTTAATGCTAAATTCTTAGCGCTACTGATAGCAATTCATGCTCTCATATTTGTTTCCATTATCTCTTCACTTTTATTGATAATCAGCACGACTTCAATTACAAATATACGTCTTAAATTCATAACTTCATTGTAAAACTGATCCTGAACTTTTTTTTCTTCAATGAGAGCAGCAACAATAAAGACTAACAATCCATGTAACTGTTTCAACAACACCAATCAATTTGATCAACTTACCAGTTCTTTTCCTGGGCATGAGGCAAAGAAGTCTGGATCACTGATAGGATCACTGATGTACGACTGTAGGACGTTCATCCTGAGACCGGTGGGAGGCTCATTTGTCATCTTCACACCATTCTGCAGAACAGTCACTGGGAACTACACAAACCAAGAGCAACACAAAGGCAGAGAGGTTTTTAAAAATGTCTACAGTAGTAATGAATCTGGAGAACAGTCACTGGGAACTACACGAACCAAAAGCTAGGTAGAGATATTTTTTTAATTGTCTACAGTAATAATAAATCACATGGATATTCCGCAGCGACATGGGTATTTGAAGTGAATACATATGCTTTATATGCTTCATGAACGAAGAGCAACACAAAGGTAGAGAGGTTTTTTAAACATGTCTACAGTAATTATAAATCACATAGGTATTCCGCAGCAACATGGATAATTGAAGTGAATATATGCTTTGATAATAATTGCATTCATAATCTATATTCAAAACCAGGAGATGTCATAAAATCCAAAAATAACAAGAAAAATATAGTATTAGCTATATAATCTTACTTCATATAAGGTTCTCCATGTCCATGTTTGAATTTAAATGTTGAATTTATGAATTCAGTACATACTATGACATTTGAAAAAAATACAATGTTTCTAGAGAAGTCTTGCTTTCCCTCTCTGTTCAAATGAGGAAAACCATGTGGAACAAACATTTTTATCAAAATCTAGCTTGAACAATATGCATTTAATGTACACCCTACTACAGATGATTTACATTTCGAAAAATTTCTTTCAGGGATTTAAGAGACCAAGGCAGGCATACCTTGTTTGATGGATAGCTAGTGAGCCAGAGCCTGAATTCCGGGTTGACGTTATCTGGACTGAATTCCTCGCAGAGCTTCTCTAGGGCTGACATCCACGAGACAGCAAGATGGCAGTTCTGAAGTACGACCCATGTACCTTCCTTGATAGCAGTGGCAATCAGTGCTGCAGCCACAGGACCCTGCAAGCATCCCAAGAAAAAGATTAGTGAATCACATGTTTTCATGGTAACAATGACGGGTACGGGTCTCCTAAGATGCCACACATCAGAACTTTTCAGTTTTTCACTATGTTTATAACTGACTCTAAAAGTGCATGATTAATTACACAGCGAATACATTGCTAATTGAACAAATAAGTTGTCAAATACATTTGTATTGTTGCTTTTTTGTAGTTTCCACTTTCTCAGTGACATTTTAATAGTCCTTTCAGGACAATTTCATGCAGTCAACAAAATCTTCCTCCTTTTGTGGCATAACCAGAACATGTCGCGTCTATATTTTGTTACTCACTCAAATACCTTTTCTTATACTAAACTTTCATAAATAATAACACAACCACAACAAAAATGTTCTCACCTGTCCCTGTCCAAGTGAGATGGCATCAAACTTCTCTCCGCTGAATCCCTTGTCTCCAGCAAACTTGAGCAGGGCAGCCATAGGATCAGCTCCAGGGGAGAGCACAAAGATGAGCGGTGCACAAGCGTGGGAGTCGGTGAAACTCTTGGCCAGGTCAAAGGGGGGTGGCTGGACAAACTTCTGACCAAGCTTGCCGATGACGAAATCGGTAACTAGTGGTAGGACCTATATTGAATGAGAAAATATGCAAATAATAAATGAACATTATTCTACGTTTTTTTTTTTTTTACGTTTTTAAGTACTAAGGCAATTCTCATGTTGATTACAAAGCTTAAATTGCATAATAATTTTCTTTATTTAAATAAATAGTTGCAAAAACTGAAAAGCATAGTTCAGGACTACAAGCAATATGAATGGAAATGTATATTATATAATAATCTATAGTCCTGCTCTTTTAATATCCAATCAATTAAATTAAAAACAAAAATGTGGACCATACTTGTACTTATTTTCAGTAATATTCTTCTCAATACAAGTCTTCTATGCTAGACATATCTCTATTACAGTGTGCTTACCTTGTCTGGCCTGAGGCACCTAACCACAATAGCTCTCTGGAAGTCTGTGAGTTTGTCGTGCCAGGGGGCTGGAAGTGTCTCACGGTGGGGCTCCTTGCTCTCATAGAATGTCTTCCATTCTGCCACAGTGTCCTGGAAGTTATCCCTACGGTCAAAATACAAAATTATAGGAAAATAAATTCCAATTGAGAAGGGACTAAGATGGGGAAATATATTTCCATGTACAGATCTTCATATATCCACAATGCTGGACTAATGGAAAATTTAATTTACAACAGAATGAAAAGTTACACTCTGTTCCTTGAAAATTATCAAAAAACAATTTCATGGCTTTCAGGGCATGTTGGAAGTGAATGCTATCAATGTCACAACATGCAAGTACATGTATAACAGCATAAAGAGAAAATCACCCTACAATTTGAGTCTTTATCTGTTCCATTTTAGAATTTTAGATTAACAAGGTTTCGTGAGATGGGGTAACAGTGAAAAAATTGCCAGCATTGTAAATTGAAAGAAGAAAGACTCTCAACCTTTAGTAAGATATTTTCTTGATGGGTAGAGATACTGACCTGAATCCCTTGTAGGCTGGCATGTCACACATTCTGCACAGCTCATCCCAGCTCTTATCTGAGAGCCAGGATGGGTCGGGGTTCTCAAGCTTGTTCTCTAGACCTACTCCTCCAGTCAGGAAGAACATGGACTCAGTTTGATCCATCTCCTTCTTATCTCTAGAATACATTAGATAACAACAAATGATTAATGGATATACTGAAAAAACACTCTTTGCCTACATTCAATCTCAAGGATACAAACTGAAGTTACATGCATATTATCCAGTAAGGATGTGATAACTTGAAGAAGCCCCAAGGGTGAAAAATGTTACACTAACTCCTTGTCTAACCAAATTTATTATTTCATCATGTGTCCATTCAAGTAATAAGGAGACACTTTCATTATTGAACAGAAATGGCTGGGCATCCTCATTAAAGGGAAAGTCCACCCTGAAATTAAGTTAGTTTTAATAGGAGTAGAAAAATGAGAGAAACAAGTCAGTGAAAGTTTGAGCAAATTCCGATTAAAAAATAAGGAAGTTAGGATTTTTGAAGTTGTGATCAATCAAACACAAATTGGCAACTCTATGACGTATCATGCGAGCTCAACTTCCATTTGCTCAGTACTAAAAAAATCTAAAATTTTCATTTTCCCTCAAGAAAAATTTCAACCATACATGCACCCTAAATATAATAATTGCAAATATGTTTCTATACTCCCCCTGCAAGGAACAAATATATATTCCGTCATCAATAAGGAAGAAAACATGATTTTATGGAATATTATGCACAAAGCAAATGAAGGAGAGCTCGTATAATAAGTCACAGAGTTGCCAATTTGTATTTGATTGATCACAACTTCAATAATTCATAACTTTCTTATTTTCATTCAGAATTTGCTCAAACTTTCACTCACCTGATTTTCTTATTATTCTGCCTCTATCGAAACAAACTTATTTTGGGGGTGGACTTTCCCTTTAAATCTACCACATATTTTGTTCTTCATTAAAAAAATGAACATGTCTAAAGCAACACTGTATTATTAGGGTAAAGAAGTACACATATTTGGGTATTTCCTTGTGCTTAAGAATGTAATTAAATGTTTGTCATGCCTCTCTATTATCTCTGAACTATGAATTTATAGTTCCTTACATCTAACCATCATCTAAACATTTCAAATTATGCTTTACATTCAATTTCTATTTTAGAAATAGCAGATGAGATAATGATTTAATGTGCAAATACACAATACATTTAAGTATGATTGAGTCTGTTTTGCCCATACAGCTTAGCTTTAATCTTTTAAATTTATATTAAAGTTAAAAAAAACCAGACTAACATGATTTTGATTCTTGAAATGTCTTTCTTTCTATGAACTCTTACCAAAACAATAGTTTCAAACCCTAATTCTCTGACGTCCTGTTTAATTAAAATACATAATATATATTATAATTAATGTTTTATTAAATTAAATAAACATTCTAAGAATTAGTATACCTCCACCACGATCACAGCCAAAGATGTTTAAAAAAGATAACGCCCAAAGAGTATTTAAAAATAGATTGCCCGTCATATAATGCAGTAAATGATAGTGAGTGATCTGCTGTGCTTAAAATGTAGCTTTCAACACTTGTGTGTACAAACATCTTCAGATATGTCGCAATATAATAGTAATAATAATAACAATAAAAATAATATATAAGAGTGCTCTCACTAATGCTGCTTCTACTATTTACCAAAAGTGCCCATTTACCATTGTATTAAACCACTATTATTACTAATACACATTCCTTGAAAACACCATCATAAACAAGAAAAAAAGAGAAAAAGTCCATAAAATTAAGTCAGTCAAACAAATTTGTGCAAAACCATTCCATGTTAGTGTTCTGTTAACAAATTTCAACACAGGGAATAAAAACAGGGGATTAAACTGGTGAAGGTTAGGGATCAAACAAAAACCAAATATTTAGAGGCAATGCAAAGCTTTGAGAGAAAAATTGTTTGTTCCCAATACATTGAGTTTTAGAAGAATGTATGGTACACATCCAGAACTACATTTCTCCCACAAAAATTAGACAAAAAACAAAACAGTTCATTGAATGTTCTGCTTTAGGACAAATACTTGTTGTATTTCCTATTTTCAAAACTTTGCATTGCCTTCAAACACACGCAGTTTGGTTTGGAGAAAACAACTTACGTATCAGGAGCGGCCCTGTATAATTGATGAAAATAACATTTATATGATGATATACATGTAGCATACTAAATAAATGGCAAGCCATGGATCATATAAATAAACGTTGGTACGATATTGCAATTAAATAAATGATGTAGCTCAGAGTAATGAGACGGAAAGAGTTAGAAAAGCTTTTTTTCATGAATATAATGTTTGAAAAGAAAGATTCATCACTTCAAGCTTGATACTATGTAAGCTATAAGAAACAGAAACAGCATGAAATACATATGATTTTCTGTTTTTCAGTGAAATATCTTCTAAATGTTATGACAAATCTAAACATGAAGTTTGTCTTCCTATCAATGATGAAGGAATGTAGTTTGTGAGCTTTATATTGTATTAACTATCTACAGTTTATGAGTATAATGAATAAAATAAAAAACATAGGACATATCTATTCTAACAGAACTGAAGTGATGTAATGATATACATGTACTAAACGGCCACAATAAACAAAAACAGATGTCTTTGGGTGTGGAATTGACTGAAACGATGAAAGGATAAATGATCGAAATGTGATACTTTAAAAAAAGGACAGTTATAAGAATATGTATTGACCTAAATGAATGTCATTTCTATGGTATCAAATATATGTTTCTACTTACAGGTGATACTTTCTAAAAGGACAGTTATATATGTATTGACCTAAATGAATGTCATTTCTATGGTATCAAATATATGTTACTACTTACAGGAGGATGTTGATACACAGGAGATATGAGAAGAGTAGCTTATCCTTCTCAAACAACGAACGGCAAACATTGCAGTAGAGATTGTAGGTGAAGTGATCCGACAGGTAACGAAGACGGCGATCCAAGATCTTGGACTTGTTACTGTGGTATGAAAAGAAAAAGGAATACAGTAATGTTATTGACGCTAGCTCCAAACTGAAGTTACAAAATCAAAACCAACCTCAAAATTCAAAATCAATAGGATTCTAGCTATGCAGGTTGCATTGACCTAAATTATTCTAGAAAACATGAAAATTATTCTACACATATCATGAAATAAATTTCTCTCAAATGAAAATAGACTGTTTCAGACTGCAGGTGTCCTCTTTGCATTAAAAAAAAATAATGAATGATGCTAAATCTCTGAGAAATGATCAAAATCTCAAGCCTTAATCACAACATTGGAGAAAATTCCTCATTAAATTGGCAGTCATAAGTTCTCTAGTTACCCCTGGACTGCAATCTTCATACTTCCTTGTAGACAAAGAAAATACAAAATAAATAATAAATAAATAAACAGATGTATTTACCTGTCTTGGATGGAATTGATGTAGAGATTGACAAACCAGGTGAGCGAGTATTGATACATGGGATCGATGTTGGGCAGGTCAGCGATGGAGAAGAAGAGAACACTAGAATGTTTGGCAATAGGACGGTAGCCCGCGCGTGACTCGTTCAATTTCTTCTCCGTCTCTTCAGCGACCTTCTGTTTCTTTGAAATCTCATCGGACAAGACCTAACAAGAACAAACATTTAGTTACGTAGAATTATAGAGCTCAGTGTTTCTCGTGAGAGGATACATCGTATCTGGATATTCTTGCTGATGCTTAAATTCAGCATGCCATTGAAGCAGTTCTTTAACTTGAGCTTGAAATTTTATGTAAGTATAAGTCATGGCAATGTTTTCCATGCAGTGTTTGAATTAAATGATAAATGATCATTAAGAGAATTAAATCTTTTGATCAAACTACTTTATTTAACTTTAATGTGGGTATGAAATCTCATCCATGGGAATAAAATGATGAAAACTACCTATGAAGCCAATTATTTTTCTTTGATGAAGATCATATTGGGCTGAAAAGGAGTTTAGAAAGAGACTCACCTTAGATGAGTCTAAGACGAGGATGGCACTTTCATCTTCTAGGATGTTGCCTTCTGAAGATGACAAGGTCTCCAGGATTTTGTCTTCAATCTCCTTGAGCTGCTTCTTGTTTGCTGCGCTCTGCAGGATCAAGGCCTGTCGCTCCTCTTCCAGCTCAGGTCTGGTGGTGGAGAAAAAGATACGTTCATAAAGAAATTAGAATAATTGCTCAATTATTCATGATTTGATTCTACTTATCAAATTCTTTGTGGCAGATCTTCTTCTGCGGCACAGTGGACAAGCTCAAAGTAGATTTGAAAGTTACATTTGCATCACAATCTCCATCCCAATATATCACATTAACATGAAGGCCACAAGAACATATTTTAACATCAATGCAAGACTTTATTTTGTTGTAAAGAAAAATGATTCTAGAGATTAAAGAATGGGAGATTGTATTCCTCAAAGTCCCTGTACCATGTTTAGGGGAGAAAAAAAGTATAAACAGGCAGTGAAATCCTTAATACTTGGTCCCTATCAAGGTACAGTCAAACGTGCTCTTGCACTCGCCTGTATATAAAGACAAGTTGTTAAAGTCCTTGAAAGGTGTGGACATTATGAAGTGTTTCACAAAGCCTTTTTCAAGGACAAATAATTAAAATCAGTGACAAATCTGCTGATAACCAATCAGAAGCAAGGATTTCAGTAGCTTATAACAAAATCTGTCATTTGTCACTGATGACAAGTTTTGTGAAACGCCCCTCAGTGTGACTGCTCACTTACCTTTCTTTAGCAACCACGATACCAAGGAGCTGGTCTTCCAGACCGTCTTGAGTGATCATGAAGTTGAGTAGAGAGACCTTGACGGAGAGCTCGGGCAGGTAGTGAGGGTTGCGTAGCTTGGTTGTGATGTAGAATCGGAAGTCTGGGGAGTACTCTATCGTACTCTCTCCAAGTTTGATGCAATCCACACCACCTAGATCAATCATGGGAGGGTAGTAAAAGAAGTCAACCATGGTGTTTAGGTAGCTGATGTCTTCTTGTATTTGTTCATTTCTTGATTTCCCTATCTTTCTTCTTTGCTTTTATCATAAATTTGTCATGAATTTACATAACTGTCAAATACCTGTAGAAAATTACAACTTCCAAAGCAGTACATTCAATGAAAACAATTAAGAATTCTTCCCCTTAAGATACCATCAAAATAAATAATTCATATCATTATAAAATATGCAGGGAAAAAATACAAAACGTCTAACTACACTCTGAACATCACCAGTCTCAATCAAGAAAAAAAAAAAGAATGTATTCACATAAAGTGAAACCAAACATTGAGAATCCTAATAACACAACATACCCTGTTTGAAGGTTTGCTTGAGGAGCAAGGGCTCCAGTGAAGGATCCAGCTCCTCTTGAACATTCTCAAGGAGCAGAGGGGTGCCAAACTGGATACAGTTCTCCAGGGTCCTCATGTAGTCTCCATCGGTCAGCTTGATGACAGACAGTTTGTTTTCCTTCTCAGAGTTCTTGACCCACTTATTGGCCTGACCTTGAGGGTCAATCATTAGAGGCCTGGTAAGGAGAAAGACAAGTCTTAGTTTCAATAATAGCATACAGTGAAATCAAACATCATGAATAAAATTTATCAAGAATGGTACTATTCAAATTTCATTTCAAGTACATTAAAGCCCAGTAGCACCAATCACCACTATGGGGAACTCATCACCTCAAGGTAACTGCTCGTATGTGGCTTTAAATCAATGTAAGAAGGAGAAATTTCAAAGTAAGTCTGCTTTAATGTTTAGAATTGAGAACCTCATTATATTACTTGCTTTCAAATAACCTTCTATCTTTGCCAGTTGACACAGACACATACTGTGAGTGTGGAACATCCGTGCAATCTATGTCACACTTATTAAGATGCCCACTTCTAGATAACCAATGCTGTCTGGAAGACCTAGTGGCAGCAAATGAGAAGGCTTATGAGTGTGCAAGAGCCTGGCAGAAACATTTGAGATCAGATGATGGACACGAAAGAAGAAGGGCATTTTACGTTGGGGACATTACTCACCATCTCCTGGCATTGTCGACGATGACACCGTTGTCGACGGAGAAGTTGTCCGTGGGGAGACCGGCAATGTTCCAGGCTCTGATCTTGATGGGTTCTCCTAATGTGTTACTCAGAGAGAACTCATCAGAACACGGAATATTCACATTCTGTGGTAAAGATATAGCCAAAAAAAATTTGCAAATTTAAAGGCATTGCTTAACAATGTTTCCAGTTTTACAAATCTGAGATGCATGGCCCTACGTGCTATCAGTGTCTGTGATATGGTGTCGTATTGAAGCCCTTAAAAAAATGATCATGAAGTGCTTCAAAAAAGTAAAAATCTTTGAGTGACCGGTTTTAACCATACTCATTTTTCCCGATAGACGGGAAAATGGTTTTTATTAAATTTCTAATTCCAATCATAAATATCTTGATAATCAGACAGGATATCGGCTTGTAAAAGTCATGGGATTCCTGAGTGACCTAAAGGTTTATAATTATGATTGCAGCATGAGCTAAATCCAGGATTTTTTTAAAGAATCTGAGGCAAAGATACCCAATCCTTTCAAACACTTTACACGAGTAGAGGCTAGGTATGCTACAGTACATTGATTAGATGCTTCACAGGTCAGTGCATAGAGTACTACTCCTCGATCTTGAGATATCCCAGGTTAGAAAACCTTTTAAAAATGCAAATGCTGACAAGGACTGGAACTGAATAATCAGTTAGCCCCTCTGATAGGACTTAAGCTGTAGGTCTCCTTAGTCAAATAAGAATAAAGGAATATTGATGATGAAGATGATGCTGATGATGATACAAATATACCATGCACTGAGAGGCTTTAGTTGAGATTATGGATCCAGGTGGCGTAATAGCACTATTTCTGTTGCCGAGGAAGCCATAATTTCACTAGTGGCTTGAATACCAATAGCACATTGATCTTGATCGATCGTATATCTATGACGTCGTCCATGGTATAGTGCACTATGCCATGGATGACGTCACGGTATAGTACTATTTTTCTTTTCGGTAACATCATAGCAAGGTTATTTTGACCATTCACTGAACAGGAATTCATTCATCAAAAATATAATAGTTGCTATCTGTAAGCTAGATACATATAGAAGATACTATATAGTTCTATACAAAGCACAAGTAGAATAAACCCACATACCGTGCATAGCTTTGTCCAGTCTGTCGTACAGGAATTTCTATAGGAGGAGGTGAACGCCCCTAGGTAGGCTATGACACCAGACGATATCAAGACGTCACCAATCAGGTTGTCATAGATGCTCTGCAAATTGGCAGCTGCTATTGTCCACCTGTATTTGGAGAGGATTTAATCACATTAATTTTCATAACGCAGCAGGTCATATCACCAAGTTGCTGCCGAAACAGAATTATCTGTTTGGCATACCTTGTCTCAGAAGTCGATGTTTGTACACATAGGTAACCATTTACACATCACCATCTATTTTGTTGATAATTTTTTTCTTTGCTACAACAAATTTCATTACTTAAAAGGTTTCGGTAAATGTAAAAATTTCCTGACACCTCTCCTTTTCCATCTGGATTACATCAATGCACTAAATTTCATTTCATCTATCTATTCCATTGTAAATTATGAGCAAAAGGAGTGAACAGGGGTAGTAAAAATAAGAAAAACTCAAGAATTTAAACGGATGGATGGTAAAAGATTGTGATGAACTAAATATTCTCCTACCTCTCTTTCTCTCCACCAAGTCCACCAATGAGTTTCTCTGCCCTTTCCAGCTTCTTGGCGCAGAGGTCCACTTGTTTCTCCAGCCGGTCCTTCTCGTCTGTCATTTCCTGGAACTGATCTTTGAGAGCCTGCAGACGATCCTCAACAGCCTTTAGCTCAGCTCGTTTGGCTGAAAATGATAAGATGCAAAGGAAGCATGAAGTTTATCCTAAAATATCTAGTTTAAAGCCCCACTGTACTACTTGTAGCTACTTGCTCCCTCTATATAGAAAGCAATGCCTAATTGGTGACCATTTGTCCCCCATGATCCTCTTTTTCTTATGTTAATTGAGAGCTGAGTTGATGAGATAGCCACCTGTCAGTGACCACCCTGGGTGGTCTAATCCCTCCTAGCCAAACTAGTACAGACGGCCTTTAAATGCTCCTCTCTTTATATCAGAAGTCTACTGTTTTTGTTATATACATGTTTTTTGTTAGAGATTTGGTGAAGAATAGAAAGGAAAGAAATAAATCACAGAGAAAAAAAGAAAAAAGAATTGGTGCTGTAAGCCTAAGCCATGTACAGCTTCTGTCACATAGTTTCACTATAAGGTAAGGTAAGGTTTTGCAGATGAACGCCAACAGGGGGTGTTTCACAAAGCCTTTTTTCAATGAAAAATGACACAAAAACAGTGACAAATCTGCTGATAACCAATCAGAAGCAAGGACTTCAGTAGCTTATAACAAAGACTGTCATTTGTCAGGGCCCTGATCTCTCTTACCATTCAGGATTGACATGGTGGTTGCTAAGGACTCCTCTGCCTCCTTCAGCTTCTCTTTCTTTGGAGCAACAACCTTGGCCACTCTGTCATAGACCTCCATGGCAGTCACCCACTTACAAAGACCTTCTGCAGCTGAGGAAGCTTTGGCGACCTTGGCAGGATCAAATTCTGGGTTGGTCATGAATTCACTGCGGATCTTCTTCATCGTAGCCACCTAATTACCAAATACAAGGAAGAGGTTAATGAATTAGAGATTCAAGGATTCTTCTCAATACCTAAAACAGATGGCTAAAAAACTAACAACTCCCAGATTCATAGCTGCATGTATGTAGTAGTAGTAGTAGTAGTTGTAGTTATTTTACCTGACTGCTAAGAAAGCATAAATGCTTGTTAGTAAGCAACCAGAGGACCGACGGCCTAAGATCCTCTCTGAGAGACCGGGTAATGAGGATTAATGCCTTATGTCAGTGAAATATTATTATAAGGCAAGGTACTGAACTGTCAGTTACTCAATCCCTCTGATCTGACCTAAAGCTGTTGTCACATGGTTACTGTTCCATCAAAACAACATCTGTGTCATATACTAATACAAATATTGAGTTCTTGTATAGTGCATAATACATTATGAAATAACATCTCTATGCGCTTCCAAAGAGCTTTAGAAATTGTTACCCTAGCTTTTAGCTCCCGCCTCATTTAAGCTTTACCATAAAATAGCTATCACTATCACATTTCCATTCTTTACTCACCGGGATGTTGTCCTTGTCGTAGGTCTTGAGCATGTTCAGGAAGTTCATGTCTCCTACGAGTTTCTTGGAGGGTCCCCAGTAGTCTAGGATCTTTCCTCCAGTACCAGCAGGATCTGCGATCTTCTCTGGGCTGATGCCCCTCATGACACACACAGCTGACATCACAAGCTTGACACCGGCAGGTGGGTTCTTCATTGTCTTCACCACAGCAATATCAGAAGGCTAGCAGGAAACAAAATAAAAATGATGTTTAGGAATAAAGTTTACATCTAAACAAAAATAGTGAATGCAGAGTCCGCAGAGATAATAGCGGTTTTATCAGAACTATGAAAAGTTCTATACATGCATATTAAAGTGACTTGGTAACATTGCCTTAGTTTCTGAAACGAAATCCTGCATTTAGCTCATGCTGCAATCATATTTATAAGCCTTAAGGTCAGTTAGGAATCCCATGAATTTTACAAGCCAATCGCCTGTTTGATTATCAAGATATTTATGATTGGAAATCAAATTTCATTTTTTGTTTTTCTAATCAATTAAAATCAATTCATTCTTTGGCCTTTGATTATCTAGGTTCATCGAGGAATACATATTTGTACCATAGCCATTACCTAACACTGCTTGTGTTTTACTTTTGAACTTGTTTTAGGTGCTGGCTGCTACATCCCTGACAGGAATCCTAGAGAAGCTCGTGGATAGTAACAACCTACTGGATCGTATCCTCAAGGGTCTCAATGCCTACCTGGAGAAAAAGAGGCTCTTCTCCCCCAGGTAATATCATACTCTTAAATAGATTGGGTATCTTTGCCTCAGATTCTAAACAAAATCCTGGATGCAGCTCATGCTGCAATCATAATTATAAACCTGTAGGTCAGTCAGGAATCCCATGACTTTTACAAGCTAATTGCCTGTCTGATTATCAAGATATTTATGATTGGAATTCGAAATTTCAAAAAACGTTTTCAAAAAGGTTTTTATAACACTACAGTCTATTGGGGAAAATGAATATGGTAAAACCGGTCACTCAAAAATTGTTACTTTTTTGAGGCACTTCATGATCATTTTGTAGCGCATTTTTTTTATAGGGCTTTAATATTACACCATATCACAGACACTGATAACACGTAGGGCCTTGCATCTCAGATTTAACATTGTTAAACGATGCCTTTAAAGAGTATTTATCTTGGTATTCTTATTGATCATTATCTAATTCCATACCTTGAGTGTGTTGAGAGCAGCTAGAGCAGCCTCTAGAGCTGGGATAGCTTCAGCTAGATCACTCTCACATTCATTCTTAAGGCCTTGGGCTTCTGCAGCTTGCTCATTGGCTGATGCTTCATCACGTTTCACCACCTCACTAGTAGCCAGCACTTCCACCGATTCCTTCTCTATCACCTGTAGATTAAAGAATATATATTGCCATTTAGAATGGAGTCTGCATGGGTGCATCTCATGAAAGCAAATACTATGTTATGTAACTACTGATCTTTATTTAAATAAAGAGTAGAATCTTAAATGATGCATAACACTTCTTTGGAAATAAATTTGTCATGATAAAGCAAGCAAGTATCGCTATCTAATGCTTTTAATCAATGGATTCCTCTATGTTACAGAAATGACAGTAGAATATGTTTCAAACAAACTGCCCTCTGAAAAATTTCACAATGTAGTATGTGATGTCTTATTACTTTAGGTGGTCAATGTTTAGGTCTATTTTAATATACAAACTTGCCTTAGCGACCATTTGATTTTTCAACATAACAAATAAACTTGCGTTATTAGATTTATACATCGGCCCTCTGCCTCGTTTTCGCTCGACTGAGCCCTTACATTAAAAGCCACAGAGAATTGTTTGCGCACTGGCGGGTCTACGAGAGGCCATGCGAGTAGGCGGCGTGCTGTCAATCAATTATTCAAACTCAAATGGCCGCCAACGCCAACCTGTCTACAACGGCCACCTGTCTACAAAGGCTTGTGTCTTCCTTGGGTGGACCCTATACACTGGTTTGACTATATATATAACTATCAAGCTCCATAGACAAGAGTTAGCAAATTTCATCTCAAGCCCGGTTCCACGAGTGATACCCAAGGGAAATAGTTTTACAGACTTCCTATCAAAAAGCAATGAGACGACTCACCTTCAACATCTTTTCATTCTTTTCAGAAGCCACCACCAACTGGGGTTGTAACTCCACCAGTTCCACCTGCATCTCACCGACCTGCTTCTCGGCAAACTTGAGCTTCTCAAGACCCACCACGTAACGCCGTTTGGCCTTGGCTGTCTCGTCGCGCTTCTTACCCAGTAGGGTCTTGAAGGCCGAGATCAGCTCCAGGTAGGAGGTTGGTGTCACATAGTTGTGCCTCCCCAACTCGGAAAAGAACCTGTTTGATTCATCAAAATGGGATAAAGAGGCTCGATTTCTTTCTGAATAGAATATTTCTAGATACGATAGGAGTTAAACCAAAAGAAGGTAGTAACAATTTAAAATATTTTAGATGGCATAAATGATAAAAATACTTTCATAAATTTCTTTCATAGTAAAACTTTTGCTTTATTGAACACTGGTATTTCCAGCAAGTGTTTAAGTTAATACAAAGAAATTTGTTCATAAAATAAAAGTTCTCTCAGGAATTTCATTAGAATTACTAGGTTAGTATAATCACTATCCTCTACTGCTTAACAAACTCCAAACGAGCAGTCATTAAATGCAATAGTATTCAAATTTCTAGTCCAAATTTCCCATAAAATAAGCCACGATGATAACTTACCTTTCTGAAAGGTTTCGAGCACTTGTGTGGAAATGCTTGCAAATATTGACAACGTTGCCCCTTTCATCATCCTCCATCTCTACGTTTTCCAAGAATTTGTTGGCTACCCTTTCCAAGGCATCCTCAGGCCATGCCTAAAGCAGAGGTGGGAGCAAGATGGGAAGAGGTTGATATGTCGTTTGATAATGAAAGTTTCTACTAAACGACAAATTAAATATAATTTTAGAGTGAAAAAAACCCTGGATATAAAGAATTCTAAATGAACTGAAGTGTACATTATCAAATACATCTCTATAGACAATTTTTTCAGTGTTACGATGATGAGGAGGCGAGTTGGCTCAGTCGGTAAAAGTGTTTGCCTGTCGAACCAAAGATCCCGGGTTCGAATCCCACACAGGCGGATGACTGAAGCCTGCATTGTGTGTCAAAGTGCCCCTCCACTTGTTCATAGACGCAGGCTATGTAAATTCGAAAACACTCTGTCCCTCGGATAGGACATTAAATGGAGGCCCCGTGTAGAGAAGAGTCACTACCTTCGCAAGTTAAGAACCCACTGCAATATTCGTATCAGTGTGGGGGGAAACCCCGGTGTAGTGGTCCACCTGCACACACCCCAGTATAGTACGATAATACTCTATAAAGAGGGATGTACTAAAAAAGGAAGAAGACTCTTTACCTGGAACCAATCGATGGTACAGCAGTTGATGAGAGACGGGAACTGCCTCAGACGATTCCTGAAGGTATCTCCGATGGGCGAGAAGGCGATGATGATATGAAGGTTCTCTCTACAACGATTGACAAAGAAGGCAAAGAGGGCCAGGGGACTGAAGTCTGCATTCTTATCACCAGCTTGAGCTGCTGGTCTCACAGCCTAATCAAATCGTAAAACAAGAGAAGAAAATATTGGCATAACTTGAATTAGATAGTTCTGCAATTGGTACACTGCACCTGAATCATTTAAAATAACTTCAACTTTTCCAGATATAAATCACAAATCTTTTACAGATTGCATAATATTTCAGCAGATAAAACAGCTTTTGCTCTCTTTGTCTTGTACACAAAACATCTATAGTATGCTATTGACAGGTTTCTTTTTCTAACACATTAATGGATCATTCTGGGAAGACTAAATTTTCAGCTAGCTATTCGTCAAAGGAAACTAAGTTCTAAGCATTTATATCTCTCTCCCAAGCCACACTACATGTACACAGTCATGTCACATGCAAAGCAAGAAGGTATGTTGAGCTGAAATGGGCACATTACCTCCAAGAGTTCTGCCTTTTCATCTGGAGGGTAAAGGTTTGGCACTTCACCAGCATTCAGGAGGTTGTCAATGTCTTCTAAGAAGGATTCTTCCTTGATCTGAGTATCTGTGATCAGGAAGGCTGTCGGCTTGCCATAAGCTCCAGCATTCTTTAGCAGGTTCTAAAAGGGGAAAAATAATATTGGAAGTAATTAGTTATACGATTAACAAAGTATGTGATATCAACTTTACTACTTGTAGATTACTGATGTTTATACTGCACAGTTTTTGTCTTTCCATAAGCATCAAATCTTTTTAACATAAATCCAGTATTTCAAAAGAAGTATAGAAATGCTTGGAAGAGGTTTACGACTACAAAAGTTTAGTACACTCATAATCCATTATATCCCTACCTGGTGATACTCTCAAGAATAAAAACGACACATGAAACTCGGGTAAAAATCCTTTTTCCTCAAGTGACAAAACAATTTCCAACATTGGACGTAGTAACCTGTCTGATTAAAGTCTCCGTTATGTTTCATTTTTCACCACTACACTGCATATCAATACCCAAGACTTACAATAAATTTTAAAGAAAGGACTACAACATTACATTTTTTTCAGTGAGTGCATGACCTCTCGATTTTCTTACCTTGAGATCTTCTCTCCACTCGTTCATGCCGTAGCTCTTGGAGATTTCAGGTTGGAAGAGACTGAAGCCGGCCATGTGAGCGGCAAGGCGGGTCAGGGACTGACGGCCGCTACCACCTACTCCTACCAGCATGGCATTGCCTCCGGGCTGCTTCAGGATACGACTGATGCGCGACAAGTGCTCAAGGACGTACCTGGGTTTCCAAGAGAGGAAGGGACAGGAATGGCATAGAGAGTGAGAGAAACCGAGAGAAAATCTGGTGAGCTTTGGGCTTTGATGTGGACAATTTTAAACAAAGATGTTTTGATGTTATACTTTCTTAAAGGGATTCAGTAACTTTGTCTAAGATCCTTTAAAAAAATCCTTGATTTAGCTCATGCTGCAATGATAATTATAAACCTTCAAGTCAGTCAGGAACTCCATGAGTTTTACAAGCCGATCGCCTGTCTGATTATCAAGATATTTATGATTGAAAATCTAAATCAAATTTTGCGTTTGCCAAACGGTTTTCATAAAAGGACAGTCTATTGGGGAAAAACAAGTATGGTAAAACCGGTCACTCAGGGTTGTTACTTTTTTGAGGCACTTCTTGATATTTAGAAGCGCAATTTTTTTAGGGCTTCAATATAACACCATATCACAGACACTGATAACATGTAGGGCCGTGCATCTCAGATTTAGCATTGTTAAATGATCCCTTAATCTAAGACCACACATGAATTGTATTTTAAAGGGAAAATTGAGATATTTTCAAGTCTAGTCCTCAAGGACCAGCAAGATTCTAAGACAAGAACTAATTTGTGCTTGGTACATAGTGACTGAAGTGATCTTGTAGGATCCCAAAGAGAATAGCTTAGAATGGCCATTGCACATTTGAAGGGTGAAAGTATAGAAAATATATATACTAACTAAACATACAATCAAGATATTTAACACAAACACTTAGAGAGCCAAGTCTTATCATAAACCTACCTGAAGATGACAAGATTCATGCCATTCTTGTGCATCTGGTTGTATTCACCTAGCTGGAAGTCTACCACCTTGTTGAACTCGTCCAGCGACATCACCTCCTCATACACCTTATCCTCGTCATCAGCCTCAGGGTTCATATAATTACCAAACATAAGAGAGCGCATGTTGTCTTGCTTAATGCCTACATTATCAGGGTCTAGATGCTCAAAGACAGTCTCAAAGGTGTCCTTGAAGATGTCTTTGACAAGGGTTCGGCACAACCTATGAATGAATGAATGAATGAATGAAGAAAGAGGTGAAAGAAATTAGCTAGGTCAAAAACCAAGAAGAGTGTTTTCGTTTTGTATATGCCAGGGGTGAAAGTGAGCACTAAAAAAGAAAAGAAAATGGCATCTTACAAAATCCCCCCCCCCTTTTGAGTAAGAAAATTAGAACAAAATTGGGGAAAATCAGGGGAAAATCGGGGCAAAAAAAAAGAAATTAGGAAAAATCAGGAAAAAAAAAAAAGGGAAACCGATTTAAGTTGGGTAATTATCAGGCCTGTTATGCATAGAAAACAATTTTATATTGAGAAAAAAACTCTTGGAATTTTTTTGCAAGACAAAAGGAGTACTCACTTGAAGAGCCATTCTCGGTCTTCATCATCAATGAGACGATCGTAGAAGACACGGAAGACTTCATGAACCCAGAGTCTGGTGATCGTCCTCTTGCTCTCTACGGCCTTCTTCTTGATCAGGAGGACACCATTGATGACACGAGCAAAGTCACGAAGGTTGAAGGTGTAATGGGACTTGGCTGGTGTAGGGAGGAGGTTATCCATGGCTTGCTTGTAGACCTCCATGGTGCCCTGGACGACCATGGTGCCACTGGTGAACAGCTCCGGTGGAAACTCATTAGCCTTTAAGAAAAAGAAATGGTTTAATTGTCATGATAAAAACTACCAACATTTATAATACACACATCTCAGGTAATTGTCAGGATGTCTACAAAAGTATTTTACTTTAACCTTGCTTTAGCCAAATTTCAATTGGCTTTCTGCAAATTTGTCATAAATTGTGGCAATTGTTACGCATAAAAAGTCCTAAGCAGCAAGCAGACTCCAGATTGTGCTTACCTTCATATAGTAGCTGACAATGGTGGAGAATATCCTCTGCATTGTTTCATCGTTGAAAGGCACGATGCCGATGACATTGAAGTGACGGAGGAATCGAGGTGTGATGGGGTTACGACCTCCACCCGGTGGACCCATGGCAGTCAGGAACTGAATGTCAATCAAACTGATCTTAGTGGTGTCCTTCTTGTCATACCTGGGTAATAAAGAAAGAAGATGACAGTAATCTCATTTACAGCATAAAACAATATACAGTCAAACCTGTCTATAAAGACCACCCAAGGGAAACAGAAAAAGTGGCCACTCTAGACAGGTTCGACAATACATAATTCTCTCTCAAGGGAGACAAAATGCATGGCCACTAAAGACAGGTGGTCACTAAAGCAGGTTTGACTGTATGATCTAATTCTTCCTATTTACCATTGGTCATGAAGGTTGTGATGCTTAATGAACAATGGGAAATACAGTCTCTTTTCGACAGTTAATTTACAATTTTAAAATAATGTTGAACCTGGTGAACTTAGGCTTCATTACACACTGAATTATCTTTATATCAGCAAGAAAAATCTCAACTGAAATTAATTTCTTTATTTTCCAATTCTTTTGTGTGTCTATAAATAGCTCTTAATCACACAACTCTTGTCATCAATCACAACATGATATTCAAAATCATATACAGTCAAACCTGTCTATAAAGACCACCCAAGGGAGACAGAAAAAATGGACACTGTAGACGGGTGGCCTTTCTAGACAGGTTCTACAATACATGATTCTATTTCAAGGGAGACAAAATGCATGGCCACTATAGACAGGTGGTCTTTATAGAGAGGTGGTCACTAGAGCCGGTTTGCATGACTGTATGATTTATGCGTGAAAGCAGAAAAAAAGGGAATCACATGAACTCACCAGTTCTTGTGGTCAAAGTACTGTCTCAGCAGCTCAACAGGAGGTTGGGCACCATATACCTCTCTGGCAGGCATGTTCAGATCATCCACAAAGATGACCGATTTCTTGCCCATCGGTGGTCCAAACACACCCTTCCGTCTCTTGTCCAGCTTGGACATGATGATGTCCTGCACAACAAGGAGTTTCATGATTAGATTTATTATTATTATTATCATTATTTATTTGGCAAAAACAAACAAAATCATTGAATACAAAACAAGAGTACATCTCCTGCCTATCTAAAATTCAACTGAATGAACAAGTGTCTCATTGTGTAATTTGTGTAGAAAATGCACGTCCCAATATGACATACTGTACGATACAAGGGGGAGAGCCATTCAGAATTTTGGATTACGATACCAAATTAAAAATGTCCAATATATTATAATGTATAGGACTATGATAATGAGAAATTAATTCATTTCTATAAGATCCCACAGTACAACTGTCTATGAATTAATTTCAGGGTTTATTTCATCTTTCTATGTCACAAATTCATACATTTTTCAGTCAGAACTTGACTAAATTATTGTATAGATACCGAAACAAACACAAGTTGGGTAGTGAGTCTGCAAAAAGACATTCATTGTTTTGAGTCTACGGGATTGCGCTACACTATAGCCTGCATTAATTACCTGAGTTTGATTTGCACTTGTCTGAGCTGAGAAGTTGATAAACATTGGAACGTATTCATCCTTGGACATGTTGTTCATCAGTTTGTCCTTGACGTACACACTCTTACCGGTACCCGTAGGTCCCACAAACATGATGGCCCTGGAATGGAAGAGCAGACAGACAAACACAGAGACTTCTATTAAAGAAACCGTACACTCACACAAAAAAGTCGTCAATTCCATGCAAAGGATTGCTGATGTGAAGATGGGTCGATCAGTCCAGAAAGTTGGGGCTATTTTTGTGACATACCAGAAGTGAGAAACTATGTCTCCTGTCAACTGTAACAATGTGTGCTCAAATTGAGTTTTGCATAAAAAGTATAGCCAACTATCTTCATAAGTACTAAAGCTTTATGGTGAATCAATATAATGGACCCCAAGTTTATGTAATGTTATATGAATATGGTGTCCATGTAATGCTGATAAAAAGAGATATATGTGTTAAGCAAGGATTTTGAAGAAAAGCAACTGAATCAGGAACGATTCTGGCAGGGAACTATTATATATATTCATTGCCTACAAATCTTCAACAGATAATTTCATCTCCCATGTGTAGTAGAAGATCTCATACCTACGTTACATGGACACTGTCCTATTTTTTACACCAACTTTATGGAATGACCCAGATATACTTGATACCTGATGGTGTAATCCCTTTAGCAGCTCACTCAGGAAGCTATTCTGAGACTAGTCATGTTGGTAGTTGTTCTATATACAAGACAACAACTTTTACAATAATAGAATAAAGGAAAATCTTAAGGACAAGAATATCTTACTCACCTCTGATGCCTGACTGCAATATCCATGAGATAGGTATAGCGTGCAGTGTCCATGGTTGGGACAATGATCTCTTGGACCTTCTTACCCTGACCGACCTCTGCGTTGCGTATGGTGTCATTCCAATGAGTCCACTTCCCTCTTGCCTTGTACTGTGGCAATAGAGAACAAAATTAGGAATGTTTGGTAAATTTATGATTTTATTCCTTACAACAGATCACATTCTAAATTCAATTTACGATCCTATTACTGTACTACAGTACATGTTCTGCATGGCTTTGTCGTGAAAACTATGCCCGATATCATGTTCACAATAATGGAAACAGATGAATCATACACTATTAGAAAATAATTAAAAACATAATGCAACAGGGATTCATATGGAATCAAGCAACCATTTTTTACTTTGCAGTTATTCAAATCTCTTCAAAAATTTCTGAGTCATTAATGAGTTCTAGTGCAGTGTTCTAGATTATTGATAAACTTCATTATTATATGCACATTCTCATCATTGACATATACTTGAAATCATCTGCAATATTCAATGAAACATAACCCCCCCCCCTACCCTCCCCCACCAAGATTCCGTTCACTTACCTCAAAGAGATAATCATAGATCAAGCCTTCAGGAGGGAGGGGTACATCCAGCTTGCCAACCTCCCCTGGGATGGGGTGGTCTTCTGATTTGCCCGTAAGGATTTCTCTTAGGTATGCGTCAAACTTTGCACGTCCATCGTTGTCCGTCGTACATCCCACTGACCAGATGATCGAGAAGAGAAATGTGTTCTGTGGAAATAAATCAAACAAATTAGTTTAATAGCTCTACTGATTTAGATTATAAGGCTAATCAAGTCAGTTATACGTGACGTATATTTCTAAAAGCTTTGTTCCTGAACATACAGATCAAATATAAATGGTTGAAATCACATAAATCAAAATACTCATCTATATTTCTCTACTTTCGCCTTAAGTGCGAGTTATTCAAAATCTAAATTGAAGACAAATGGCCTTGTTTGTTCCTTCTGCTGTATTCTCAGACTTTCAGTCTCAAAGAACAAAATAAAAGACATGCACAGAGCATGAGAAAAACAGAGAGAGAAAGGCAAAAGAGACTAAATAATTGTAATAAAAATGAATTGCACATAAATATTTTGCTTACGGTGAGCCATGATTTGAGGTTCTTTGGATCACAGTTTGGTAAGTTATCGTCCATGAACATTTTGACGAAGTACATCAGGGAACGTGCCATGTTGTTGATGCTCGTTGCAACATATTCCTAAAGAGAGAAAAACATTAAAAAATCACTGTTAACATAGAATTATGTTGATTATATTGATTATATTTTAGTTAATTCCATTCAACTGAATTTTATTGTATGTACTAGTAATCTTTTATTTTATTTTGTTGCTTTTAAGCTATTGAACAAGTTGAATAATTATACTAAGTTAGACAGTACCACCTGTGCGCTTAGAGAAACCCCTGTATAATGCGCCCTTTAAATGTAATTAGTATTATTATTATTATGAAACACAACACTCAAAACTGTATTCATTAACTTCTTTTATATCCATAATGGCTGTGTTTTCTACTATGCTCATTAAATACCCCCTCTCTAGAAAAAAAAGGACATTCATCATGATAACCATCAAGGAGGGCCATAAAACATACAAACGTTTAAAATCATCAAATGCATGTGATTTATTGAGACTTAATAAAAGGTGAAAACTAAAGATAAAACACTGAATTTGCAATTTCATCACATTTTGGGATAGGTCCACTATGAAACTTAATTGATCACTCGGCCAAACAAAGCTTACTTTGCAGTTCCTTCTGACATAGTCAATGCAAGGCTCTACAAGCCAGTTGAAGAGAGCCTGTACAAGAGGAAGTTCCTTGAGGAGTTCTTCTGGGAGTACATTACACCAAGACTTGAAGACAGGTCGCCAGCCCAAGTTCTGAGGCTCCAGGTATATCATACCACAGCGGCTAACAGTGGCAGGCTGTCAGTGAAGAAGGAAAAAAAGGAATATTAACAAATTTGTAATGCAATTTCTGTTTTCCTATACTATACTATACTATACTATATAAGGCAATTTGTAATTTGCGGTATACAAATATCTTATTATTATTTATCATTATTAAAATATAAGTGAGAAATCTTAACTTTATATGTATGTGTACATAGAATTATAAACAATTCTTTGTTGCATAAGATGATCAAAAGAATCTATACATTATGCCATTCTACTTTTGGCCAGGTTGGCTAGGTAAATAAATGTAAGAGAGTGCAGTTCCTTATAATGAACCTCACAAGCTAACAGAGCTAAACCCAGGGTGATAAAATCTGTATATGGGGGGGGGGGGGGGGTGCTATCTCTAGGGGTCTGGGGACAACCCTGATGAATGATCACACTAATTCTACATTACATGAACAGATTATGATTTAGAGAAGCCCTCACCTTTTCCCATTTAAGAGAAAAGCTCCCACATGTAAAAGATATTGGTGGCTGTCCAGACAAACCCTTAGGGTTTTAATACAGCAACCGAGTTCCTATTTTTTATTACTGTCAATATATGTTACTGTTTTTATGGAATTGAATAAATGCTGAATTGAATTGAATATTGAAGATCCCTGTATCAAGTTATTACTTTTTTTCCATAAAAAAAACTTACAGAAGCTTGTGAGAGGTCCATGGCTTCAAAGATGAGGCTCATAGGGTTTGACATCTGGATGATCTCTCCGCTCATCAGACATAGCTTCTTGTTGTCATCCAGCACAGTGTTCATACTCTCAATCCACAGGGTATCAATGGGACCATCAAATATGACCCACTTGCGATCGGGCGTGTCCGTTGATGCAAACTCACGGAAGGTGTTGGCAACAATTCCATCCGTCCACTGCGTAAAGATCAAGGTGGTGACATTCACAAGGTATTAAACTTCAGAAGTCTTTAATGGTGAACATAAATGCATGAACTTAGTGATGGCATTTCTTTGAAGTTACCAGAAAAATAAAAAGTCATTCATAAGTGAGATATTTATCATACAGCAATATTCTACAATGTCAAAAATCAGTGATTAAACTATAATTAACAAATGAAAATCTCCATACTCTAAACAATGATAAATAATTTGGAATAAAAAGAAATGTACAGTGTGCTGATCTTGAGCTGGTGAAAGCATTATAAAAACATTTAGATATAAAATTTCCTTCAAGATGTTTCATTTTCTATGCTGAAATATTGAAACGTTTCTATCCTGAATATCAAAATATCTTTGTTCTGATTCTCCTTCCTCCTTGATAGTCATAGTCTGACAATCTTGTACTGACCTCATGAGATACTGGGTCAAACTGTCCAAAGAGTTGACCCATGGTGACGGCCTTAGGGTTGACCGTTCTGTAAATGACCTTCTCCTCCTCATTCAGTCCTCTCTCGTTCAAGAGAGTCAGAACCTCAGCCATGACATGGAGAACCTCAGTCTTGCCTGCGAAAGACTCTCCCACAAGCATGAAACTATAAAAAGGATAGAAAAATAGTCAATGAGAGTACTTAGTATTTGATTTTAGATTTTCTTTGTGTGAAAAAATTTCATGAAATTGCTAGTCTCTATTGTACCCCAAAACAGGACATTTCATCAAAGTATTCAGAATATGATAGAACTAGATGGAATTTTGACTGCGCGCAGTCGAAAATGATGCCTCCGCCATAGAGCAATTTAAACAAGTTTGGAGTTTAAATCTCCAGTGGTTCTTGAGATATCATGATAACAATCTCAATGTATGGAATTTCATAAGTTGACCTCTGTGACCCTTGACCTTTGACCTACGTGCTCCAAAATCTAATTAGATTGTCTTCCTATGGTGATACACACTATCATTAAGTTTGAAGTTTAAATCTCCAGTGGTTCTTGAGATATTATGATATGGTGATACATACTATCATTAAGTTTGAAGTGAAAATTCTCCAGTGGTTCTTGAGATATCGCGATAACGATCTCAATGTATGGAATTTCATAAGTTGACCTCTGTGACCCTTGACCTTTGACCTACGTGCTCCAAAATCTAATCAGATTGTCTTCCTATGGTGATACACACTATCATTAAGTTTGAAGTTTAAATCTCCAGTGGTTCTTGAGATATTATGATAACAATCTCAATGTATGGAATTTCATAAGTTGACCTCTGTGACCCTTGACCTTTGACCTACGTGCTCCAAAATCTAATCAGATCGTCTTCCTATGGTGATACATACTATCCTTAAGTTTGAAGTTTTTACATCTCCAGTGGTTCTTGAGATATCATGATAACAATCTCAATGTATGGAATTTCATAAGTTGACCTCTGTGACCCTTGACCTTTGACATACGTGCTCCAAAATCTAATCAGATTGTTTTCCTATAGTGATACACACTATCACTAAGTTTGAAGTTTAAATCTCCAGTGGTTCTTGAGATATCATGATAACAATCTCAATGTATGGAATTTCATAAGTTGACCTCTGTGACCCTTGACCTTTGACATACGTGCTCCAAAATCTAATCAGATCGTCTTCCTATGGTGATACATACTATCCTTAAGTTTGAAGTTTAAATCTCAAATGGTTCTTGAGATATTGCGCTAACAAACTCAATACAAGGAATTTCATAAGTTGACCTCTGTGACCTGTGACCTTTGACCTACGTACTCCAAAATCTAATCAGATCGTCTTCCTATGGTGATACATACTATCCTTAAGTTTGAAGTTTAAATCTCAAATGGTTCTTGAGATATCGCGCTAACAAACTCAATACAAGGAATTTCATAAGTTGACCTCTGTGACCTGTGACCTTTGACCTACGTACTCCAAAATCTAATCAGATCGTCTTCCTATGGTGATAAATACTATTCCCGAGTCTTAAGTTTAAATCTTAAATGGTTCTTGAGATATTGTGATAACGGTCAAACGGGACGGACGGACGGACGGACGGACGGACGTACGGACGGACGGACGTACGGACGGACGGACGTACGGACGGACAACCCGAAAACATGATGCCTCCGGCACCACCTTCGGTGGCGGAGGCATAAAAATATTCAATGAGAGTATTTGATTTTAGATTTTTGGGGGTGAAAAGTTTATGTGAAATAATGAAATTGCTAGTCTCTATTGTACCCCAAAACAGGACATTTTATCGAAGTCTTATCCAGAACATGAAATAACAGATTTAATCAATTTCTTACCTTTCAGAGATATAAATGAAAATAAAGAGTCACACTTTCCAAGGGACTCTCTCTCTCTGATTTCTACTTATTTCAAACCATGGGACTAAGATTGAAGTCTTATAGCATCAAGGTTACTTTATTTATACCTGCATTATATAAGGTCAATAGTACTGTGGTAAAGCAGGGGTTTTATCATCAAGGACAACTTTTCAATCCGTCTGACTTACCCGTGCCTGACTATCATCATCTCATATGTCTGGATGAGCTTCTCCAGGAAGTTTTCCACCGGTTGGAGGTTGTGTTTCTCACAGATCTCAAGCACGGCTTCCATGAAGAGCTTGTAATCGGCCTTGGGTAGGGTGATACCGGGGAAGAGATCCGATATGATGCCTTCAAACAACGGGATGTCATGTGACAAGAACTTGGGCAGGTTCACATCCATGATGGATCTCAGGAGCTGTTCAGAGGAGGAAGTAAAATTTTAAAAATAGCTCAACGGACAAAAGAAACGATAGGACTTGGTTTGTCACAAAGACCAAATAAACCCTGGGTCCCCTTCCTACAAAGTATTGCAACTGATCAAAGCTATTCGCAACTCAACCTGAGTTTTCTTATCATTTAAACTCCTTATGTGAGAAGTTGGCAAATGCAACTTTGTAATTGATTAGACTTGCACTCGACTGCAAACAATCTCAACCCTTTATTAAATAGGGTCCAGATGCTAATATTGAAAAATCATCACATGTTAAAGGTAGTACCTTCACTTGTTTGAAAAACAGGTAAAGAGGTAAAATTTGTTGAAACAAGATTGGCAAAATGAACACAGTTTTACTGAAGATTTTCTTTTAGATCCATGTCACAATGTAATAACTTTTGAAGCTAGCATTACAACATACTTCATAAAAGATACAATGTATAGAATGGTCAAAATTGTAAATAAGAAATAATTATCAGATGTACTAAAAACCAGTTCCACTCTTTAAGCCCATCTGCACTAGTTTGGCCAGGAGAGATTAGACCTTCCTCTATGGTCACTGACCGGTGGTTATCTCATCAAATCACCTCTCAATTAACGTAAGAAAAAGGGAATCATGGGGGACCAACGGATACCAACGGGTACCGCTTAGGCATTGTTTGCTATATAGAGGGCGCTAGTCGCTACAAGTAGTGCAGTCCTGCTTTAATACCTACCAAAATATCCTCATTCTCATCCGGGAATTTGAGTTTGAGATTGCCAGCAGCGGCCAGCACAGCCTTGACGGCTCTCATGCCGTAATCGTAGTGAAACTGGGAAGAGAGCTGTTCTGAGCAGAGACGGTAGGTTGTGACGATCTTAACCGAGAGGTTCCTGGCGTCCACAAAACCATACGAATAGAGCATGATCTCTCCAATCATGGCATAATCGGGAACCATCATGGCTACAGTACGGAATAGAACCTGGGGAGGGGGGAGGGGAGGGGCAATGCAATGTTCAAGAGATGAGTACGAGACCTTATTTCTGGGAACAAAAGTGATTCTATAAACTTTGAATTATAAATAAATAAAAACAAATCAAGGGGCACAAAGTACAAATATATCTCATAATCATGGCTGGCATGTGCTGTATTTCGGTATCAATTTTGATGGTTGATTTCTAACTGATTCCTAATTGTATATTTGAGATACACAAATTAAAGTTACATTTGTTCTACATTTGAACATGTTATTTGCTTTCTAATATGAATGATATAAACATATAATTCAGTTCAGTTCTATTGAAAGTTAAACTTCTTTTCCAATTGTGTCAATGCAATCATACAGAAAATAGTAGTTAAGGTATAAAGCAAAAGAAAAACTACAAAGATCTTGACATGTTTGCAAGCACACCTTCAGATTGTCAGGTAGCTCAGATCGACCAGCGTAACCGGGATTCATGGTAATAGCCACAAAACAGGACGGTTTGAGGACCAGTTCTGTCCCTTCAAAGAGGAACGTCTCCTGATGTGTCGCTACAGCTCTCTGGATGCACAGGATCTGCTGGGCCACAACAGACAGCACCTCTAGCTCGATACGGTTGAACTCATCAAAGCAGGCCCAGGCACCGGAGCTTGCAAGCCCCTTGAAGAACTTGCTCATGGCCAGGTAGTCCAGACCATCGGAACAGTTGAAAACCACACACTGGACAGCCAGGGCCTTGGCTAAATCCTTGGTGGTCTCAGTCTTGCCGGTACCAGCTGGACCTTCCGGGGCACCGCCAAGGTTGAGATGTAAAGCACCGACCAAGGTACGGTAGCATCGATCAGTCAGAGGAGTGATCACCAACCTAAGTTGAGAGAACAGTTTAGAGATCGATCAGTTGTTTAGTAGCAACATCATGTGTATAAACAGCACATGTTTTTTTCTTTCTTGGCGTGGGGAAGGGGGGGGGGGGCTCTAACCTCACAATTTTCACATTGTAGAGATATAACAAAAAGTTTATAATACTCATCGTTTGTAAAATATATCAATTCTAACTACCTACATTTACATCAACCTTAATTATATAATGTAGCTATCATTGTTCATTTAAAGTGCTACACTTGTTTCCTAAAATAACCCTTGTTTTCAAAAGGAGTACTTGTCATACAAGCCATGAAATCCAACAATTGATACGTTACAAGTAGATTTAAAAGAGAGAGGGGGAGGGAGGGGGAGGGGGAAGGGGGAGGGAGAGACACTCACCTTCCAGAGTTACCAAGGTACTCATTGGCATACTTGACAGTAGCATTGGTGATACGAACAAGAGTGTTACTGTCCTCCCAGTAGTATCTCAGCTGTGCTAACCAGTTAAAGTCACTCTCTTCCTTTACGCCTAGAAACAGAGAAGAGTTAGGTCATTATTGTAGTCTATAATAATAACGTACCATTTCACACTTTTTAAGCGAAAATAGAAGTAATTGCAATGAGCATAAGAAAGTGGGGGGAGCGAATCTTCGCTCATGCTAGACCTTCATTATGGAATACTCTCCCTCAATGGATTAAAAATAGCAGTTATGCTGAAGTGTTAAAACGAAATCTTGAGAAATATCTGTTTAATTTAGCTTTGATTGATTACCATTACCTTTCATGTCTGTACCTTTCCTATTGCACTTTTGTGTATATTTATCATGTATTTCATCTTTTGCGCAAGCTGTGCCTTGAGCATTTGAATGACAAGTGGATTTGGCGCCTTATAAATCTTATGTATTATTATTATTATTATTAATAAAGTTTATCCCAAAACACAAAGCAAATTTTGATATGCATTATTCTGAATCAAACGATACATACTCCTTTCGTTTCTTTTTGTGGTATTGGTACTTGAACACAGCATACATCGAAAATTAGCCATATATACCCACCTACAATTTTCATCTATCAGAGAAAAATTGCAATCAGTTTCTTTTCTGTTGTTGTTACCTTGGCCTTTATAATACTTTGGATTAATTTGCTGTTACAACTCAAATCTCTTGGTCGTACCTTGATTTGCCATGTCTTCCACTACGTCCCTGGCATGCACCTCAATGGTAGTCAGAGCTCCCAAGGTAGTACGTGTCTGCTTCGACAGCTTGCCACGCACCAGAGCGACAATGTCTTGCAGTTGTGACTCCAGCTTGTCGTAGTATTTCCTCAAGCCCTGAGGGCCACCACGTATGGCTTCGTGCACCTCCTCCGTCCAGTAGATCTGGGAGACACAGATGACCACTTGACCTGGCCACTCTTGAACCCAATTGGACCTGGGCTCCACAGCATATGCCTATAATGCACAGAGAATAAGACCGATTATTATCCTAATACTGTTTTACAAAGAGAAAATAATGAAATTAGCTCCAGCAGTCATCTCTGCACTACAATGAATATTCCTACATGGTGTCTCTTTATTAAGACTGGCTTGAAAGACTCAACAGATAAAGTGCAATCATATCTTTTGTAAAAGTGTTGTGGTCTAGTGGATAAGTCACCTGACTGCAGATTGCAAGGTACGGGGTTCGAGTCCCGCCGCGGCACTAATGACCTTTGGCAAGACGTTAATCTACATTTGTAACTCTCCATCCAGGTGTTAAATGAGTACCCGGTAGGCTGCGAAAGTTAATGTGGTTGGATGAGCAAGTGGCGCTAGTTAAATGGCGACTGGCCAAAATGCTCCCCAGGGAGTGGAGAATGTGCATACATTGTGTGCGAGAAAGCCTGAATCCGATGACTGGGTAATAATATGTTCTGCGCCTAGAAACAAAGTATTAGGCGCATTATAAATACGAGCTATTATTACTATTATTATTATTATTTTCAAAGCAAAATGAACTAGAATCTTACCCCATGAGCATTCTCAACGACATCCCTGACACTCCTCAGCATGACATCTTGAACCTGCAGTAGCCATTTTTCAACAGCACCTCTGGCTTCAGAAGTTGAAATCACATCACTAAGCTTGACCTAGGAATACAACCAGATAATAGAGATCAGGGTAACTAATGAGACATTTCCCCACAATTCATTGTCTAAATGTACCACTTTAAAGAACCGAGGCATAATCTTAAGGATCGAGGCAAGTTGGCCAAGTCTGCAGAGCGTCTCCCTGTCAAACAAAAAGGCTTTGTTGTGTCTGAACATGCCCTTAATATTTCATAGGGACATGCTAAGTTACAGTGAAAAACACTTTGTACCTCGGATAGGCGTAGACCATGTGGAGATCGAGTCACCACTTTCGAACATAATAAACTGACTGCACCCTGAACAGTAGATTATTTGAAGGAACAGTCTCATCTTCGTACTCTACTCTCCTATGTTAACCTTCACATAGGATCTGTTAATACATGAATAAGTCATTTAAAGCAGCGACATACCTTTTCCCCTTCACTACTGAACATAGCATGAATGTCCAGTGCACCATCAAAGTCTAACTTAGAAACGCCCTCGAAGCACTTCTTGAGATGGGGTTGGACACGCAGTGGGTCCTTGGTCTCGGAGAGAATCTCCAACATCTCGTCATTGGACAGGAAGAAGAATCTGAAATGATGGAAGGAAGAAACAAATAAGCTAAACTAAAATTCAAATCTGGTAGAAGAAATATGGAGAGCACTTGATCTCTGTACCGCAAGCATATTCTGATTTGAAGGTTAGTTAAAGGCATTGTTCAACATGTTCCCAGTTGAGATGCATGGCCCTACATATTGTCAGTGTCTGTAATATGGTTCAATATTGAAGCCCTAAATAAAATGGCTTCAAAATGATCATGAAGTGCCTCAAAAAAGAACAATCTTTGAGTGACCGGTTTTACCATACTCATTTTCCCCAATAAGACTGTAGTGTTATAAAAATCTTTGGGAAAACGTTTTTTGAAATTACGAATTCCAATCATAAATATCTTGCTAATCAGACAGGCGATTAGCTTGTAAAAGTCATGGGATTCCTGACTGACCTACAGGTTTATAATTATGATTGCAGCATGAGCTACATCCAGGATTTTGTTTAGAATCTGAGGGAGAGATACCCAATCTCTTTAAGAGTATGATATTACCTGGGGAAGAAGAGCCTCTTTTTCTCCAGGTAGGCGTTGAGACCCTTGAGGATCCGATCCAGTAGGCCATTACTATCCACGAGCTTCTCTAGGATTCCTGTCAGGGATGTAGCAGCCAGCACCTAAAACAAGTTCAAAAGTAAAACACAAGCAGTGTTAGGTAATGGCTATGGTACAAATATGTATTCCTCGATTAACCTAGATAATCAAAGGCCAAAGAATGAATTGATTTTCTTAAACTGAGACTGTAGTTTTTCAATTATGATGGTAGTTGTAGAAGAAGCAGGTCATTTTATGTCTCTGGTCAGACAAATCTTATCTTCCGGCTAGATCGTTATAGAGTTCTCTTGGAACTTGTTTCACAATTTGAGTTACATTAAAGCCTGCACTAGTTTGGCCAGGGGGTATAAGACCTCCCTGCAAGGTCACTGACAGGTGGTTATCTCATCAAATCAGCTCTAAATTAACATAAGAAAAAGGGATCACGGGGGACCAACAGGCATCGATTAGGCATCGTTTACTATATAAAGGGCGCAAGTAGCTGTAAGTAGTGCAGTGGGGCTTAAAACAATCTTTTGAGTGAAATGGAAAAACTAAAGCGACAAGCTTAGTTTGTTTGTGTGTAACATTTGTATCTCGATCTTACCTTTGGATCTTTGGAGGTGTGTTTCATGATGTCCTTCCAATTACGATCCACCGTCTGGAAGAGTCTACCTTCCTCGGGCATCTGCTGCATGATGTCTTCTGAACTGAAGATGGGTTCTAGGTAGAGCCACTGAGCCTGTACCTTCAACCATTCATCAATGGTTTCCTGGATGTGTAACAGTCTCTCCTCCCAGACCTAACAGACGTAAAGACAAAACAACAGACGTTTTAAACACATTTTTTCACCTTCTTGAAGGCCCTTTCTTATTAAAGAGGACCTAATAATGTAATGTGAATGGTATTTGGTATGGAAATGAAGAATCTGTTCATTTACAAAGCTAAGCATTAGTTCTGTTGAGGCAACTCTGTTTCAAGAGGACCTTGCCCAAAGTTATTCCGGACTCAAAGTCTGGAAGTTGACCAATACTGTAGTTTTGACCACAAAATGTAAATACTTAATGAAACTTGGTGGAAGTTTTATTCACTAAAACTGTGTCTTGCTTGGTACAAGGTCAGGAAGACTAGTGTGGTTTCCTTATCTGTCTTTGCTCTTTCCTCGACTATCATACACTTTCTACTAAATTTATTTAGAAGATTGTAGTTGTAACTTTAGTATGGAATCTTATCTTCTGTCATCATCAGAACTCAAGGTTACACTTGAGGAGGAACTAACTCCAGGCAATAACAGGATTGGGTAAATCCATACACCGGTTAGCCTTTAAACAAGGCCACATGCCTGATAGACGCCGAGCGACTAAAAAGAGACTAATCGCGAAAACCTGAATGAACACCAGTGCGAATTGTCCAGACCTGTGGCCTTTATCAATCTGGTTTGGATTTCTTATGTTAACCCTTGTTTCCGACTGGAACTCGCTTCAGAAAACGTAGTGTCCAATCAGCGAACGTATCCTAGCACGACGTCAGCATATAGTATCCATCACACACACACACACACACAGTAAACTCTACGTAGTGCGAACATGGACCTACTATACGTACGTGCTAAGACCGCTGACCACTGACCTCTACATGGAACGAATCACGAACGAAGCCAACTAGGAGATCGCCGTTCTGATTGGTCAATGAATCCAAAGTAGGCGTATTGGCCTACTAATATGTATCTATGAATAATTCATGCGGAGCAGTGAAACCCACTTTCCAAAAGGCCTCATGACATTCGTCATTCGGTCGCGCGTTCACTCCGGGTATCTAGACTCATCTCAGCCGCTTAGCCAGAGTCAACGAGGCCTTGTCAAAAGGCTATACACCGGTAAACCTTTATTGTCATGTATTACCTTGATCTCCTTTTCAAATGGCTTGATGAAGGGGGAGCCTCTCATCGTCTGGGTTTTTACAATCTGGTCATCCAGCATGGTCTGGATTTCATCCACGGATGCCAGGATCTTGACCCCTGTGTCCCTGTAAGCGGTCAGTCCGAAGAACACCGCCTCCCAGTCCTCAAGCATGCGACCCATGGCTTTCTCCAACGAGTATTCCTGTAGCAGAGCAAATGAGAATGAGAGTGAATTCCGGAAGGAATATGCATAGTAAGACATAAACTGGCTTTACGGTAGGGGATTATAATAATAATAATAACGGTGGGTTCTTGTATAGCGCTCATGTCTGTCAGGCTTGACCCTCTTGGCGCTCCCGATTATTACCCTGGCTTTAGCAAGGCTGCCATTATGGCGCTCTAGCATTTCAAGGAATTAATTCCTGCCAGGTACCCATTTACATCACTTGTTTACATCACGGTTGCAATAGTAACTTCTTTAACTAAATAAATGTAACTGTTCTATAGAGAGGATATAAAGCAGATGAGAAGTATCCTATTGCTCTTTGACTGATAGCATACCAAAACAGATACACGATTGCTTGTTATGATAATTTAGTATAATACAACATTATAATAAATGTTGCTAAAGGGGGTGTAGCGTGGCAAATAATGGTTAATGCCATCTGCCACTTCTTTTGGACAACTGCAAGTAAACCAATGGACTTGATTAACTGTCAGTGCATGCTAGCATTCGCAAAACAGACCGAAATTCTCCTCACGCTTTGGTTATACGTATGTTGCATGCACGTGGATACTGCGGTCGCGTCGTCCATAGTCATTTTATACCTGATTGGCCCCCAGGTCAGGCCACAGGAAAGGCAAGTAGTCTCGTCATGCTACACCCCCTTTCACTACATACGCAATCAAGTGATCAATTTATATTTTTTAAGCACCATACCTTTGTAGCTGCTGCACTAATGGATTCAAACTGTTCCATGTAGGTCCCGAGGTTGAGCTTGAGCACTTTACGCAGGGTACTTCCTGAATCAGGTGTCAAGTCAAAACCAGCAATGTCAGACATCTTGGACCAGTGACGGGTCCTGACGCCAGGGTTGCACAGGACAGCACAGGTGGGAATGAATTCCTAAAATACAAAAAATAACGTTATCACATTCAATTACTAGGTAAAAAACAATATCTATAGATATTTTTCTTTGCCCATAGGCAAAAGGTCCTCAATACGTGTAGCTATGTGCCTCTTGTTCCATCAAAACTGTCATCATTAATCAAGACTTCAAAGACATATTTTCGTTTTCATTATTGACCATGGGAATATCATAGAAAGACATTAATTTATTAACTTAAAACTGGAGTAAATGGAAAACAAAATAGCACACAAACACTAAATACAATTTGGCCGTCCAGCTATTCTGATATTACACATGCGTGAACAAGTACAGACTAAAGACAATCCTGACATTGACTAAACCCACCTTGAACTCTGTGATTTGTTCCTGTACTGTATTGCAGACCTTGATGGCCGCCCAGCCCGTCTCCTCTTCTGCTGGTTTAGCCTCTTCCTCCACTGCATCATCCCTTTTCTTTCTCTTTGGTGGCGCAGCCTTGTTGTTCTCTGCCTCCTCTTTCTTCTTGGCGTTGACGAAGCCCTTGGTGATCTTGTAGATGTCTCTCCAGTACTCATCGGCCTCTCCTTCGATGGACTCGGAGTTGAGCTCCAGGAAAGCACCATCCATCCATCTGAAGAAAGATGAGGGCAAAGTTTGGAGTTAGAGATCAAATTTATTTTGAGGAAGGATCAAGATAAGAGGGAGAATTTAATGCATCTATTTGCTACATTTTCAATTGATTATCACTAATTGCACATTAATTTAAATTTGAGTCAATTAATGTACAAAAACTGAAATCCTATATTATACGTGTATATAAAAAACCAAGAATTACATTCCTATACTATTTGAAATGAGTCTTTTCCATTTTTGTTACATTGCTTAAAAATCATGAAGATAATTTTATATAGTCACTGTTATTGACCAATTTTAAATCTATGTAGTCAATTAAATTGTAACTTTGATGCTTGGTGTACAGTACATGTACATTATTACATTGTGCTCTGTTTAGGTTCTAAGGCTACACTTCCGATATAATTTCCAATACTAGGATGCAAAATAAAAATGTTCGTTCCTGGTGAGAGTTCATGAAGTAACTCACTTTTTTTCTGCTCTCTGCCATTTGACAACCAGACCGAAGAGCCTCTGGTAGGGTTCGATGGCAGTGGTTATCTGATCAACTTCTGGATACTCAGTCCCATCCCATTTGAACAGTTTCTCCTCCTGAAAACATAAAACAAAATAAATACATATGAAGCCGGTATGCAACAAGTTTGATGAGGATATTTTTTTCCTTCTCAACCCCCTATTAACTTTAAAAAAAAAAAAAAAAAAAAAATTTGGAAAAAAATGACTTCTACAACATTCCCCCCCCCTCCCCCCCCCCCCCCCCTTTTGAGTAATAATATTAGTGAGAAATAGGGAAAAATAGGGAAAAATCAGGAAAATAGAGAAAATAGGGGTAAAATCGGGTAATTATCAGGCCTGGCACAAAGTAAAAACAATTGAACATTAAAATAGGACTCAACAGTTGTCATTGATAAATGTGTGTACTATTACTTCCCTGTAATAGTTACCAAACAATATAGCTTATCATAACTGGATGATGTAACTTTCCAGCTCTATAAAGGTAAACCCTAATCACATACACATGATTTGCTAGAGATGTACAACAGAGCCAACAATATCTTGGAAGCAAAGAATGCCTTTCCCAAGAACGACATTGGTACACATGGAGGGTTAAGAAAGCTATCAATATTCGTCTCAATCCCAATAATTTCAACATAGACAACGTGATCGATTTCCCCAAATTTTGGATGTGTTTGATACACCGCCATGACACTCCCCATCCAGCCGGCCCGCACCCGTGTGCTTCAGCCAATAGGCCTTCTCTATTATTGTTCTAATTATTGATCTAATTATTTGACCGCCGGTCCATCCGTAGAGTATAAAAGACGCTTGCTTACAATATACTTTATCAGTGTTGCAGCGGCGCACGAAATGTCGTGATCTCCTAGATCCCTTGTTGACCATACATTGCGAGACAAACAAATATCACTAGCGATATTATTTTTGATACTATATCCACAATAAGTATTATATTTAGCTTGAAAGAATACCTTGTTGATGAAGTTGATGGTTTCTGATGCTTCTACCAGCCTCTTCTGAACAGCTCTGACGTCATTGACATACTGAACCATCATGTCTAGTTCTCCATACTCCGCAAACTCTGCTACTCTCTTGCGAATCTTCTCCAATTCGATCATGAGCTTCTCTCGTTTCTCCAAGAGCTCACTTTCTCCCTTCTTCTTGGATTTCTCAACCAACTAAAACAACAAAATGGAAGAAAGGAAAGCAAAAAGTGATTATGAAGTCCTAAAACAACAGAGGACTGATATTTTGCTCAGAGTTCCGGCTCTTCATGAAATATAGGAATTTGGTGCTTTGACAAATGATATACATATAGCATTTGTTTAAATGTTCCTCTTTATATAATTCATCCCTAAATTCACCCTCCACCCCTCTCTCATCTCCAAACCCATATTGCCAGTATTCTTATAGTTTGGTATTTTTCAGTGTGTACGACCAATAGTTTAATAATCATTCTAACCTCCTCATTGTCATCAAAGATGGGCTGAATATTGCTGGGCCACATGAGCACCGTCTTGTTCAGTTCAATGTGTTCTGGCTGGAACAGGTAGATGTCCAAGAGGAAATTCATCTTGCGTTTGCTGCCGTCGATGCGCTCCTTCAGACCCTTGATCCCTTCGACGCGAGCCTTCTCAATGTAAGAAACCATCTCCATCATATCTTCTGAGCTCTCGGGAAGCTTCAGAGCACGATCCTTGATTGTCTCAAATTCTGTGCAAATGCTATATAATTAGGTGGAAAAAGGAAAAAGTTTGGTTGGTTCAGTTGCAATTTTTAAAAAGTGAGTGCATGATTTCGCAGTATTTTAGAGAGAAAATTCAATTTTCCATAATTTCTCACTGTATCATCTGCATCATCTGCATGACCGTATAGATATTACTTATTTTTTATATTATAATCCTTTATCACAATGTAAGGTGTAAAAAAAGAAAAGATGTTGAATTGCCCTTTGCGACTAACACAAAAATCTTGAAATCTACGGTCGGATTTTTTTAAAACCGTTTTTTATAAGAAAAAAATGTATTTAAAACTAAGAAATATCAGCCCAAGTATCAGAATCACAGAAACGTAGAGCAGCAGAAGTGAGAGCAAGACGCTCTTACACACAGCCTGCCGGAAATCATCGGAATCGATGGATAGCGCCGATAACAACAACAACCAAAAAGGGGATTAAAAAAAAAAGTTTTTAAACAAAATTTAAAAAATCTTAACTGACCCATATTTTGGCACCTAAAGGGCAAAACAACATTTTTTTTCTAGGCCTAACTCACCTTTCATTCTCCTGCCTGTGATCTGATGCTACTCTCTCTAGCAGTGTGTTGGCATAACCCCTAGACTTCTCAGCCAGACCTCTCTTAAGATCCTCACAATCTAGACGAACCATGTCAAAGTGAACGATGCTATCAAGACTCATGATGTCTTTAGCCAAGTTGCGGAACTCCTCAATATACTGCAAGTGTAAAAAAAAAATTGATTGTGATGTAAAAGTATATGCAATTTGATTAATGCAACAATAATTAAAAAGCCAGCAGATTTATTACTGATATCTTAAAAAAAATAGTATTCCAATTTACAAATCATTGGTGTCTTCTCACATTTTCATTGGATTTGCTTTGTGTACTCACACCAAGTGTATCAAATTCTTTCATGTGCATTTCTGAGAGATGTATCAAAGTTTACAGAAAGTACTTATTCAAACCCCCAAAGCATGAAGAAACCATCACACTCCTCTGATTCTCTGTCAAGGTTGATTAAGTGTTCTTATCGGGACTCATCTTTTAAAGCCCCACTGCACTACTTATAGCTACTTGTGCCCTCTATATAGCAAACAATGCCTAATCGGTGCCTGTTGGTCCCCCATGATCCTCTTTTTCTTAAGTTAATTGAGAACTGATTTAATGCCATAACCACCCGTCAGTGACCTTGCAGGCAGGTCTAATCCCCCCTGGCCAAACTAGTATGGACAGGCTTTAAGTGTAAATGTGGTTCATCTCATGGTAGGCTTACCTGGCAGTATTCTTCAAATGTGTGTTCATCTTCAAGGAATTTATCGACCTTGGACTGAGCTTCTCCGCTGCACAGATGTTCATATTTTTCCACTGGAAGATGGCAGGAAAAAAAAGATTAAACTTCACAATCATCAGAAACAATCACGGGAAAGGGTATTATTTTGAGATGTAGTTGCTTGAGCATATCAATCCTCACAAGGTGTAAAGAAATTTGGCTTGGAGTGAAGTTCATTAAGGTTCAAGATGCTACATATAATCTAGCTGCTTAGGTAATAGGTCAAACAAGGAATTTGCATAATGGAACACCAATATCAAATCATCAGATTTTCTACAACTACCAGTGATAACGATTAAATTTTGTGAAAATGTGCTTTAGATATTCAGCCTATAATGCACTCCAAGTGGGCAAGGAAGCGAATGCCACTTCCAACAATCTTGATTAATCATTAACAGATTTGGAGAGATTATATCGGTAATCTTTAATCATGAATCAGCAATGTTAATTTTGTATGAGTACCGTAAGTATTATTTACATATAGATGCATATTTAAACAGAGATGCTTACTGTAAGAATCCAGGTGGGCACTGGGCTTTTCGAAGTTCACCTTGCAGGCTTCCTTCAGTGTGCTCCTGGCTGCCGTGACAACATGCTCGGCCACCATGGCATCGATGCTATTGAGCTCGTTGGTCCCGGAGAGCCAGGACTGGACAGTGGGAACACTCTGCATGGTCTTGGTCAGCTGGAGGACCACGAAGAGGAGGCATTCCTCCAGGTCCGAGTAGTACGGGTAGAACTCCATCTTGTCGTTGTCGTAGGTCAGCTCCATCTTGAAGATGGGCAGGTTCTGCTTGTCTTCCATGTCGAACAGCTCCACCCATGCTTCGATGGATCGTGCAATCAGCTTTTTCAGCTGTGTGAAGTGCAAAATCAAGGACTCAATTATACCCAACAGTTACAACATAATCACACAGCGATGTAGAATAAGAGTAAATGAGACAAATGAACATTGCTTCTTAATATTCAAGGGGAAGTCCACCCTGAAATTAAGTTAGTTTTAATAGGAGTAGAAAAATGAGAGAAACAAGTCAGTGAAAGTTTGAGCAAATTCCGATTAAAAATAAGGAAGTTAGGATTTTTGAAGTTGTGATCAATCAAACACAAATTGGCAACTCTATGACGTATCATGCGAGCTCAACTTCCATTTGCTCAGTACTAAAAAAATCTAAAATTTTCATTTTCCCTCAAGAAAAATTTCAACCATACATGCACCCTAAATATAATAATTGCAAATATGTTTCTATACTCCCCCTGCAAGAAACAAATATATATTCCGTCATCAATAACGAAGAAAACATGATTTTATGGAATATTATGCACAAAGCAAATGAAGAAGAGCTCGTATAATAAGTCACAGAGTTGCCAATTTGTATTTGATTGATCACAACTTCAATAATTCATAACTTTCTTATTTTCATTCAGAATTTGCTCAAACTTTCACTCACCTGATTTTCTTATTATTCTGCCTCTATCGAAATAAACTTATTTTGGGGGTGGACTTTCCCTTTAATTTATTTATTTGTAGCAACCAAAGGGTTGATTTGATATAATACATACATTTTCAACATGATTATAAACATCTTTCAATTGAGTACAATGAAATTGGTAAATTATGAATATAAATACATGAAGATCATTAATACAAAGAACATTCTTAGTGAGGTATACAGGTGCATCGTAACAATTAGCAAATGACACAGCTAAAACTATAAGTAATTACCTGATTCGATATTAGAGTTGAGACACTGCAGTAGAAAGATTCTAGTTGCTCGGTAGGGACATCTGACAACCGTTTTCTATCCATGAACACGTTGAGTACTTCAGGCCACCAGCTATGCATCAGTCTGCAGAGAGAACAAAATCAGGAATTGAAATGTGCCGTTTCCCAAATCACAATTAAGCTTGTAATCCATACACAGAGATATTTTTCTGAAGACTTTATGTTATTGATTGCAAATCACTGCCTATAAAATACTTTTAAATACTGGCAGCATGGCTACTGATAGAGCATGTTCATGGACCACCTAGATAAATATCCCTCTATCATTCCAAATAATAATATATGATTTATTTCACAATAATTCTTATATTTCAGTGTATTCACCTGAAACTTAAATTACAGCATGTTTCCTGCTATTAAGACTCCTTCAGATATGAGACGCTGCATTTTTTTTTTATTTACTATGATGTAAAGGGTAAAAAGCTTCAAATTTCTGTATCTTGTATCACACAGCAAAGTGACTATGAGCAAGTCCTTTAATGTGGGAAATTGCCATTCACTTTACACATTTAAAAAATAACTTTTTTTGGGCAGCGGTTCATTGCGTCATTTGCGAACAAGCCTGTAAAGGTCACTCACCTCTCTTCCATCTTCTCACATTCGAGAATGACATTATTTTTCAGGTGCTCGCACTCTACTGGCCCCTGTGCCCTTTGACCTTTCAGGTCAACCAGCAGGAGCTGTCCGAGGCTCGTCTGACACATGCCCAGTACAATCTGCATGGAAGGATGGGTGACGTGGAGGTTGCACTGCATCGCTTCCACCGCATCCAGGAAGTCGTTGTGCCAAGGGCTGGAGTAGTCGAGACCACTGTAGAGTACAGATAATCCATATTGTTTAATCCATATATTACCACTTCGTTATAAGGTGTTATCATGAATACAATATCAAAGGTAGGTGTATTTCTTTAATGCACAAAAGACATCTTACATTTTAATTTTGTTTAAACATTTTCCAAACATGAAGAAACTTGGAAATTATTCAAAAAATAGAAATATCCATTCTTGGACAGATCAAGTCAATAAAACAATAGAACTTATTTTCAAATTTAAATACAACAAAAAAAGGCTTGGAGCTAGCTAGAAAACATGACCCCCCCCCCCCCAAAAAAAAAGAAAAGATCATATTGAATGACTGATTGCCCCCCAGTTTAATTTTCACACATGCTTGATAAGTAAATACTTACACTGGTTCTGCTGGTGGCTCTCCTGTTGTGTCTTTCTCAAGCCCTTTTATATTTGGTTTGACCAATACATGTTGTGCTGTATCAAGATGAAAATCCAAAATTAAATTGTCTTACGTATCAAAAAAATAACACATCATTAACAATGGCTACTTCATTACATTACATTATATTTTTGGAATTCTGAATTGACTTGACGTATTTGGTAACTATGATCTCTACAGATCCAATTCGGAGGAAAAAGGTAATATATATTAAAATTTAATTAAAACTAAAATTTGAATGCTCCGAGTACAATAGTTTTGTAAAAATGACTGGTAATATAAAAAGGTTGAATAAAAAGAGGGAAAATGGTGCTCAATGTGAAATATCTCAGTATGGCAAGGACCTGAACCTTAAAGGGATTTGGTATCTTTGCCTCAGATTCTCAACAAAATCCTGGGTTTAGCTCATATGCTGCGATAATCATTATAATAATAACAACCAGTCAGTCAGTCAGGAATCCCATGACTTTTGTCTGATTATCAAGATATTATTATGATTTGAATTGTCAAAAAATATCAAAATTGTCAAAAACTGTTTGCCAAACAGTTTTGAACAGATTTGTTTTAACACTACAGTTTATCTGGGAAAATGAGTATTGCCAAACCAGTCACTCAAAGATTTTTACTTTTTTGTAGCCCTTCATGATCATTTTGAAGCACAATTTTTTTGGGGGGCTTCAATTTTATATACACCACATCACTGATAACACGTAGGGCCATGCATCTCAGATTTCTAAAACTGGAAACATTGTGAAACAATGGCCTTTAATGCGAGAAGCTTTTCTGATAAACTCACTCATGGATTTCATCATGCTGCTGTGGAAGTCACCCTGTACCTCTGTGAACAGTTCCTGTATGGTTTCTTGCATGTACTTAGACTCTTGGAGGTGGGAGGGTACCAAACTTAGGATGTTGGTATACCGTTGTTCTTCCATAACAGGGATAGGACCACTCTCCACACATTGCTTCATGTATTGGTAGTTTTGCTATTGTTATGATGGAGAGGATGAAAGATCATTAGATAAAAACATGATAATCCGTCTCTTTTTACATCTCTATTATTTCACTATTTTCATTTCATCTATTCTTTTTAATACCAGTATATCATTAAGAATCAATAGCTCGATCTGAAGCTTTGAATATAACTACATGTACTATATACACTTTAGCTACATCTTTAAAAGGCCCTTTGGAAAATTTGCAGGTCAAGTAGTCATCAAACAGTTTTTATTTACACTATCAACATCAAGCAGAAGAATAGCCAATTTTTATATCCGAGTCAATTTAGAAAAAACATACATTTTATGTATTTATTTTTTTGCATATTTTCGTTTAATTTTACTGTACACTAACCACATGTACTTTCCTATCGTACACAATTCTTTTGAATCTATCAAATAAAAGTAAAGAAACACACAAACAATTATACACACTCTATTTTAATCTATTAGTTTATTTGCTCTTTGTGCTTTTTTAAAAACCTTAACACTCAAAAAGAGCATGGGTGGTGAATCGGCTCCTCCCAGCTGAGAGAGCACACAAATAACCTTGCATTTCTTAAGGTTAACTAAAGGTAGGTAGGTAGGAAGGAAAGGGGGGGGGGGGTGATGGGGTGATACATAAACATATGTGTACATCCATGCAACCATACAAAGTATGATGTGAGATGGATTAGGAATTTTACGATGAAATCATATTACACACACACAGACACAGCAGATAATTGCTTTTTGAATCATTAAATGAAGTGTTTGAGGTTAGCTTTTACACATGATGATAGACAATTAAGGTAACTAAAGTCAACTATAAAGTTAAGATGATATATGAGACTGATCTCAGGATTTGTGAGTACCCATGGACTATAGATGAATACAGACAACATAAATGCTTTGGGTTCCTACAACTGGACTTTGAATAAGTATTGCATGATTACTTGCACAATACATGTAGATTCCTTACCTTTCTTATTTTCCTTTTGTTTTTTGTATTGATCAAACAAACACATCACACACACACATACACATCACACACACACAGAGAATTAAAAATAGCTAATTTTAATAAGTTACAACCCTGGAATCAATGTATATTTACGCCTATGTGTAATTTCGAGAGTTTGAGTGCATGATGAATGTAAATAGTGTTAGCATGCTGCAAATCAATGTGCATGTTGACACCACAGACTCATTCCAAATAGGGAGCAGTCACATTTTTTTCTTACAGTTTCATGCATATACAGTGCATAAATGTGTATACAATTACTAAGTGACTACAGAAGAGTATAGGTGGTGCTACAATTAGACAAGTGTCACAACACAATTCAAGCACAGATGATCAACACAGATGATACACACGTCTTACCCTTGTCTGACGATCTTTACTCATCATCTGTGAAAACATGAACATAATATAAATCATATGATATTCTGATGACAAAAAAAACCCTGTGCTGAACAAATCAGAGTATTTTTTTTTCTTTTATGACATGATAGTCATTTTCTAGAATTCATTTCAACATCAGTAAGTTACATTGTACTTTAATTTCCTTGTTTAAAGGTTTGTGTATTTAAATAGAGTCCTTATTTGATAATAGCAAGCAAGTTGTGAGGAACATTTTTGTTGTTGTTGCTTTTTTTAATCAATACAAAGTCTGAGACAAAACAAAAATCATTGAAAAATACTTTAGGAACTGTTCAATTTAATAAAGAAAATTCCCCTTCGCTTATACAGTTATTAAAGACTGAATTTACTGAAAACAGTAAGAAAGAAAAAAAAAAGTAGCCTGTACTGTACGAACCGTTAATGGGTAATCTGGATCATTTGCAGAAGGGGGTCTTTTCTTGGCCTTTTCCTGCACATCCTCCCTGATCTGTTCTGCTTTCTGGTAGATCTTCTCCATCAACAGTCCCTGCATCTCGTTGGCTCTCCTGTGAGTCATTAGCTTGCTCTTGCTATAGTCCCTGGAGTTTCTGCTGGACAAGATACTTGCCGGAGTGTTGATGGGCGGCAGACGAGGCTTGCCATTGACCAGGTGTGAGCCCCCATTCTCTGTATGTGCACCATTATGGGTAGGACTCTTGGGACCAGGTCCTGGGCTTCTTTGGTTGGTCCTGGTTCCATTGTGAGTTGGGCTGTGACCATTTACTCGAGACATCTACATAAGTTATAAGTACAAAAAAATATAAAAAGATGAAAAACATCAGTAACAATCAGCAGTGGAATAGGTGCATCTTTAACAATAATTGCACAGTTTTCTGAAAAAATTGTAACATTCAGATCTACATGTAACTTACAATTATGTACAATACATCCCCTTTAGACACGTAGAACTTTACGCATCGAGCGCTGTACATTTAGATAGCGCGCTCCCATTGGCCGATCTGCTCGAGTGAATATTTTAAGTGAGAGAGGGCCTACTTAACTTAAACACAACTTACATGTAAGTGCAATGGAAATGCCAATACGTAATATTACATAACAGTACACTGACATGTCATGCTTTAAACAGGTGACGCGCTTCACACATAACTGACGCACACTCAGCATAGGTACACATATAAAATAGAAAAGTCAATGAACATGTCAGTACAACTTGCAAATTTGTACCTTAAGTATGACGAAAATTATAATTTTTCAAACATAAAAAAGTTACGTAAGACTTAAACTTGAGCAATGCAAAGCATGCATCCCTATGCAGTCTATGTGCATTGCGCGATATGCAAAATTTGTCAGTTTATATTACCAAATCAAGATTCAAATAACCTTTATTTCTTGTGATCTTGAAGATGATACTCAATAACATGAGGTGTCATATGAAAGAGCAAATTATCTCCATATTCCAAAGGGGCGTCATTTTGGAATTCTAAAAATATCTTGGTCAAACAGCGATTTAAATTAATGTTGTTTCCATCGAGCTCCAAAATTTGCCACTTTTTGGAAATGACGCCCCAACCGATAAGTAGTAAGGAATATATCCATGCGCTTATTTTTTCGCTAGCCCCAAGGGATCACAAGTCATTACAGTTTGAAAATACCCTTCCCCTCATTTTTCGGATCAGATAAGAAGCAAGGCGTGAGCTCTGCTCAGCAAAAACCTGTGTGTGTGTATTGTGTTTTACAGACATGTGTCAATCATATATGATTATTTGCGTCTGGGGACCGACCTAATTAAACGTCACCATCCGAAAGACCCATGGTGACATCCTTAGATAGGCAAATTCATGCAAAAAAATATATTCAAAAAATTGACTTGAAAACACATCACACAATTAGTCTGAACCGAGTCAGGAGCAAATTTGAAGAAATTATATTTTTAAATGTTGTAAAACCAAAGATATAAGAAGAAAACTGACCGAGTATCTGTACTAAAAATCGTACATGTAAAATTGGTCGTAGACATTCGACAGCTGAATATGACGCGCACGGTTGCATTACGTGCGTTCTCGAATCCAAAATCGTACCTCACACACACAATCTCGCCATACCGCGAATGGTCTGTCTTGGGGAGCTAGCCGGCTGAGAGTTTGCAGCGATACCAACGCAGCTTCGGAGCTCCGCAGCGCGCCATTTTAGCGGGACTCGGAAAGGTTTGCGATGGGAAGGCAGCGGCCTAGCTTTTTGCCCAAACAACGCTACATCGGCTGCTGGCAAAATGAAAATAACTACGATCGAGAACATCGTCAGTTTCTTAACTTTTCAGAGAGATGATTCTGAATTCTAATTGAGACTATATAATAAATTAAATCGACAAAGAAACCTCGGTAGAACTCTTATAACTATACAAAAGCTTGTTTATTTCTTCATTTGACATTTTGTTTTCGACCATTTTTTCGTGCGCGAGTCAATGTAAACTATGTATTACCAAACTTTCAACACGCAAGGAACGGGGAACACTCGCGGACCTCGTAACAAATTCGTTGCAAAAAAAAAATTTCAAGGGTGATTTTGAAGCAGTGAAGAACATTGGCGCTGCGATGCGCAGAAATATACTTGAAAGAAACTTAAAAAATAATACCTGAATTTTCAGAAAATCGTATTTGTATTAGTGTACCTACATGTAGATGTGACTTGTTTATAAATCAGATTTTATGAAGATTTGTCAGGAAAAAATGTCAATTTTTTCCGTTTGGTGGTCATTTCTAGGCTAATATTTTAAAATTTGCATCAGTAATGGGCCTGATGTTTCTCTTATCGTACTCGCATGTTATTTCTACATAGATTCAGGTGCAACACCAAACTCAGGCAAGACTCATTTAGCCACAGGGTCCTCAACGACTGGAACTCCCTCCCTGAGTTGGTAGTATCTGCAACCTCGGTAAACAGCTTTAAAGCCAGACTTGACAAACACTGGAAGAAGGAGCAATATCATTCACCCTTCTCCCAGTTGACACTCCAGTTATGACAATCCTGATATGACCCAGCAAGCAAGATACAGATGTAAAATGACTATGGTGCAAGACCCGGAAGCTGGGACATCCCCCCCCCCCCCCTTGAAGTTAGACCTGGAAGCTTGGCAGCTGGAGACGGCTTTGGTATTCAAGGTATATTCAAGGTATTAAACATAGGATGGTTAAGGGTAAGACCAGATAACATTATAAAAAAGATATATCCTTCCATATCCAAGTTTTGGGCTGATTATTGCCGACCCACCGCAGCAAGGCCATTCAGATTTTCGTACGCGCGCAAAGCGCCCTCTAGTGCCCCATGAATGTGCCTACCTTAGAAATCTGCAAATATTCATTCGGACACAATTTGCAGTTTGCAATAGCCAGCTCACCTCTGCAGAGCTCTGTCACTACTGGACTAGACCTACAACAACTTCAACCTCACTCTGCCACTTCCAGCCCGTTGACTCTCCAGTAATAAACCTGGACATCCATTGTGTTCAGCTCAGACACCCCCCCCCCCCCTCCATCATCACTCATCACATCATTCATACTCAACTCAAGTCAATATAGAGTCTAGATTATAGATCTAGGCCTAGCCCAAATTTTCTGTCTCTTTCATTCATTACATGTACATTAGCCTCCGATTTGGGTAGGGTCAGCTCCTCTCTAAAGAGAGGTGAGGAGCCGACCCTACCCAAATCAGAGGCTAATGAAAGAGACAGAAAATTTGGGAGCCCAAGACCTTCGAAATCCTAGACCTAGTATCATCATAGATCTACATTCAAATCAATTTCAATTAGAATTCTAGATCTAGACCATCTAATACTCTCTAAAATTTAGTGGGTAGTCTATGGACAGTGCAACTTGATTGATGCATGTCTACTTTTCGTCAAATTCGAAGGTAAAAGAGAAGTGTTCATCTTAGTTAAGTGTCCGCACACTCAACCATGCCCATGCTACACAAGTTAAGCAAGTACAAGTTTAGACCCATCGCAGCCCCGCGGGTCTCTTGGCCGGGTGCCTCGGCAGAGGTCTGGCCCGATCGACCTAGGGCTAGGTAGTGTCTAACGCCGTGGCTACCCCCTTGCCGCAGCGCAGACGCAGACTCGCAGTGCAGCGTCGCGTCGAGATGGTGTCGCTAATAAATTGACATTTAATTCAATGGTAATTCTACTCACTTTTATCACAGTATTCGATGTAGGTCAGATTACATCTTACACTGACACACAGGTGATATACTTAACAATATTATCAGATGTTTGTCATCTTTTAATGAATTTTCTATTGATTGATCTTGCAAAACAACAAATCCGAGGTTCGGCAGAGGCTTCCTCGGTTGTTAGGGTGAATTTCCGGAAATTCACGAAAAATACCGAATCGTATCTACAACGATTTTCATCTTGAATAATCGAATTTTCATAATTAATCAATTCGAATATAATCTGATATATTTTTCATAAATAAAAATATTATTGATAGATTGTAATTATTATCTAAAACTCTTTTTAGGAGAGTATTTCCTCATTATATTGACTCACAAAGTGGCGTCGCACAGCAACGTGACGTCATCAAAAACAACTGCACGTTTTTGTATGTGTGTGTTCGTGTGCGTGTACAGTGTGTGTTATGTGTATATTGTGTACGCTTTGCTACGATAGCGAATTCGTCGGGTGCAACTAGCTGCAATACACCGAATTAGTGTGCAGCGCAGGCCTAGAGTCTCGGCTAGGATCTTGTGTATAGTTTGTGTCTATCATTAGATCGAGGCTGGCCAGTGAAATTCAATGATCATGTTAACAACGGATATGGATGTCTTTCTTATTTCTAAACTTGAATGACACCTCTTCATACGTCTATCTGTGATTCATTCATTTAATTTGCCATTGGTAAGTAGATCTAGGCCTAGATAGTCTAATAACCTTTTATTTATTCTAACAAAATAAGATCAGATTCAGAATCAGAGCTCGATCGAGAGTCGTGAAGACGTGAGAGAAGTCGTTGATCAGTTGATGGGGAATGCTTAGCCTTTATAGACAGAAATAACCGTCTGATTTGGGTCATTTCTTTAATAAAACTGACATTTATAATCGGAGGTCTAGTGGAGCCAGATGTAGTCTCAGTGGAACAACCGACGATTAGAGAGACTGAAGTTTTCGGTCTAGACAGGGAATGCTCAGCTCGGCCTCGGCTGAACTTCAGCCTGAAGAACTGTTAGTGTTACTGTTAGGAGTCGATCCCGCAGGGCCAGGTCCGTCCTCGGCCTGGTCCTTTTGGCATTGTAGACTAGATCTATATTATATCAATATAAACATCTCGTTGAGTATGAAAAATCATAAGTCGTAAGTCAACCATCGAACCAAACCTCCCCGCTCTCATTTAAAAATGCAGTTACTAGACTATTATACTAAAGAACTTTTTTCCAAAATGTAATCGTCCACGTGCCCTCCACCACCTCCAGTCAAACTCTTCTTCGGAGTATTTAGGAGGAAAAGAATCCAAGATCCAAGTCTACACTGTATCTACACTGAGAACATTTAACTTTGGGAACTGCGATGCAGATGCTGAAAGCGTCGGAGCTCAGTCAAGTCTAAACCAAATTTTTATGTCTCTTTCGTTCGTTAGCCTCTGATTTGGGTAAGGTCGGCTCTGACCTTATCCAAATCAGAGGGAGGAGCCGACCTTACCCAAATTAGAGGCTAACAAACGAAAGCGACAGAAAAATTTGGTCTAAGTCAAGTCCAGCGAGCTCGTTCAGGAAAACGATTCAAAATCAAACAGCGGGTGTGGTCACATTTTTTTTAAATGTGAAGAGGTACACTGTACATGTATATTCTAGTAATTACAATTTTGACTTAGATCTAGGTCTAGGTCTACATTATGTTTTTCGACTCCTCTGGCAGTCTGCATGGGCATAGACTAGACTAGATCTAATTCCAAGTTTTCCAACCACTTGCAATTATAATTTGAAGAAGTCTTTGATGGAAAAAGGTGATTCTTCATTCTAGCCCGACAATTCATCCATGTTACAGTATGTATCCATTCATGTGATAGAGCACCATTCACTCAAAATTGCTGAATATGCATGAATCAAAGAGACAGAGCCCTTCTCAACCTCTTGCATATTCAGCAATTTTGAGCGAAGGGCCCTTTTGTCATGATTATTCATATTTGCTCCACCGCTACCACAAATGCGTACTTTCTCTTCGCCATGTTGACGATACAACATGGAAGAATCGTCGGGTTAGGACAAAAAATCACCCTTTCCATCAAAGACTTTTTCAAATTATAATTCCAAGTGGTTAGAATTATGCCGAGAGGTGTTGAAAAACATAATGTAAGTCAAAATTGTAATTACTAGACTCTACCTCTTCACATTTAAAAAAAATGTGACCCAACCCGCTGTTTGAATTGTTTTCCTGTACAAGCTCTGGACTTCTGGAGCTCCCTGGAGTTAAAGAATATTAAGCAAAGCAATCTTTTTCTTGATCTTGATCTGGTTTTCTATTTAGTAAAGAATGACAGAAAGGAAATATATGATATCTTTCTAATGTTAACAAGTTGTTACGATGTTAGGTCTAAATGTTAGATCTAATTTTCACATAATACTAAATGTATAAAAATGAAATTGAAAAATGAAAAAAAATAGTAGAATTTTAAAATATAATGATTACCTTCATTTAATCTGTCCAGTTTTTGTGAAGCTACTACACGCAATGAGACCAGCAAAATACTATGGCTGTACAGTATATAGGACATAACCTCCCCGTCATATGTCGTATGACGTGCTTCAGTCTCTGTCAGTGGAGCAAGACAAAATCTCCATGGAACAACTCTCACTTTTAGATACTGAAGCTGTTGGTCTAGTATGGGGTCTGTTTTTAGTGTTTACATTGTGTGTGTGGATGCATAACAACAAAATCAAGCCTTCACTTTTGCCTTTGCTTTGGAATTTTATTTTTAAATATGCGGGGAAGAAAAAAAAAACTTTTTTAATGATGCAGATTTTTTTTTCTCTTGATATATTGACTACAGAAAAAAAAAGTTCCAATATGTCTGAAGAACAAGCAAATGAACCTGCTCCAACAGAAGAAGTTGATGAATCCCAGCAAACAGAAGGACAAGAACAGGAAACCGGTCAAGAAGTATCAGAGCAATTGCCCACAACTACAACTCAAGAAGATGGCAAAGACACTCAAGAAAATGCTGTCGAATCTGAACAAGTCAGGGACGATCCAGGAGAGAAGCCAGAGGAGGTTCCTAGTGGTGATAATAAAGGAGAAAAGGTTCAGGGTGATGCTGGAGAGGCAGTTGGTACAGAAGAAGAGAAAACTGAAGAATTAGGAGATGATGCCCCAAATGTGGATACTCCAACTGAAGATGCTGATTCATCTGCTGCTGAAGGATATACAGCCGAGCAAGGAGGTCACGGAGGTCAAAATGGTCAGCAGGAAGGTCAAGAAGGTGCTCCAGATGAAGCAGAGCAAGATCAGCCTACTGACAGCGCAGAAGCAGTCGAAGATGATGAACAACCTGCCGAAGGCACTCAAGAAGAAGCAGGATCTGGCCAGCAGCAGACAGAGGAAGAGGTTGCTCGAGTCACGGGGGATATGGGCATGGCCACAGAGGAGACTGGAGACACCCATGAGACGGATCCACATGCTTCTTCGCCTCAACCAGATGCAGATATGATGGTCAATGCTACAGCAACAGGTAATAACAGTGTGTTCTCTTAAGGTTTAATATCTTTGATTTAATAGTGATCTTCTACTTTATTTGAATGAAACTTGAAAGAGAACTTGTTTCTACAAGTATGTTGTATAGTTGTATCAATTCATATTTTAGCTCTCCTCTCTGAAATCAGATTGGACATACACCACACCATTTTTATATGGAAATTTCATTTTATTGCGTATAAAATCTTTGGTACAGACTAATCTGTATATACCTGTAGAAGGTTTACTTATCATTTACTTCATGCTTTGTCTTGTTGTTTAGATAGAGGCACTGTGTAATATACTTGGGGGCTGCAGTGTTATGAAGTGTGTAAAATCCACCTCAAACAACTTTTTACCATAGATTTTAACCATTCTCTCTCTTTCTCTCTCTCTCTCTCTCTCTCTCTTTCTCAGTTTCTCTCGCTCACTTTCTCTCTCCTTTATAAATCGTATGACTTCTAGATGGAGATAATGGCAACAAAAATATTGACAATGTTTTCATTTCATTTTACAGTGAAATTTGTGCTGATGCCCAGTGGACAGGTTACAACCATGGCATGTGCTTTGGGACAAACCATGCACGAGTTGAAAGAGCATCTGGCTAGTGAATTGAGAATGCCAGCAGACAAGCTTGTCTTCATGTTTGATGGTGAGAATAATATCAATTTCAGTCTGATGAGAAAGTTCTCAGATCCATTTCTAAAGTTATAAGTGCCTATCTGTTATGTACTGTAAAGAGTTGTGATTGCTATCAACTCAGGGGGGTGTTTCACAAAGATCCTAAGTTAAACTTATCTCTAAGTTGGACTTAAAAATTATGGAAAGCCTTTAGCATCTATGAAAAAAGGCATAAAATGTTGATTCAAGTCAATCATATTTTCTATTATCAAGGAGATTTAAAGTTCTTGATGTGGAATTTATAAAAAATCTAAAATACTTGAATTTTCGCTTTTTAATATATTTTATTTTAAGGCTACAAATGGCTCTACATAATTTTTAAGTCCAACTTAGAGCTAAGTTTGACTTAGGATCTTTGTGAAATACCCCCCTGGTTTCTTGCTATTGTCTCGGATAAGCCACAACTCTTTTATGCAGATGGTGCCCTTGCCCATGTCTGATAAGGTCAGAGTTAAAGCTGTATGCTTACAAATTACAAAGCTAAACTTTTTCATGTGATTGCTTGTCAATTCCTTAACACCCAACCCCTATGCAAATCTGATTTATTCTCCCCAGGTGCTGATGTAGGTGCAGACATGACCTTGGCTTCCATCGGTGTAGGACCCAACGGAGCTGTGCAGCTAGAGATCTCTTCGTCAGATCCTGTCAATGTCCCGTTGAGGGCGCCCAAACCTAAGCCTGAATATAACATGCCTGACATCATCACCACAAGAATAGAAAGAGGTTCGTAAATGTTTATTTTGAAATAGTTCCTACCATTTCTTCACAAGTAATCTTCATTTTGATGATTAATGTTCCATTGGCTGATAATTAATGGGTAGATATCTTGTTTGCTTCAAATAATTGACCATCATTATCATCAATCTTCTTTTTTTAAAAGGAGCTGTGATATTTTGCAATGATATATGGTTACTTCACTTAAGTGTTACTTAATTAATCTAATGGAAGCGACAAAGAACTTAAGTCATATTTTTATCTTAATCTTTCCATATTCATTTCTCACAGAGGATGGGACTGTTGATGACGTAGTAGTAGAGATCGAGCGCACCACCAGGCGCAAACCCTTCATGGGTGGGTTCCGTCACCGGCTTACAGGAGTGGAGTTTCACAACGCATCGGCACAAACCAAAGGAAGAGTGCGTACAGACGATGGAATAACGAGGTTCTGTCGAGACACCCAGACCGTATCGGCGAAGAACAGAATCCAGCAGACCACACTGGATACCTCTACACAGATGACAACCATCGGATGCTACATGTCCAACATGACTGACAAACTTGTAGTACCGGGCAGATATGAGACTGCAGATGAATACCACAGTAAACGACTGGAAAAGGTACAGTTTTGTTTTAGTGTACATATGTGAAGTGACTTATTGGGGTCTAATGGAATGGCTTTTCTTGAGGAAATATGAAAATCATGAAATCATGTATCTAGAGTCAATATACGGTATGTTAAAAGATTTAAAGAGCTGTCATGTTCAGGCTTCAATATGGTATTGACATTTTTATTTTTTCTAGACTTTTATTAGTGTATGTGTATAATTAAGTTATACATTTTCTGTACATAAATAATCTCTAGACATGCTTATTGGAAGTCTCTTTCTTATATTGCTAAGCTAATCTGGTTTGTTGGTTCTTTCATTCAGGTCATCATCTTGCAGTCGTACTTCCGTCGATGGCAGGCCAACAATACCGTGGTGCAGCTCAAGGAGGACATGGTCAAGAGGCGCGAGTGGGAGCGCCGGGAGGAGATGCGTAAGATCAAGGAGAAAGAAGAGCGCATCAGGCAAGAGTTTGAGCGACGCATGAATCCACGTACAAAGGAGGACTTTGATCTCCTTTACCATGCTTTAGAAAGTGAGTGCGGGTGATTGTTTCTTCAAACATTGAAATTCGATCATGATAATTTGAAATGCTTATTTCCTTGACAATTTTGTTGTCATCCCATCATGATAAACGGTTGACTTTTCTATATTCATGGAAAGATATTACATATCTTTTCAGTAATGATTTTAGATCAGATTTTGGTGACTACATGATGCATCCTACTTGTATATTGCATTTTTGTAGGAATGTGCCTGCAGTGACATGCTTATTTTATATTCATTGCATAACCAGCCTTAAAACTGCTTTGTAGTTCCCTTCATGTGGTTCCCCACACATTTTTGAAAAAGACCAAGATAAAAAAATATAAAATATGAACATGTCATGAACTTATAATCATTTCACATGAAGATTGATTACTGACAATACAAAGAATTAATTGATCCCTCGCCATTTGATCTCAAATCACAAGAGCCAAATAGCGTTGGATAGCCCATGAACAGCAATTCTCTAACACCAACCTTGCTACCCTTCTTCTTTATCTAATTAGAATGGAGGCAGGAAGAACTGTCACAAATTGACGAAACAACGGGGGGTGCACAACGGAAAGCTGCCCTCTGTCACTTGTTGGATCAAGAGACCCAGCTGATTGCAGCTATAGGTAGACACAAGCTGGAAGCAGACACTGAGAACAAGCAGAGGTCTATCCAGAACTTTCTTGATAAGGTACGATTGCAACAGTCAACTCGCATAAATTGTGAAATGTACAGATCATGGAAGAAGTTATCCGTAGTAAAAGCGCTCTGCAATACGAGCTCTTCAAAAGTTGTCAGTCCCTTAATGGTTAAAATGAATCTCAAATCTGTACAGCTCTGGAAGCTTGAAGATGTTTTACATATATGATTAGGACTATAGTGCTCTGGTTATACATATAGAACCATAGGATCCTTGGTTTCAGACCAAGTCAGTTGGCAAGACATCAAACCCTTGGAAATTACTTACAACCTGAGGTATAAATCGCAACTTATATCAACGCATATACCTGCTTTATCACTATCCCTGGTCAATACTAAAAATAACAAATTAATGAACTGAAGTCTGATACTGAATGGCATTTGATTTGATTTCTGCATTTTCCCAAATATGATATAACTAAATAACAAAGAACATATAAATGTAAGGTAACATACAACATATACAAACAATAATCACTTCATGTCAAAATTATTTTGTTGTTTACATATGTACATATAATAATGAAACTTAATATTTCCATAACATCGAGCATTTGGCGCTGTCACGGAGTACCCATCACCAATGTCCTTTCTCATTGACAGGCTGCTGCTCCAAGGCGATGGAAGGCATTCGATGGGAAGTACACCGAGATGGATACAGCCTATACAATCCGAGCCAGGGAACTCAAAGATATCTACAACAGTCTCAATATGAAGTACCTGACCCAGGACGAGAGGCTAGATGTCTTACTCACCCTCAAACACACAGTCAAGGTAAGAACCTTAAAGCCCCACTGTACCACTGTACTACTGTACAGCTACTTGCGCCCTCTCTATAGCAAACAATGCCTTAGCGGTGACTGTTTGTCCCCCATGATCCCCTTTTTCTTATGTTAATTGAGAGCTGATTTGATGAGATAACCACCTGTCAGTGACCTTGCAGGGAGGCCTAAACCCTCCTGGCCAAACTATTGCAGATGGGCTTTAAAGAGAAGTATTGTTGTTATCATCATCATAATTATTATCATCTCGGACGTGAGTATCTTTGATTGTACCCAGGCATAATGGGTTGTAGGAAGAATACATTTCTGAAGATATAGATAAAGGTTTAAAAAGGCAGTAGAAAATTCACAATTTATGAATTTCTCTGAATTTATTTCTCTTACTGTATTGCTGCCACTCCATATTGACTTTGTACGAAGGTTTATTTCTCTGTTAACGTTAAAATATCACCCCAGTTTCAATCCACACACACTGTTCAGCTTCTATCTTCATGAAAAACTGTTTTTCTGTCCATATTTGTTAGGAGCATGACTGTAAGCTGACGCAGGAGATCATCCAGCTGATTGATCGCGAGGCTGATCTCTTGATGAGAGGCGTGAGGGAGTCCAACCTCGAAGGACTGCGTAAGAGAATTGCCACTCTCTTCCTGCAGTACGTCAAGACACCCACCTTCAATGCAGAGGCAGCTAGATTACTCAAGGTAGGCATGGTGCAAAGTATTTTTAATTTTGATAAAAATATGATAAAAAAAGAAGTCATTTGCATTGATCCATTCAGAATCAAACTCCACATTTATTGTTGGACTGATTAACTAGAGCCCCAAATCATAGCATGAGCAGAAAGTGCTTAAATCTCTGCGCACTCTGCGCTATTGCATGCTGTTTTTTCACCAGGGGAGTGTTTCAAAAAGCTGTTCGTAAAGTTACGCATGACTTTACGAACGACTTGAATATGAAGTGCCAGATAGGATGCCCAAAGTTTTTCTTGATGTTTTCACACAGTGTGACTATATTTCCAATAACCTCAATTAAATTATGGCAAAAAATATACTTTGTATTAAAAATGTTTGTTATAAAAAGAATGTTAATCTACATCTGCACAGTTCAACTTTAGTTGATGCAGTTAAAAAATGATTGAGCATCCCATTTGGCTTTTCATATATAAGTCATGCGTAACTTTACGAACAGCTTTATGAAACACCCCCAAGGCCTGTGTCTTATAAGGACTTGCGATCGATCCAAATCAATTGCAAGTTTGCAGTCTCCTATCTCTCATTTAAATAATTGTGATTGATATCAATTGTAAATAAGTTGCAATTATATCAACTCTAAATATAAGACTTGGCCCTGGACTTTTTTAAAGGAAAGACTTGAAATCTCTACATTGGCATCATTTTGAACAGTTTTTACTTGTTCTCTCCTCCTCCTTCAGGTACCACAGGACCCATCCACGCTGCGCAAGAACATCTACTTCTGCCCGAGCTGCAGCAGCTACCTGCCGTCCACTGAGTTCCAGCTGGCCTCCAACTCCTCCGGCGTTGGGCGGTGCAGACGCTGTACCAAGCTGGACAACGATGCCAGGACCAGGCAGGACTACAGTCACTTCCGCTTCATGCTCAAGGGACTGCGCAAGTCAGAGGAGGCCATGGGAGACGGCTCAAGGATTGCTTTCCTATTGCAGGTGGGTTAGAAATCCATGTTACTCCTACAAGGATCAGGGGGGGGGGGGTGTTTCACAAAACTTGTCATCAGTGACAAATGACAGTTTTTGTTATAAGCTACTGAAATCCTTGCTTCTGATTGGTTATCAGCAGATTTGTCACTGATTTTTGTCATTTGTCATTGAAAAAAGGTCTTGTGAAACGGGCCTCAGATTATCATTCAGTTGCAATTGCTGGTTCGATGGCTTCTCTAAAAGAGCTGTTCTAAGATTTGCTACTGATTCTTAAAGAGATTCAAAAGAGGTGGTTATATGTTTATGTATTACAAAAGGAGAAGTTGAGTAGAGGTTCCTCTTTGTAATTTGTTGTTGGGAAAGTTTTTCTTTGGTCCTTCAAAAAAAAAAAATGATTACTACATAATTCCTTTACGGCGGCTTAAACATGAATCAGAATGATTACTGCGATTCATAATGTCGTCTTAAAATTTATATTATCTATCCACATTTACATTAATTGATTTTTACAAGTAAGAGATTTATAACATTACAAATATTCAAAGAAATTTGGGAATGCATGAAAACATAAGCAGAATCTGTTTTAATTTACCTAGCGCTTTGTAAAAAAAAGGCATAGGATTAGTTGAAAGGTCATCATTTTGATTTTATTCACCGAAAGTCAGAAATCATGCACAATTTCGAAGTCAAGACATCAGTTTTTAAAATGCCTTTGCAATTTAATTATTAGTTTGTAGCCTAATGAATATGGTCTTTCGTTGTTTCTTCCCCTGTGTAGGAGGCTGACCTGCGCTATTTGGTGGTTGATATCTGGAACACCCAGAGTGCCCTCAGCTCCTGGGAGGATCTCTATGATCTGGTATTGGTCCGTTGGGATAAGGATGAGGAATGGTCTCCGTGGAATTGCATCCTCCTCACCAAGGATGAGGCCAAAGCTCATTCACAGATTGATGACCTGGATAAGGTAAGTGCCAGTCTTCATGAATTATATACAGAGCTGGTTGGTTGGTTGGTTGGTTTTATTTTCCGTATAAAAATTCAAATACATACAAGAATACAATTTACAAAAATAATACAAATCAAGAATTAAAAATGGCTGGAATGCTCTATACAGAGCCCTTATCAAAATGGCTCTGTTCTTCCTAGACGTCCAAAGCTAATATATAACTTATGGTATAATGGTACAGTCAAACCTGTCTATAGCGACCGCCCAAGGGAAACACAAAAAGTGGTCTTTGTAGACAGGTTCCTTTAGTACATGTTCAATGAGAACCATTTTCAAGGGAAACAAAAAATGTGCTTGTTGTAGACAGGTGGTCTTTGTAGACAGGTGGTCACTAAAGCAGGTTTGACTGTATTCCACTGTGTAGGTTTTGTGAATATTTTTTTTTTTTTTTTTACATACATTTTCTATAATAGTAGGCCAAAATGATCAGTATTCTCTTTAAAATATTGCTCAATTATCAGTAAATTATAGCATTGATATAGGATGTGTTGGTAAAGATAGCGAGTGTAGCTTTGGGTTTAGGCAATTTTATTATGCATTATGACTATTGGAGTAATTACTTTATGCAATGAGGCTTCAGAAAAATAGCCACAGGGGGACTTATAGGTTTTGACCTTACATTATAATTTTTGAGATATACACGTACATAATCATGATTATAGCAGTAGAATATAATAACTTATTCTTTGTTTCTCCATTCATGTTTGATTCAGGCCTATGGACGTGTCTTCTGCCACAAGATCAAGACCAAGCACACTCGGGCTCGTAACTACTTCTCCCGTTTGCCCGGCATGGCTGAGGTAATGCATGAAACAGCAGCCAAGAAGAGCCACCAGGAGAAGAGCATATCGAATAGACCTGCGCTTACGCTCCAAGCATAGTCTCAACTTGATTGCTTGGGTGCATCTAAGGCCTAAAAAAGAAGATGTTGTATTGCCTTTTGCGACCGACCCCAAAATATTGAAATCTAGGGTCGGCTTTTTTAATTTTTAATTTTTTTTTTTTACTGTTTTTTAGAGAAAAAAATGTGGAATGAATTTTAAAATATATGCACAAAAATGAGAAATATCAGCCAAAAGAGGGAGAAAAAAAAGCAAGAAAAAAGATTTCTGAATGACCAACCCATGTTTTGGCACCTAAAGGGCAATACAAGATTATTCTTTTTTAGGCCTAATAGAACACCATGCCTAATCTCCGAAATAGAATATGAATACACCTACCATTACACTCAAAGCTTAGTCCCATCTTTAATGGTTTAGCTCATTGAAGAGAATGTTGTACTAAATCTTTGCTATGGAATGAACAGTCCTGCACTTACTCTCAAGGCCTCGTCACACCTAATGTCTTGTCTTGTGTAATAATCAAAACAGGGAATGAAAAGGCCTGCATTTACACTCAAAATTAAGTCACTGGGCTCATTTCAAAAAGCCCATATTCAATCTTTGTCTTAGAATAACTATGCTTTCACAAATTAAACTCCATCCCCTGTCGATGCCTTGGTTCATTTAAAGAATGCCACACTATATTTCCATTTTAGAACTTTAGTGGATTCGAGCCACTGAAACCATTCTACTAAACAAGCAAGCCACAATAGGGCACTTATGAAAGCGTGATGAGTTTAAGTTTGCAGAGAAGAAAAAGTTTCTAGGGATACATCATTAGGGAAAGGAGTCTCTTCAAACCATCTGTATTTATAAAGTAGAATTATATGTATTTATAAAGAAGCACCACTGTATAAACGCAATCAGTGTTTTTATTTACCTGTGAGTCATATACATGAAGTCTAGTATCCTTGCTTCCAAGGGTCAAGATATTCATGTGTTTTGTTGAGAACAAGAATAAATTATGCAAACTGGGGACGGTTAATGCATGTGATCATAACTTTTCAAAGGAAATCATATTTTTATAATTATGATGAATTGATTATTTTCATGACAACACAACCGCTAGGGCTCTGGGATCCTGTTTTTCACGGCGTTATCGCATTTGGTAAGGCTCTGTAAGTCACAATTTTGTAGCACGAGGGCTTGTTGATGACTTGCTACTACGGTAAATGCATGTTGCACTTACCTTCTGACAACCTCCTAGAGCGTACCTTTCGCTATGACCCAGTTGGCCAACAGCCCCAAAACCTGAAAGCCCTAGAGAGCAATAGCCCATGTGACCATTCGCCTGCAAGGCCGACGCATCGGTCTCATGGACCTTTCAACAAATTTGTTTAGGGTTTATGAGACCAGAATTTCAGTCTTACCGTCCCGTAGGTTGTTGGTCTCTTGAGCAATCTCTCAGTGAGATGTCACTGATAGTTTTCTTGTACTTGTCTTTTGCTCTCCAAATATCTAGGAATAAAAATTCCATGTTTTTCAATTATATTTCATGCTATTTCTAAATGTCAACACATCTTATCTTTCACTGAAACCAAAAGTGGAAAACAAACTACAGGGTTGAAAAGGAGTAAATATATTTTGGGTGGTTATTTTCTTATCAATGCATTAATTTTATGGTCTTGTTCCACCAGTCCAAAGATTGTTCAGCCATATCCGTCCACAAACGAGCACACTGTACTACATGTATATAACATTTATCTAGTTTGTTTACATATATATATATATTATTCAAATTGTACAATATTAGATGTATATACACTTTTTGTTTTATAAGGTAGATAACTTAATGAATTTGAATGAGTGATTGCTTCAACGCTAACTTCACTGTGCATAAAATGGATAAGCTCACAACACTGTATAATCCGACGACAGCCTCATGAAGAACATGCACTTACAGTTAGATTACAGATTACAGAGTGCAAAATGCATCTGAGGTTTTGAATAGTCGTAAGAAAACAGAATCAGGGGAAATTGTAAGATCAAATAAGCTGTAAGTTTGTGACACTGTGAACAATTTTGGGGGAAGAAGATTGCCAATTTCATAACATTGGCATTTTTCTTTAAATCTTAGTTGGATTATACAGTGTGTGATGGGCATCAACAATTGGAACGACTGCCTGTACATATCGAGATATAATGTATGTTTGTCATGTATATTTGATTATTAAATGATAGCTGAAGTCCTGAATATATTTGACTTGTGTTGATTGTTTTCTTGTCCTCTGGAAAATTGTATTCAAATTATTACCTGAATAATAATAATAATGGTGGGTTTTTGTATAGCGCTCATGTGTGTCAAACTTGACACTCCTGGCGCTCCACAACTCATGAAGATTCATGATTTTTATTATATAATGGTCTCTTTTTTTTGGGGGGGGGGGGGGAGGGGTGTAATGTAGAAATGTTTGTTTGGAAACTTCTTGCATGATAAAAGCAATAGAGTACAAACATTTTTTTTTAGAGAAAGAGAAAGAGAGGGGGTGGTGTTTATTTTATATAACGGTTGTTGTGAGCCAGAAGGGCGTTGACTTATATTGAAACACAGATTTATTAAGAAGAAGAAAACAAAAAAGGAGAACGAATGAAAAGAAGAAAAAGAGGGGAGGAGGAGAAAAGGTTAGGAAGATGAAGAACGTTTTAGACCAGCTTGAGCAGTGCTGTTTTAATCACCTTAGAATACCTTATAATCTCTCACTGAGGTGTCTTTCACTTAAGCTTCCATGAATTTAAAATTGCTATTCTGTCCTCCAACAGACTTTATCAATCTCGAGATCAATATAGGAATTACTAGTAACAAATTCGTTAGAATATATCGAGATTCAGTTTATTTGTTTTGTTTTTAATGATAAAAGTATTATATAAGTTTATTTCCAATGAAGTTTTCTGCCAGAGAGATAGTTAGTACTCTCTTTACAGAATCCTCCAAACATACTTTATATATATCATAGCCACATCGCCCTCCCTGATGAAAAAAAAACAATAGTACAAAAATAAATACTAAGGTCACAATATGCCACGAATAGAGTCTCGGAGTTCCTGTTTTCACTATTGGGTGCAAAGTCCACTAAATGTTTTGTGCTTATTCTCATGGTTGCCAATAAATGTACAAAAATGAATTGCGAAACTTGTGAATCATAGAAGTATCATAAATGTTAACGTTTTTCGCTCTACTAGTATTGTTCAATAGACCAGGCGAATAAAAGATCATGTACTTTGAACATTCGTTTAATTGCCATAATGTCAGTGGCATATATAGTGTCGTATATAGTGGCGTACACCCAGGGCGCAGTGGCGTAATGAGCAAAAACTGTTTTGAGGGGCAGAAAAGAAAAAAAAGTACAATTTACAAAAAAGTGAGAAAACTCCCCAAAATGAATCATGTCATTTCAGCAACATTTGTAAATCACTGGTATTAAATTAAAAATAAACCACGTTTTAATTGTATTAGGGGGCTACTGCCCCCCCCCCCCCCAGCGCCCCTCCAGTATGTCAGTACTGGTGTCGTATAAAAGAAGTGGAGGGGACGGCACTCCCCCGGACGGACAAGGGGAAGGGTAGCAGCGGAAAATACCTTGGATGACCCTGGTCCAGCTTTTTTCTTTCACCTTGGGCATTCGAACGGGGGAGGGGGGGGGGGGGTGACTTCACATTAGCGCTGGATATATATACCACTACTTAAAAAAAAAAAAACGCTACTAACTACATGTAGTCTTTTCTTTATCGATCTGACCTTTTTTAGTAATCTATATATTTTTTTTTCAAGTCAATATATTTACATGTTACAAAAATTATGTTTGTCATTATTTTGAGGGATCCACATTTTACAAGCTCTGCTTTTCGATGGATCCCTCCATTTCCACAGGTTTATCTTAAAGGTACTATGTCCCTTTTGCAGCCAACCTCAAATTCTGTAGAACTTTGCAGGAATTATGAATATGTCATGTATGTCCTATCTGTGAAATTTAAACGTTAGCAGTGTCCTCATATTCAAATTATGCAAGGAAACCCGTTTACTTGCTAGACTTCACTGTCAGACACTATTGAGTGACTGACTGGCTTTTTCCCTTCTTTGGTAATAACATACATGAAAAGAGTTTTAAAGGGTACAGGAGCATTTGTCTACGTCAATAACCCACTTCTTGTGATGGCCAAGATTAAACTGATTGAATCTTTGCGCAGCATAAAACGTATGACCATTCGGTACAATTGTCTGAAAATCAAGACTATTACTTTTGGGCTCTATAGCCCTAAAGTCGATTTGACAACTAATAGTCGTTATTTTCCCACTTGAAGACATTTTCAAGCCCCACCTTTTTTAGGGAAGTTCTAAATTAGTATTATCTTTCAAATGCAGTTGAAATTGAACTTTTTCATTTTTTTGGCCTGCAAATGGGACATAGTACCTTTATTCCTTTAACAAACTTTAAAAAACTATTATCCTAGATATTTATGTGTATTTTCTATCTCATAACTTTAAACCATGTAAAATGTACTATATTATTGAATGTTGAATTGTATATCTGATTTCTTGTCAAAATTACTGATCTGTTGGAAATGAAGAATAAAACGGAAACTGAAACTGAATGTTGGACATAAACCAAAGTGAAAATAGAGTTCACAACTCTGTATTTTTAAACAAATATTGGTGTCATTCATAACAAGATTGTTTTAACCCATTGCCCACTGGAACCGGATGGTCTCCGTATTAATCATATGGGATTTAGAGAATTCAGTAGTTAACGGGTGAATAGAATGTTTGTTGTTGTTGTTTTAGTCTTAAAGGTAAAGACCAGTTATGGTCATGCGATTGCATTGTGAAAGAAACGTTGTGGAATCGATCAGAAAAGGTTGATCATCTAGCATCTAGCATCTGCAAGGTTCTGGAATCATCAAAATGATAAGAAATTTGGCACATTCTTCGTAAAGTTACAAGCACTATACACAGAAACATGTATATGGGACTACCCTATATCTCTCACAGACCATGAGAGAAACAAATTTACCAAATATATAAATTAGTAGGCGGTTTCCCGGCAAATTTTTTATCATCATGTATTAGTCAAAACATATTCTTTCATATGATTGGTAATGAGAGCTTCCATTTCATTTTTTGAAATTGGGGCATTTCCAATACTGGCCTTTACCTTTAAAGGCGTGTGTCATTCAATTGTGAATATAATCAGTCTGGGTAGTCTTGTGACAGGATATGCCGTTGTGTGGCAACTGGCTTCTGTATCCTTTCATTGCAATAAACAATGTACACATAACCATGTGATTGTTGGTTTGCTGGTATATAATTATGAACACTTGAACATTTCGTTATGATGGATATACCATGTTGAAGCAGATTTCTTGAGTACGGAGCTGCACTACCCTCTAAGGAATATTGATTATGGAAATGGCAAAGTTACGAAAAGATTATCAGCATATCGTGGAAGCACCTGTAAGTTCACGAGTCTGTTTCTAAAGTTGTATCAGTTTTGCATTTCATGGGACCATAAGATACTACATAGCATATTAGTTCACAACGTATTGCTTATATATTATCATTATACTCGTGAGACCATAATAGTGGAGAGAGCAGCAGTGGCGGATCCGGGGTGGGGGGCACGGGAGGCCCGGCCCCCACCCCTGGCAAAAAAAGGCTTAAAACAAGATGGTAACAACAATTTTACCTTTTTATTTTTTGCTCAAGGAGGGGGGGGGGGATGTTGAGTAAACAAAATAGTGCTCACTACCCCCCCCCCCCCCCCGTTGAGCGAAAATAAATATGTAGATAAAGTTAGTGCTCATTACCTCCCCCCCCCCCCCCCTTGTCGCTAAATATTTTCTCACCCCTGGAGGATAGATAGATTGCCCATATAATTCTTTTTTTCTTATCCCTATTTTCTTACTTTTTATCTATTCATTTTTTCTCTAGTAGACGGTGGGGAGAGGGGCACAAAATATGCTCCGTAGCTAGGTAACTGCATGCGTGTGTATGTTTAAAACGTTTTCATGTTTATAAACACATTTGTCATTATCTAAGGTTTACCGCCGTGTAGCCGTCACAGTGTGTACCTCGGCTCCAGAATCTAACGTCCGCGGTTTCATAGAAGAGCTGTCACGTGAGCTAGATGAACTTGTGAAGGAGGTCAGATATCAACAGCTTTCTTACAACGAAGTCGAGAAATTCATCTTCAGAGACAAAGACATCGACGTCATGCTACTCTGCCATTCCATTAAAAACAGAAGGTTTGCTATCACGGACGTCATGGATGCACTCTACACCGGGTTTCTTCCTAGAGCTACAAGGGAGATAGGTGGGACTTCAATAATTATTCTTCGAACATCCGGGGGGGGGGGGGGGTGCGTAGATAGGCCCATGAAATCACGCGCCCCGGCCACTAATTTTAAAAACTTTTAATGTAAAATGTTTTAATGTAAAATGTTTTAGAACTATATAGTCACAATATTTTATTTAAACATATTTGTGGCTTACACCAGGCGCGTACGTAGGATTTTTTTCAAGGGGGGGGGGGGGTTAACATTTATAAATCGGGCCGAAAATTTCGCAACGACTCAGCCAGCCGCTGAATAAGCGGGGGGGGGGGGGTAAGAGGACACTTTTTGGGGGGGAGGGGGTCCCAAAAAATTTCGCAACGACTCAGCCGACCGCTGAATAAGCGGGGGGGGGGGGTAAGAGGACATAAAAATACCAAAGGGGGGGTTAACCCCCCCCCCCCCCTGTGTACGCGCCTGGCTTACACCCAGTAAATAAGATCGATTGGTTCTCTCAGGAAGCATTACAGTTATAAAAAGAATATATATTTTATTTGTTCTGAAAAGAAAATTGGCCTATGATGGTAACTTTTGGGGGCTTGATGTATACCCCCTCCCCCTTCTCTCCGGGAGTTTACATTTTCCTTGAACCGTCACCGACCATAAGAAGCACTATTCATGAACACTACCTGTATTCTGTTGCCAAATATGCAAGAATCCGGTAACCCACTGGAACAACACCTTTAATTATTTGTTGTTTAAGATCAAATCAAATCTGAGTGTTTTGTTTAAGGGTCCACTAACGCCCCCTCTCCTTTTCCCTCTTTCTCTGTCTCTCTCTCTTTCTCTGTCTCTCTTCTCCTCCCTCTCTGTCTTACTGTCCCTCTTGCCAATTCTTCTGTAATATTCCAGGGAAAGCAAAAGTCGGGGTGATTGTACATGACATGTCGATGGAGAACATCCTCGATGATAGAAAATACGAAGAAAAGATGGAATCTTTCCGTCGTCAACAGCCAACCACTTTCAAGAATGCCGCTATGGTTTTCATCAGCGGACAGCTAGCCGATTCTCCTCCCCAACTTGGGCCAGGCAACTGGACTGAGCTTAGAACTTTTATCGCAAAGGCATCAAGATTATCCGAAGCACCTCCACACAAAGCTCTTCGGGAGGTGCTTTTACCAGCGTTTCTCATTTTTGCGATTATAGTTGCATTAATTGTCGGGTTGAGCGTTGGACTAACCTGAATGCAATGTTGAAAGCTGATGAGAGATTTAAGTATTGCATAAATATAAATATCTATTTTGTTCTGATCGATGAAACCTCTTGAAATTCATGCTTTTACCTAGCAATTCATTTCATGACCCGGACTCTAAGAGGACGAATGTTTAAATTTAATTGGCACTGATGATACGTAAGACTTTGTGAGTTTGGAGGGGGATGGCATCAAATAATTTGTATAGTTTGATTGTATATTGACCTTGTTCTTCTTTTGCCCCTCCCCCTCCTCTCCTCCTCTCTCCTTCTCCCCCCCCCCCCTCTCTCTCTCTCTCGTTCTCTCTCTCTCTCTCTCTCTCTCTCTCTCTCTCTCGCTTTCTTTAACCTACATGCCTATGTATTTATTTCTTGTTATTTTTGTTTCGCATTTCTCAAGCATCGCTATTGTACTACTCGAGGTCCAGTGTACACTGAGTTTCATACTGTGCAAGTTCGCTTGGTGACCGATTTGAAATCTGACAAGGTTACTGAATAGATATGCTGATCAATCATACCACAAGCATTCTGGATTTATCCATGCTCATATTCAGGGAAACTCCTTCTGCCAAACATAAGTAATGTCATTAACAACGAAAGTGATACAGCATAATTGTATGGTTTCATAATTTCCTTATTTGACATAAAAATGACAGTGATTCACTGGTGGAAGTCGAAAGTATATGACAGTTCTGAAAATTAATAGCACATGGCCAACAAGACTAGAAAACCTTATCTTTCCTTTTCTAAACCAAGAGTTACTGATGTATACACCGACATCCCAAACCTATTCTTTACCATTTGAACAAGTTTGTAATAGATAAAAACAAAACAATCCAATTCAAGAAGAATTCTATGAATGAAAGTCAATGTAGAGGTCCGTTTTTGTGTTAGCATATCTTCATGGTGCTCCAGTAAAAGAGGGCTAGGCCTACTCCTATTTTGGACCATGGCTTATCTATCATGAATGATTGGGGGAGATGGGGGGGGGGGGAGGGGTAATGAAACTTTGCACAAAGTTTAATAATTGAAGGAAGGTATGGGTGTGGTGGCAGCTGCCATCATCGCTCCGGGAAAATACGCCCCTGAATTGCAGTCCAATATACACATAATATATTCATTTTTTGTGCAAACTTCCTGACTAAGGAACGAGTTGCGTTTCGAAAATTCGGACATTGAAGATTTATTTATCAATAAAGTGTCAATAATGCAATACAAAATCGTCTGTCATCTGTTTCACAATATTGTATTTGATGTGGCGCATTTTCCTACTTGTAATCCAAAGGTACACATAATGAGTCTATATAAAACATAATAATTCTTATTCTCTATATATACAATACATGGACTGAGTCTCTCAAAAAGTTTGGTGAAACTGATCCGTAGGATCACTACTGCCATATAGAGGCATAATGATGGTGTTCTGAACAATAGCACAATAACAGTCTGTAATTAAGAATATAATGTATCATCTCCTAAATCAGAATGTAGCAGTAAGTCTTATGACTGAAAGTCGACCCATCTCCTCTATCTTGTTTCATGATTCTGTATAGGTTTGTTTTCTTTTCATTTATTTGTACTTCTTTTCCTTCTGTATTGTCGGTTTTCTCATGATTTTAAATTCTTTTGATGATGATGATAATAATAATGATCGATGATTGTTTTACCTGATGGCTAAGACACTAAGACAGCATATATATGCCTCTAAGTAAACAACCAGGAGACCGACGGCTTTAAGTCCTCCCCGAGGATAACGGTAACGACACCACTGCTCCACCACTGAGCCACCGCGCCTCCTCTATTGATTATTCCGTAGAAGTTTCCATCGATTCCATAATGTAAATATGCATTACTGAATGGCTTGTGCAATTTTATCCTTTACTTTATCACCATGCCGCAAGTGGAAACAATATAATTATAATGTACAGAGTAACTGTATGCCTACTTATTATTATGTTTAGCATATGTTATTGTAAAACTATAGTATTTGACAGAAATATATAAATAAATCAATGATCAATGACGATTTGCGTTTTGTGTTTAGTTATTGTATATTTCATATCAATTTGGAATTGAAAGCATATCGACCCGAGTTCAATGTAATTCTTAAATATTATCATAACATTTTAGACAGATAAACATACCCATTCTTTTTAAAATGTGAATGTAAAAGCACACACCTTTAGTCGACACACAATGCCATGTACTCCCCTGTCAGACTACTTGAATCGATACTTAAAACAACACATTATTGTATTAAACATGTAGGTTACTATTTGTAGTTCCACCCCTCAATGTTTCTCTTCATCCCACCCCACATTCATTAGACATATTGAGCACCTCCTCTCTCACTTTCTACCCTCACAGACCACGTCTTTTTCTCACATTTAAAAAATGTGCCTGAGACAGCTACCATCATAGTCTGTTGTTCCATTCAATTCAATTTGCTTTTACTTGGTAAGACTCTCCCCGCCGCCTTCTTTTCCCCTCTCCCCTCCCCTCTCTCTCTTTCTCTCCCTGTCTCTCTCTCTCTCTCTATCTCCCTCTTTCTCCATCCCTCTCTCTCTCTCTCTCTTTATCTCCCTCTTTCTCCATCCCCCTCTCTCTCTCTCTCTCCTTTTTCCCCTCCCCTCCCCCTCTATCCCCATTTCCTCTCTCTTTCTCTCCCTCTCCCCCCTCTTCCCCTCTCTGTCTGTCTGTCTGTCTCTGTATCTCTCTTTCTATCTCTCTCTCTCTCTGTCTCTCATTCTGTCTCTCATTCTGTCTTTCTCTCTCTCTCTCTGTGTCTCTGTGTGTGTGTGTGTCTCTCTCTCTCTCTCTCTCTCTCTCTCTCTCTCTCGGTTTTAAACAAACATATATATAGGTGTCGCTTGGATTGCGAGCCTTGACGGATTCATGATCGAGATTACGGGGATTCCCCGTTCCGATATCATGCGTCTTGCGTGGTCTCGTGACTCTTACTCAATGTTCAGTGTGTTAACCCGTGTAGCTTACGAATATTGTTTTGTGGTGCTCAATCATTGTCAGAGGGAACGATGATCTCTTCAACATTAATATCGTAGCTCATATACGAACATTAAATGGGTTCTTCGGGGGTAAGTTACAAAGAAAACAATAATGACTCTCTATCATTACCTGTATATTACTATCTATTCTTAGTATATTTTGAATGGTGGTTTCATGACTCTTTAATACTGAATGTTGTGTTAACCCGGATGTATTACTCTTGAAGCCTATACTGCAGGGATTCACAAACAACAGTGTAGTCACTATGAACATGACAGACAATGAAAGCGGACAAAATATACAGTTCCTCAGGTAGACAAAGGGACATCCCTTCACTGCTATTATGTAAAAAGGTGTAGAACAGGTGAATATGCATGTGACACCTGTTCTACACATTTTTTTACATAATAGCAGTGAAGGGATGTCCCTTTGTCTACCTGAGGAACTGTATATTTTGTCCGCTTTCATTGTCTGTCATGTTCATAGTGAGTGTCATTGATTGTTTTTGTCTCGCTGGTGTGGTGCTCAGTCATTGTCAGAGGCTAGGGCGATCTCTTCCAAATTTAATGTAGCTTACGAACATGAAATGGGTTCTACGGGGGTAAGTTTTTAAGGGAAACAATGAGGACTCTTAATTGTATTCCATTGTTTCATCACCTGTATATTAGTATAATTATCATATTACATTATCATGTTCGTAAAGTGACTGGATTGAGTATATGCGGCAACTACATGCAGTAGTATACTTTCAATAATAGACTATTATTTGAACACAACGGCATTGGTTAAATCAGAATGATCGGTTGAACCGTACCTGTATACCGTCAAGTCCGATTCCTTCGACCTTTCTTCAGTGGGCCATTTAATATAAAGCTTGATAAGGGATAGTGCATATTCTATTTTGCACCGGTAGTTGTGACTTTAATACTCTGAACATTATGACCGTATCTCAGATCATATTATTCTTGGGAGCCTGTCAAGGGGGGGGGGGGGGGTGGTTGTCAAAGGCAGTTTTGGTTTATGTTCATGCAACATTAAGATTACGTGATTCATGTTGCTGGGAAAAATTATTTCCTACCACTACCAGCGACCAAGAAAAGAGTCTTCGTGAAATTTTCAAAATGGACGCAAAAACATTTTTGTAATTCTAAGAAGACAACACGATAGTCATTAAAGTAGGGACTTAAAGCACACAACACAATGTCATTCATATCTGTTGAAAATACACTTCCTTGTTTCGACCAAGGAGTTACTACACTCAGGACTTTATACGCATTATAAATAGCACATATATTTTTGTATTATTTTAAATTTGTTTTAATATACAAGTCAAAAGTGTTTATTTACAGTGGGGGAAAAAAAGACGTATATTATTGGATATACTAATAGAGTATACTTCTCATAATGGCTAATGAAATTCCATATCCTCTGATTTTTTTTTTAAACGAGGATGAATCCACTCCGCTAATCCCCATATGTGAAGCAACACGAAAGGGAGTGAATGTCGTGGTATGTAGCTGTAGTCGCCCTGATAACGTGGAGGGGATCATGCTGCTCATCAATGCAAACATGGCGGATGTCGTCAAAACTGTGAGGTTTCAGGCTCTCCCTTACAACATCAGAGACATGGATGCGTTTAATTTCAGTGGGATAGATGTTCTACTTCTATGTCATTCTATAGAGAACAGGCGATTCTCACTTACCAACGTTACTGATGCTCTCTATGATGGTTTCTTACCAAAGGCCAGAATGTATTTAGGTATGTGCTATCTTTCATTATATACCTCACTTAAGAAATCCAGCCATCTGATTGGTCGAAATTGCATTCATAAACTTCAACTATTCCTGTAAAATTCCCGGTAAAATTCCAAACCCGTGTAATAGTTCAAAAAAATAGTTCTAAAATCACAGTTACCATGGTTACTGGGAAAATAGTTCAGTCTTGGTGAAATACCCATAGGTTTACATGTTAAAAAATGGTCTGAGCAATCGAGGATACCGTACGTGTGCGATGAATTGGTCGGTAATTTCAATACAATTGAATCTCGATGGATGAATTTTATCTTGCATTGTTGACATGAAGACGAAAATAAACTTCCAAAAACAACATTTGCCGATAGATCTTGATCTAAGTTCGTGCCAATGCATTGCAAAAGTAAAAGTAGGGCCCGTTTAATGGAGCTGCCGCGAAGCATCCAGCACGCGAAGCCGTTTTCAATCCATTTTAATGTATACATCAGAGAAAACTGCTGAGTATGGTATTAGTGCGCGATGGCCGAGCGGTCTACGGCTGTGATTTTAGTCACATCATCGTTGATACGCAAGAGATCGAATCCAATCTTCAAAAAAAAAAAAAAAAATATATTTTTTAGTCTACTCTCAAAGATACAGTCATAAAAAACAACCGTGCAGACAAACTAGATGAAGGCCAAGATGGTGTCATAAGTTGACTCTTTTTTGGCATATAAAAGTATTAATGACTGCTTTAATATTCGAGAAATAGTTGTTTTTATACGCTCTCGGGAAGGTTACAATTGGGCTATTGTCCAATTAAGAGGACACTTTTTTTTTTTTTTTTTGGTCTGGAAATTTAATAAATTTGAAATTTTTCTTTGTTGGGGGGGGGGGGGGGGGGGGGGGGGGGGGTAAGGTCACCTTTTTTAGGTCAACCATGGGCATAATTTTTTTTTTTTTTTTTTATAATTAAAAAAAAAAAATCCAAAGGGTGGGGGGGGGGGTTTAGGGGGGTTTTAGGGGGGTTTACACACATAAAAATATCAAAGGGGGGTGTTCACACCCCCCCCCCCCCCTGCGTACGCGCCTGCCTCTCAGCGCCGCCCACCCAGGCGCGCCTCAGGGTAATGGCAGGATCTGCGCGCGTTCCCTTGAGCATATCAAACAGCCAGGCCTCTCAAAGCTGTCGATATCTCTATACTAATAGTTTTATTGTGGGAGCCATTTAAAACAAATTGAATAGAGAAAAATGATTAAAGTGGTACAATCGCTTATATTAGAATCATTGTTAAATTGCTGTAAACAACGTTAAAAAGGTTTACGAGAAGACAATTTTAAAGCAAGGAGAAAGGAAAGGGAAAAGAAACATATTTTGAAATGTTTCTGATTATGTCTTAATCCGAACAGGGAAGAGCAAAGTAGGAGTGATAGCACACGACTTCCCCGATGATGCACTCTTATCGGATGAAATGGCTTCCAAGATGGAAATATTTCGCGGTACCCAGGAGAGGACATTCGCCAATTCATCTCTGGTGTTGATCGGGGGTCAGCTCACGCGAACCCCGGTGGGACTAACAAATGATCAAATCAATAAAATCAAATGGTTCTTTCATGAAGCCTCATCGCCGACGATAGGAGAATGCTTGCGAGTTTGTCTCCATTCGTGCTTTACTTGTTGCTGTTAGATGTCATTTGGTGGGAGAAAGAGAAGAATCCTTTGGGAATGTTGAATAATGATCACATCCACCGAGATTATTTAATTATTTCTTTTCTGCATGGCTCCATCATTTTACACCATATTTCATGTTTGTTTCAAAAATCATTATTTTGCAATAACGGAAACTCATTGTGTTCAATTGAATTCAATTGAATTCATTTCATTTGTTGTCAAATTCCAACATCAATTAAAACAATGTGTAAAAACAGTCAATGGGCAATAAAATCATTTTAAAAACTATGAAATTTCAATCAAACGACTAAGAAGATAAAGAACACAACAAGTATAGCATTCAATGAGAAACAAGGCAAAGAAAGGGGAAAAGTAGACCATTTAATACGCAATTCAGTATTGACAGACAACATAACAAAACATATTAAGTGGATAAGTGGAAAATGGTGGACACAAGTTTGTGGCTTGTTAGAGTGTGTAAACCTATTTTAGTATTTGTTTTTACATTATTATTATAAAATTTAGAGATCGGTATATATTTGGTATACATAAAACAAAATACATGAGAACATGAGAACATAAACATAAAAAAAGATATAAGAGCATCGAACCGTATGGTATGGTTCCACAGGATAGTTTAAGAAGACATATTTAACAAATTAAAAGTAATCAATAGGAACAAATTAAACGTTTCTTATATTGCCTCCTGAATGTGCTATTAAATGAAATATCGATTTGGTTACAATTTACATTTTTCCGAAGAACTGGACCCAAATATCTCGGAGAGTATTTTGAATAATCAGTGTTGGCTAACGTGTGATATAATCAACTTCAATAATCATGCAGCTTCAATAATCAATAAGGATTACATAAACTTCTGAAGTGGTTCTTGAACCCGGGTAAAATTCCTTTTCTGACTATATGCGTTTTGAGAAGAAAAAAGTATATATGATTATAATATGATTAGAATTTATTATGAATGTGATTAGAGGTAGGGATATATACGGTATATTCAGGGATGCAAGATCCGGATCCTGTTCATGAATCTATGAGGGCAATACCGCATGATTTTGTTAACGATGTACTTCCTCAAGACTATGAATCTATGATAATATCGTTGTTAATAGTATTCGCAATTGTAACAATTCTATATCTATAATTTATTTCAAGTGCAGAAGTCTAAAGAAAAACTTTGACAATTTTATATGTACTCTATCATTTATTTCCCTCATCCCGTTTCTATCTTTGAATTATGTGAAACTTGACTCACTGAATAGAAAGCATATTTTTAAACCTTGGTTTACCTTTGAACTAAAGAAACTATGTAGAAAGAAAACTTATGTATCGGAAATACATCAAAAATCCAAGCACCTACCGGAAATCCGTCAATACTGCAATCGGAGATCAGGTGATTTGTGCTACATGGGATTATTTATGTCGATGACACAAACTTGTTTCTATAAGAAAAAAATATTACATATTTATAAAACACCTTGAATTCGGAATTATTAAAGATTCTGATTGGTTTGTATCTAACAAATTGAAATAAATCTTATCAAGAAATTCATGACATGTTGCATGTTGTACAGCTCTATTATCACACACTATTCCCTTTGTAAGTCGGTTAAAAGTTCAGGATATACACAAATTGCAAAAATCAAATTTATGTTTTCGTACTTTCACAATTTGTTGTCTAAGTTTTTAGATGTTTATTCATGAAAGTCGTCCGTTTGTCCATACTCTACCAGACAGTCCTGTCAGATTCGCATTCCTACATTTAAGTGTGAATTTTCTCGTACCACACTCACATTTAGTGGTCCCAAAATATGGAACTGTCTGGAGTCTGAAATAAACAGTTGCCCTTCTTCTTCGAGTTCCAAAATTTTTTTTTAAATGAATTGATTAAGTATTACATCCACTGATATTTGCTTTTTGTGTGTGTGTGTGCGCGCGCGTGGATATGTGTGCGTGTGTCTAAACTATTCTTAATTCATTGTCTATCATTATGTATTAAATATTTCGGGGGACACGCCTGTGATAGACCTTTAGCCTTTGTTAGTCCCTCCACATTGTGTTTTGTTGTTATTTCTATCTGTTATGATTTTGTACTAAACCTTTTATTGTTGTTGGATTTGTATATATAAACATGTACCTTGCAATGTTAATATGTTGTTTTGTATGTTCTCATTGTCACTTATATCGATTTGTGGAAAGAATAATTTGAATTGAATTCGTTAACATAATTATATCTGATATTGTATTGTATTGATTTTGTATCTAGGACTGTGTGTATATACAGTTGTATAAGTTATATCAAGAACATTAAATTTAAATGCTAACATTGTATTCATTTTGGATAAGGATATGCAAAATTTAAATATTATGGTGCTGGAATTTTTTTAAAAGCAGTATAGCTAAAGTAATATATAATTATTTCCTGATGCAGATTGTCGCTATCCAGATTTTACTGTCATGATTATTTATCGATTTTTATATCATGTGACTGTGACTTTTAAGAAACAATGCAAATATTTGAGCTTTAACTTTTAACTTTCAAGTTTTACGATCTGTAAACTTTTAACCTCCAACTTTTAGCTTAGCTTTAGCTCTGCGGTATTTTATTTAGATTAATAAAAGTATATTTTTAGCTAAATCATTCATCATTATCAAAAGTCTTAATACCTGTTTCCATTATCAATCTATATTTTTGCTCTTGCTCTTTAAAAAAATTATGTATTGTGCTTTTATTTATGCTATTTATCATGTTTCATATTGTTTCACATCATATGTTAATTGTATTCAATAACGCAGGGCTATCTTGCAAAGCAGGTTTTTTTTTGTACTGATGATACTACCCTGTATAAAGAAGACGGAATAAATAAATAAGTAATTAAAATATATTAAAATTATTGTTAGTATCGTTATTGTTATTATTAGTAGTAGTAGTATAAGGTCATTATAAGAGCAATCCATTTCATGTTACTTTGCTGCAATGAAACACTTCCACACTGGAATAAGTTAGAATGAGAAAGCTCAGAAATTAATTTCACTTTTACTAGAACCTACTTTCTCTAATCAATGCGCCCTATTCACAGGGAAAAGCCTGATTAAATCTGATTTAATTTAGTTATTTTTTTCATCAAAATCAAATACCGAAACATGACAGGGAGTTTACATTTCCTAAAGTTCTATTTCATTATTCTATTTTATGGCAAGAAATTTCATTATAAAATACAGCTTATGGGATCACTTTCTTCATCTGATATTCATTTTGTACCCCTAAATCTATTGTTAATGTTGTATAACACCTTAATTTTACCATATTTGAATTATTGACTCGTAGTTTGAGGATCTTCTAATAAATGTTTATTGAACAGAGTCCTTATCTTACAGAAAAGACTAACTAGAATGATGGCTCATTCTGATTTTAGAGCACATACCCCCCCCCCCTTTTTTTCTTCAAAATTTCATTATTTTGCTAGTATATGAACTGTCAGATTATAATCTTGATGGTTTTATGTATTTATATTATAAGATATTATTATCATTTAACTTTCACTCTTTATTTAGTGGAAATTCTGACATTCACATTCATAATACCTGGGGAAAATGTGATCATCGTATTGTATGCGGAATATATTCCTTACCTCGAAAATCCCTATCTCACAATGGACCTGTTTCTAGAAAAATTAATGAAAATATCAACAATTCTCAATCGGATTCCCTGAATATATTCAAATCCAATATTCAAAATGACCTTCTACACAATTTTTAATACTTCCGATCATTCATTTACCACAACTGAATTGTTATTTTTTATTTATTAATTAGTTTTTTTCTTCTTCTTTTCCAATTATAAATTATACATTTATTAATACATACATGGGGTTATCATGTTCTTAGTTCATAAATTGTTGTAATCCCCCACATTAATTTGTATTATTCTGTATTTCTGCTTTTAATTAGTGTTAATTTTATTCCTAATGTTTATTATGTCATTAATGTGCTAAACAGGTGCTCCTACCCCCCCCCCCCGCTTATTCAGCGGCTGGCTGAGTCGTTGCAAAAATATTTGGGACCCCCCCCCCCAAACAAAAAGCTCGGCCCGATTTAAAAATGTTAAACCCCCCCCCCTTGAAAAAAATCCTGCGTACGCCACTGGTGCTAAACATTAACTATGTTCATGTATATATCGTATATTGTTTTGTTATTTTTTATGGAAATGTGGAAATAAATCAATTCAATTCTTGTTAATTCCCCACTCTGACACCCCCCTCTCTCTCTCTCTATCTCTCTCTCTCTCTCTCCCCCTCTCTCTCTATCTCTCTTTCTCTCCCCTCTCTATCTCTCTCTCACACAAACACACACACACATGCACACACACACACGCACACACACGTACACTGACAAACGTACTCTACAAGCTCCATTTACATTACAGAAGGTGACTACTTACCGCTGTCAGCTATTTCACACGGAAAATGGGCATGTTATTTGATGACTTATTTTATGATCATCTCTGGAGTCTAAAGTCCACCAGTCTATCCGGTGAGCCGGAGACGAAAGGAAAATACATACACATTTTTAGGGCTATATTGTTACTATATTCAGGGGATAAAACTTTTACATTGAATTCCTATACATTTATTTTATTCATAATTCCAGGAAATGATGTTCGTATATAAATATATATATATATACAGGGGCGGTGATCCGGGGGGACGGGGGACACTCCCCCCCCCCCCCCATTTTTTTTAGGGTGGGATCGCCCCCCCCCCCTGGAAAATTTGAAAAAGTGCACACAAATAATGGATAGCAAATACTGACTAAAAACTGCTACACAAGAGGACAGAGTTTAGACTAATAAAATACAACTATCTTCTCGCTTGGTCGCTACGCTCTCTCGCTAAATATCATTCCCTCACCTTCGCCTCTTTCATTCACTATGCTCTCTTATCCCTCGCATTTCGTTACCCCCCCCCCCCCCCGGTCTTAAAAAGAAATCGCCTCCCCTGTATATATATTTGTTTTGTCAGTGGCGGATCCAGGGAGGCACAGGGGCACGTGAATTGTTAAAATCAGCCCCAAATTCGCCAAAAATGTACTGGCAAACAGGGACGTGCCCCCCCCCCCGGCCCCCCAAAAAAGAAAAAAAGTGCGCACTGCTCCCCCCCCCCCCCCCCCCGCTTATTCAGCGGCTGGCTGAGTCGTTGCGATTTTTTGGGGACCAAACAAAATATATATATATATATGTCCTCTTACCCCCCCCCCCCCCCGTGTGCCCCCCGGGAAGAAATTCCTGGATCCGCCCCTGTTAGTATTAGTATTAAGTTTTCCTTCTAACTCAACATCTTCGCCTGGGGAAGTCGGTTGGACTTTTTTTCTACAGTATTCCGTATGACAAAATAGCTTACGGGAAGCATTTGCCGCTCCCCCCCCCCCCCCCCCCCATATACACAGTTCTGATTATCCTGGATCTCCTCCTTACATGCATTATGAGAGTGAAATAAAGTGACGGAAGTGATCCATTGATTTGACAAGAAAAACAAAGCAACCGGGTTGTGCATGCCTAGTACTCTAGTAGTTTGCTGTTTGTCTGATTTGATCAACTGATAGGTGAAAATCGATTCATCAAAATGGCCGAGAGATCAACAGAGAGGAGCAAAATAGTAAGCAATAAATCATGTGTTTATAATTTATATTAAACTGCGGGTAATTTTAAATCTTAGTCTTTTATTTGGCTGAAATTGATTCATCAGTATATGGTGCACGATTATGTGTGATAAACTCTGCAAAACAGTTGAGAAACTCAAGATTGATCGAAAATATATCCCATGAACTATCATTCTCTTACGCCAGTCCTAATGGCAATTCCCTTATTAGGTTTATTGATTGGACTTCACTAACAAAATCATTAAAAATTAATTTTAGTCTAATTGTTGATAAACAATTTCCAATGATTCTAATGAAAGGAACTAGGCCAGTGATGTGATGAATATTATCAATCAAATTCGAGTTTTTATTCTTTGTGAGCAGGTGTATTATTGCAAACATAACCCTTTGTAATAGTTTGATCTGCATTATCCGTTTTGTTTTAGCCATCAGATTGTAATACATGCAGGGGCGTCGCCAAAGGGGGGGGGGTGCGACAACCCCCCCCCCACCTGTCAGGATATTGTCGGTAAAATTGCGCTGCCGTCGGGAAAAAGGAGAAAAGGGTGAGGGAAAAAAAGAGAGGGAAAGGGAAAGAAAAGTGAGAAAGGAAAAGAAAGGAAAGAAAAGAAAAGAAAGGAAAGAAAAGAGAAGAAAGAAAGAAAGGAAAAAGAAAAAGAGGGAGGAGAGGAAAGAAAGGAAAGAAAGAAAAGGGGGGAAAAAAGAGAAAAAAGAGTAAAAGGGAAACAAAATAAACGGGGGTGAAAGAGAGGAGAGAGAGGAGAGGTAAGAGCCTGAGAGAGGAGGAGTGGAGGTAAAAGAGAGAAGGGGGTTGTTGGATGGAGTCGTCTCGTCGAGGGAGCAAGAAAGACACGGGTAAATATGTTGCTATGTCGGGTCAGCTGTGTCGGTATTCTTGCTCGATCCTCGTGTACATATCAATGCAGAAGTTTGAAGTCGGTGAGATGTATATTGTCGGTCGGCCGACAAGTTTTTTTCCCTTACGAACTGTGACTTTTTATCCGCTGTGACGACTTCAAGAGTGACTACAACTACAATACTTGTATTTTCTCGAAGTTTCACTTTCCTATAATATCAGCTAAAGAAATCAGAGGTTTAACATTTTCGGGGAAACTAAATTCAAACAAGGTTTAAGAGTCAACAACGGTACGACGAATCGCCTTCCTTTCTCTATATTGTGATGAAACGCCGTAAAAAAAATCCACGCTTCGCGCGGAAGGGGAAAACTGAATTCAGACAATTAGGGCTTATTAAGAGTCGAAAACGGTACAACGAATCATCTTCTTTCTCTAATAATTTAATGAAACGTCAAAATTTCCGCGCTTCGCGCGAAAGGGGGACAACTGAATTCAGATAAGGATTAAGAGTCGAAAACAGTACACCAATTAGGGCTTATTAAGAGTCGAAAACGGTACAACGAATCGTCTTCTTTCTCTAATAATTTAATGAAACGTCAAAACTTCCGCGCTTTGCGCGAGAGGAGGAGAAACTGAATTCAGACAAGATTTAACAGTCGAGAACGGTACAGCAAATCGTCTTCTTTTCATAATAGTTAAATGAAACGTCAAAGCTTTCGCGCTTCGCTCGGAAGGGGGAGAAACTGATTTTAGACAAGGATTAACAGTAGAGAACGGAACAGCAAATCGTCTTCTTTTCATAAAAATGTAATGAAACATCAAAGCTTTCGCGCTTTGCGCGGGAGGGGGGGGAACTTCATTTAGACAAAGATTTACAGTCGAGAAAGGTACACTAAATCGTCTTCTTTTCCTAATAATTTAGAGGCCTATTACCCACACCCCCTATGAGTGCTCTTTAAGTGATTCGCTTGCTCACTACCGCCCTCCCTAAAATAAGATCCTAGCTCCGCGCCTGCATTAAAATATATCAGCTATGATGCTGACTAAGTTGACGAAATAATTCGTATATTTATGTCGTCGAGGAAAATGACCATTTGCGCATATGCAAGTACTATATATAGTCCACATGAAAAACAATTTAGCCCTCGGCCCCGGGTTTATAGGGTTAAATTTGTAAATATTGGACATTTAATTTTGTCGGTAATTGGTCGCTAGTTTTTTCGGTAATCGTTGGCCTCTACACCCCCCCCCCCCCCCCCCTCCACTGAAAAAGGTCTAGCGACGCCCCTGAATACATGACTCTCACGGAGCGTGCAAATAATCGCATGGGCCGTGTTATGAGTAGTTTGGAGTGCATAATCCTTTAAATTTGAACTTATCTGTTTTCATTTTTAGTCTTTATAATCATTTTTGTATCTACAGTGAACTTAAAAGAGGGGGAGCAATAACAATAATAATTGTAAAGCTAGTTGAACGTAGACCCATGAATCAAATGCTGTATTTTCAATGTGATACATTTTGTTCACGATCTGAATAAAGCACATGGAAATTACAATGTTTTCCTCTTGATGTTTCTGTCATTTTGTAATCATGGGACGTATATGGTGGCCCTGAAGGGACATCGCGAATAGACTAAATCGTGAAAAATATGCGATAAAATTCACGATATCGTCAATTTTATCGCATATTTTTCACGAAGAAATTCACGAAATTGACGATATCGTGAACTTTATCGTGAACTTTTCGCGATGAAATTGACGATATCGTGAATTTTATCGTGAAAAGTTCACGATATAAAGTTCACGATATCGTCAATTTTATCGTGTACTCTATCGTGTACTCTCCTGACGGGCGCTTCGTAAACAAAACCAGCCCTAGCTGGGGGAGACAGAGAGAAGGAAAAAAGGGAAAGGGAAAGAGAAGATAAAAGGAAAGAAAGAATAATAAGAAGAAAAGAGGGAAACGGGGGAAGGGCGAAAGGCTCTTACCTCCCCCTCCCCCCTCCCGCCATAAAGGGAAAGAGAAGGGAGAGGGAAAGAAAATATAAAAGGAAAGAAAGAAGAGGAAAAAGAATAAGAAAAGAGGGAAACAGGGGCGAATGGCTCTTGCCTCCTTTCTTTTCTTTCTTTTCCTTTCTTTCCTATTCTCCCTCTTTTTCGTTTTTCTCTTTCTTTCTTCTCTTTCCCTTTCCTTCTCTCTCTCTCTCTTATTTATTTTTGGCGGGGGGCGGGGGGACGAGGCAAAAGCCCTTTGCCCCCGTTTCCCTCTTTTCTTCTTCTTCCTCTTCTTTCTTTCCTTTTATCTTCTCTTTCCCTTTCCCTTTCCCTTCTCTCTCTCTCTCTGATTTATTTTTTGGCGGGGGGGGGGGAGGGGGGGGGGGGAGGGGGGGGGGAAAGAGTCCTTCGCCCCCCCCCCCCGTTTCCCTCTTTTCTTCTTATTATTCTTTCTTTCCTTTTATCTTCTCTTTCCCTTTCCCTTTTTTCCTTCTCCCTGTCTCCCCCAGCTAGGGCTGGTTTTGTTTACGAAGCGCCCGTCAGGAGAGTACACGATAGAGTACACGATAGAGTACACGATAAAATTGACGATATCGTGAACTTTATATCGTGAACTTTTCACGATAAAATTCACGATATCGTCAATTTCATCGTGAAAAGTTCACGATAAAGTTCACGATATCGTCAATTTCGTGAATTTCTTCGTGAAAAATATGCGATAAAATTGACGATATCGTGAATTTTATCGCATATTTTTCACGATTTAGTCTATTCGCGATGTCCCTTCAGGGCCACCATAGACGTATGAAATAAATTATCAGAAGCTTGATTTTGGCATCTTCCATTATTTTCCTTGTACAGCTAAAGCACGTAGGAGAAGGGAAGACGGTAGATGTGTGCGTGTGTAGCTGTAGTCAAATGAACACCGTGCAGGGATTAATCCAACAGATCAAAGAAGAAATGACGGACGTCGTCGGAAGCATGACGTTTCAGACTCTCCCTTACAACATCAGAGACATTAATGCGTTTGATTTCAGTGGGATAGATGTTCTACTTCTCTGCCATTCTATAGAGAACAGGCTATTCTCACTTACCAACGTTACTAGTGCTCTCTATGATGTTTTCTTACCAAGGGCAAAGAAATTCTTAGGTATGATAAGTGTATTCCTTGACATAATTATTTTGTTCATGCATTGTTCATGGCCTCAAGAAAGAATTCTACCAAGGGCGTGGGGATGGTACATGTACCTAACAGGTTAATTATGTGTCTTATTATGACGGGAAAGATTATGATAAACAGTCAAGCCCGTCTGTTGAGGCCACCTTAAGGCCACAGAGAAGTGGACACCATAGACAGGTGGCTTTTCTATCCAGGTTCTCCATTGACGTACACCTCTTACTGGAAAGAGAAAAAGTGTATGGCCACTAATTAGACAGGCTTGATTGTAATCGCCGCCTTGAACTCAAGTTTGAAGGAATTAATATGCACAGAAGAAATGAGGTTTATATTCATTATCTTTTCAGTATAACATCAACTTCAGTAAACAGGGATCCTCAACACCATTCAAAATACAGCAAGCGTTTACATGTCATTTTTTTTTTAAATTAAAAAAAACATGTATATATTTCTTTTTAGTTTTGCCTAAGTTCCCTGCCCAAGTAGTGTTTTATAAGAATTGGAAATAAAACTTTAATGGGACTGAATATTAGTTACTGAGTTCTATTATTAAGAGTTGGCTGCTAATTCAGAATCGGTTTTCAATGCTTAAAGGGACTTGGTAACATTGTTCAGATGAGAGAAAGTGATGCTAAGGTAGTGACTTCAATGCCAAATGTACAATTAAAGATAATCTGAAAATTTGAGAGAAAACGGACCATTATTGATGATACAAATTGGGGAAAAACTGATCTGATCGATTCCTCAATTCTCCCAACTATATTATTAAAATTTAATTACATTTTAGGTGAATGTAAATCATCACAAAGCAATAAATTGACTCTACATACCATTCCGGACATTTAAGTGTTGAAATATATTTAATAGCCTGTTTTATGTCTTTTTTCATGGAAAAACGTTTGGGAAAATTCAAAAATGGTTGGGAGAATTCATTGTTAATCACTGTTAGAAAGCACTAGATATCTTCGTGGTTTGAGATTTTTTTCAGGATTTTTTGCATGTCAGAGGTTAGTACAGTAGAAGGAATATAATAAGTAACATTTTATACAAAAATTAAGCAATTTTTTCATCAACCTTCAACAATGTTACCGAGTCACTTTAAATAACACATAAAACAGTATCATTTCCATTGGACGTTTAATTTGTTTTCTTTTGTCATTTCGGTAAAGGTAAGAGCAAGGTTGGAGTAATCGCATATGATTTATCCGAGGATTCTCTGGAGCAAGATTGTGTAGCTATAACTATGAATTGGTTACGTGACAAACAAGAGACTACATTCGCCTGCTCTTCTCTAGTTCTGATCGGCGGTCAGCTGAGTCAAGTTCCAGTGAGGCTAACCCACCAACAGTTTAGTGACCTCAAGCATTTCTTTCTTACTGCTTCAACCCCACCTACACGCACCTTTTGTCTTCCCTTTGCCCTCTGCTTTTGTCGCAGTGAATGTCACAATTCTTGACCGTCTTCAGAATGTTTTGTTTTCCTAGGTTTCCAACGGATTTGAAATGATTTCCAGGAGCAAGTGGCGGATCCAAGGGGGGGGGGGAGACTTTGGGGGGGGGGGGGGGGGGGGTGGGGGCTCAAGGGGGATGGGCGCTCAAGGGGGGGGGGGGGGTGCAAATTTTTAATTTTCATGGGGCAAAAAAAAAAATAGTGCTCACTAACCCCCCCCCCCCCCCCCAAAGATGCCCCATGTAAGTTTTAGATCCGTTATTTTTCGGCTAAAACCGATGAAATTGTTGCAAATGTATATAATCTACCTTATTATATACATTTTCTGTTAATGTGGATTTTACAAAAGGGAGACATCGGTAAAGAGCGGTCATAAAAGAAACATGATAGATCCCCAATCTAAATTCTTTATCATGGATTTCAAAATTCATGTATATGTTTTTCTTGAATATACACCACATATAAACTGTACTTGTTATTATATGTTATAATTATTTGTTATTGTTATACATTAAAAACAGTAAGCCTACATTTCTCTGAGGAGAAATGAGTCTACATTAATTTTGTAAAATTTAGATATTGATTTTCGAGCAATAAGAAGGGCGCTTATAAGTTATCTGAATGTGCTTTGGCAATGCATTAATCTACATTTGCCAATCCATACCCAGGAGAGAAATGGGGACCTATTAGGATCACGAATGTCTTTGTGTAAGTAATTACCATATGCCCTCATGGTGACCATATGGGGTCATAATACTTGTAAAACGCTAAAGCGCTATATAAATCCGGATTATTAATATTATTATTACAATTAAAGGTTTATGGTATACATACGCTCCAAACCGCCATTTTTATGTATAAGTACACTTCCAAAACTCTTCCGGCATCTTTCTTAAACTTTTATTTGTTAAATGTAAACGTTCACTCATATTTAACTGGACATGCTCATGATTATCATCTTAATAATCCCAAACTTAGTTTAGCCCTACGATCAATCAGACACCATGGACCAGATATTTGGAATAACTTACCAAACCATATTAAAACTGGAACCTCCCTTTATTCTTTTAAAGCTTATATGAAAACATATTTGTTAACTCAGTATAGTTTACTAGATCTTAGTACATAGAAATTTAAAATTATCTAATTTGCTATGTCTAGAATTGTTCTGTCTCTGTTTGTCAACAGGAATGGACCCTGCATACATGTAATATTATCACCCGTAACCGAAACCAACACACAATTAATATCACGGTATTAGTCTCTGTTTGTTCCACCAAGCTAAATTTTTGCACCTTGCACAAATGCACTTCTCAACACGAAATATTTCACTAAATATGTTTTGTTATTTTCACTCAAAATTATTTCAGCCATGCTCACTTTTAATCACTTCACTTATATCTTATTTAACATCGAATACAATGCAGTTGCAAGGGTTGTTTTTTTTTGTTTTTTGTTTTAACTCGGCAGAGGCCACCGTCATCTTCAAGCATTTACGCTTACGACATGTGGCCTCATGCTTTTTCCTTTTGTATGAAACTGTTATTTTAGCTAAAAACAAATTTTGTCAAACTTACATGTTATTCATTATATTTATTTGTATGTTTCTTTGTATTGATAAACATAACAAACAAACAACAATGTATATACGTGAACATCATTATGTGTGCATGCGTTCAGTTGTGATTCGACTGTAATTTCATTTATTTTTGCATATTGATAAACCTCTTGTAAACATAGTAAGCTAAATGATTTTTAAAACGCTATTTTGATAACCATTATTGCCCTACAGAGGTGTCAAAGACTGTTTCAAAGGTAGCTGTAAAAGCAAAATTTATTATAATCCAGTTACCTGAACAATAGTGAGCCTCCTGATTACCATACTCTTTCAAGATCATTTTTATTCTCTCGTGATACATAATTAATACCATGAGCTAGAAGACTACATACAGAATTGCATACCGTGGACAGTAACTGATGCATCACAATAAGATTTGTTATTTTAATTAAAAACTTCCATGATACTTTATATAAAGTCAACAGAACTCGTCTCCTCTCATTGAAGGCATTTGCATGCAAGACTGGTCTTGGATGTGTTTTTTTTCTCCCTCTGTCTGTGTGGTTGTTTCTTTTTCTTTTTTCTTCTTTATTTTGTTGTAATTGCGTTTTTCGTATTTCCGTTCTTGTTTTGCTCATAGTACTTGACGAATGGTTCATGAGTGGTCCAATGAATGTCGGATTACTTTTTAAAAAACATGCAAATTTTTGTATAATGATTAAAACCGATGACAATCCTTAAAGAGCAATCTAGCACTTGTAATAAGTTTGAATGAAAGCAGAGAAGTAACATGCATGAAAAGAATGGCGAAAGTTTGAAATATATCCGGCCTATTATGAGAAAAATATGAATGTTTGAAACATGAGATCACCAAGTCGATGCCAATGTCAAGTTGGCAGGTTAGTTAGTGGATGGTGATGTAGTCGCGAATAGCTCTCTTGGCTTTCATCATCGTACAAAACATCGTTAATTTTAGTTTTTCACCTAAGCGCTTTCTCCCTCGGACTCTACTCAAGGTATATTATGGATAGCATATCATTTTAGGTCCTCTGAAGTGAAAAGTTCCTCCTGACTCATACATTTTTTAAAATTTGAAATTTTAGTCTTTTTGTGTGTTGGAACTTGGAACAAATGGGAAAGTGGTACGCCAACTACATCACATAGACATTACAGATTCAGCCGAATTGAAGAATTCATAACTATAGTGATTACAACTTTTAAACAAATCACAACTTTTCTTATTTGTACAGATATACAGGCCTATGGTAATCCACACACACAAAAAAAAATCGCTGTTCCTGGCCTTAACTTGCATGGGTACACACTAAGAAATAAGGGTGTAATTACACCTACGCGTATTTGGCAGAGGGTGCTGATCTGCTCCTCTAAGGGTGCAGTATCTGACAACCACCCTTAAGGGTGCACGTATATGCTCCCTCTAGGGTGCCAGTTTGCACCCAAAGCGGCTTAAATGTGCAACCTTATGGGTACGAGAAGTTGGAGGATGCACAACGGTGCACGCGGCGTAGTCTGTATTAAGGCATAATAGTAAATAAGTACTAATTTAAAGTTGAATATGTCTTCAAGTTTGTGTCGATATTCGAAGAACGAGATTAAACATGTTCAAATACAAAATTTATTTCACTTTTTCATGATATAATTATTATACAAAAAGCAAATATCTCAATATAATTTGAAACAAATTCAAGTCAGTAGGCCTTCATCTTCTGCACAGACTATCAATCCCTCTCAGAGTTAGGGCTAAAAATAATATTGCAACTGATTTTGATCAATCCATCGTTGGCTCAATCGGTCAGGTAAGCATACGATAATCCTAGATAAGTGGGTTTGAAACCCAGAAATTATTCCTTCTTATAAATTATTTGCCTTTATTAAAGGTACTAGTCCCTTTTGCAGCCAACCTCAAATTATGTAGAAATTTGCAGGAACTATGAATATGTCATGTATGTCCTATCTGTGAAATTTAAACGTAAGCAGTGTCCTAATATTCAAATTATGCAAGGGAACCCGTTTACTTGCTAGACTTCACTGTCGGACACTATTGAGTGACTGACTGGCTTTTTTTCTTCTTTGGTAATAACATACATAACATGAGCTGTAAAGGGTACATGAGCATTTGGCTACATCAATAACCCACTTCGTGTGATGGCCAAAATTAAACTGATTGAATCTTTGCGCAGCATAAAACGTATGACCATTCGGTACAATGGTCTGAAAATCACAACTATTTCTTATTGGCTCTATAGCTCCTAAGTCAATTTGACAACTAATAGTCGTTATTTTCCCACTTGAAGACATTTTCAAGTTCTAAATTAGTATTATCTTTTCAAATGCCATTGGAATTTAACCTTTTCATTTTGTTTGGCCTGCAAATGGGACATAGTACCTTTAATAGCATGGAGTTAGGGTGAGGCAAAGCAAAAAAAGAATCAATGTCAAAGTCTGATTGCTTGTGACCTCTTTCCAAGCCGCTTTGATTAATTAATAGGATGGCTTGCCTAGGTTTAACAAAAGACGCAAATGGACTCGACGTGTACACATAAGGGTGCACATCTGCTCCATCTAGGGGGCAAGTTTGCAACCCCATAGCAAGGTACAGAATTGCACCCTATAGGGTGCTTCTATTGAAGCAGAGGCCTGCACCCTTAACGGTGCAAATTGGTACCTTTATTTCTTAGTGTGTATGGGTTGGGTGACTGATGTCACTTTGTCAATCAACAATTAACAAAAATATGTATCTATTAGTTCTTATGTTTTCATCAATATACATGTAGTTTGCTCAACATCATGATTATCTATAGGAAGTAACTGTTTGTTATTCTTGTCGAAATGTATAAGGGAGAGAAAGATACCCCCTTGCCTCAATCAGACATGCCGGAAATGATTTCGGAAAAATAATAAGGATATTGGCATTTGGCAATCATGTTTTCCTGCGTGCCTGAGTTTATGCATGCCAAGTCTGGGAATTCCCGTTTAGTCATGAGACGTCAAGTGGTATTTGTACATTAAGGCTGCATAGTTAGAGACTTACGTGCACCATATATGTGAACAATAGGTCATTACATTTGCTGTTTCGAAGATTGCGAAAAGGTAGGACTGACAGAATATATTCGATTATTGATACCCGATCGCACTACATTGACACTAATTCCTAACGTTTGTAATGTTTTCGTAGCGTACTCATTACTATGTACATTCATATGTATACGAGTGTTTTGCCGGGTTTTGAATAACGTAATGATAATCACAAGAGAGCCGCTGTTAAAATGATAGGAATGGGGGCGCAATCTGTTTTTCTCTGGTGAGTTACCACTGAACTCTACAGTATAGCTCATTGCGAATTACTAACCGATAACATTTTTCCAACCGACTCAAGTGGGATTCTGATATCGACTTTGAAGAAAAAAAATCTTTCACCTATTCCTCGATTTTGTTAACAATAGGTCATTACATCTGCTGTTTCGAAGCTTGATAAAAAGTATGACTGAATTTATTCGATAGTTGATATCCAATTGTACTAGTATTCACACTTATTTCCTAACATAATGTTTTCGTAGCGTAATCATTACTGTCTGTGCACATTCAGTATTTTGTATACGAGCGGATATTGTAATGGTTTGAATAACAAGATGATGTTTACAATTACAAGCGAGCCGTTGTCAAAATGACGGGGATGGGGGCGCAATTGTTTTTCTCTTTGGCAATTACCACTGAGCTCTACAGTATTTCATTGCGAATTACTAACAGATAACAACTTTCCGACCAACTCAAGAGAGATTCTAATATCGATTTTTGAAGAAGAAAAAAAAATCCTTCACCTATTCTTCGACCTATTCTGAAAAACCAGCTTCTGTCACCGTTGTCCATGTTGGACCTAATGCTCGTGTACTAATGTTAAAATACAATTAAGCCAAGCAGTGATTCACTATGACAATTATGTACATGTATTATCTTTGGTTCTTTCTCCTTATTTGGTGATTGTTTTAGGAAGACGTACAATATCCATATTTGAAAAAGATTTTAAACGGGAAATCATGAAAGAAACCGAAAAAGCGGTTTTGTGAAGATCAGTCAACAAGCTGGTATAATCAAATGTGTAACTTTCCCCTTTGTTTTATGCATGACATTAAATAGATGACATCCAGTAAGAAAGTAAAGGTAGCTGTTTACAGTGGCAGCAACGAGGAAAATGTAGCAGGTCTTATCAAGGAAATAATGGGGAGGATGTCGGATTGTGTTGCAGAAGTCAAATTCGTTCCACTTCCGTACAACGTGAGTGACATGTTAAAGATGAAGCTGGACAAGAAATACTACATGTTGCTCTGTCATTCCATAGAGAACAGACGATTTTCAATCACAAATGTCACAGATGCTCTTTATGATGACTTCTTACGGAAAGCCAAGAAGAAACTGGGTAAGCGAAGATAATCAATGTTAGTTTTTATAATTAAAAACTATGACACACACACGCACACACTCACGCACGCACTACCCCCAAAATGTATACATAATATGTACAATATAAACTTATACATTTTGATTAAAAATAAATAAATAAAATAAAATTGTAATTTTTGTGAGGGTGTGTGCGTAAACAAGTAGTCGTGAGCATGAATTACATAATCATGTGCGTGCGTGTATGTGTGTGTCCGTCTGCCCAAATAGAGGTGCTGTAGTGTAGATAAGTCTTCGGACTTTTGAACCACGGGTTCGAATGCCTGTTGCAGCACTAACCTCCTTTGGCAAGACATACTCTTCGTTTGCCACTCGACCCAGGTGTATATATGGGCGCCTTGAATGCACTACGAAAGAGCTACGGTTGCCGGAGATAAAGCAAGGATATATTAGGCCCCTTGGAAGAGTAGAGAGACTTGAAATTGTAATGTGATATGTAGTATACAAGAATAGCATGTCATCATCATTATAATTATTTATATTGTTGTTATCATTATTGTTATTATTATAATTATTACTAATACTGTTATTATCATAATGCGTATCATATTCATCATCATTATCATTATTACAAATATTATATGAATGCTATTAATATTCTCATTATTGTTTATGTGTAATTAATGCTGATAATATCGATTAAGCAATGAATGATTCGCAATGCATGTGTTATGTGCCTTTTCCTCGTAGGCCGCCGTAATGTGGGTGTGATCGCTCATGACTTTGAATCTGCTGAACTCTCGCCTGAAAGACTGGAGAGCAGGATGGAATCTTTCCGAAACACTCAAGAGAGAACATTCAGAAAATCCATTCTGCAACTCATCGGTGGAAAACTCTCGGAGTCACCTGTAGAACTGAACAGTGATCAATGGGAGGAGCTTGGCAACTATTTTAGAAACAAACTGAAAAAGCCTAAACCCAAACCGAGACCTGCCGAACCTAAAATGCAGATGGCTTTACCTTGTCTCTGTGCTCGTGGTACACGGACAGAGCAATGAATTTTGGAAATTTTTGCATAAAAACATTTCGTTTGGCGTAATCTAATATAATAACTATATAGAGATGAACTTATGAATATATATGGAAGTATTATTCCAGACTTTTGGTATTAAGGATATCCATTTTTATAATCCTGTAATAATACAAACACATTTTTGAAATAATCTATTGGTACCAACTTTGTTGAATAATGTTATTTTTATAGTGCTGATGCTTTGTCCATTACTTTATCGTATGGGAGTTTTCTTTAACCAAACAGGGTGGTTATTTTCAACCAATATAATCGAATGAGCTCTACTAACCGGTTCTAGGACACCTACCTCCTGGACACCCCCCCCCCCCCGGGATAACCACCCCTAGGATAACCACCCTCTAGTAGGACAACTACCCATAGGGCATCCACCCTTTAGGACGACTACCCCTGGGACAATCATCCGCTAGGACAACTCCCCCGGGACAACTATCCTAGGGGGTAGTTGTCCGGGGGTAATTGTCCGGGGGTAGTTTTCCGGGAGTAGTTGTCGAGGGTAGTTGTCCCGGGGGTAATCGTCCTAGGGGGTGGGTGCCCTAGGGGGTATTTGTCCTATAGGGGGTAGTTGTCCTAGAGGGTGGTTATCCGGAGGGTGGATGTCCAGGGGGTAGGTGTCCGGATACGCTACTAAACAGCAATGCGTGAAGTTATATTTAGATTGGAACTAGATATAGATGCCTACGAGAAAAGTGTAGATTTATGCAAAGAATATCATACTTTTTAATGAATACAACTCTAGCTTCAGAATACAGCTAGGATATACTTGAGCACATTAGCGACATGTTTACATTTATATATGTCAGTAGAACCATCTTAGAAAATATTACCTGAATATTATTATTACTTTGCATGAGCCTATAAAGGTTTTAAATTTGGTTCTATTAGATAAGCTTCTGAAGAAAAAGTGTCGTAATAAACTTCGATCACTTTATCTGGTTTTTATAACTTTACACAATATATTACTAGTATATAGATTTCATTAGGGTCACACTGTCGGAAGTCTTTGGATGCCGATCGAGTTCAAAGTACATGTTATATACTTTTTGTTTCTGTTTTGAACGCGGGACAGAGAATCCCAAACAATCAATGTTTACATGTTTTACCAGCAGCATAATATCACGTGTAGTAAAAGGAAATCTCGCTTACCTTGTGAGAAGGAAATGGTTCCGACCATGTGACGAATAAGTTGGGAACGACATTGGTCTTGTTTCTGTTTCGAATGGAATATAAGCTTATTATTTTACACTTTATTAGCTCAAGATGGCGGACAGTTAAACGGTAAACAGCTTAATAAGTTTCTTTCTCTATGAAAAACCTGTCATAAAATTCATAAGCATAAGATGAATAGCATTAATCTTTATAATCTATGGTGTTGTTGTGGTTGTTGTGGTTTCGAGTTTGTGAAATGTAAAATGGGCCAACAAGATCCCGTTCACACACAGCAACATAACCCAAATCTTCATTCGTCTTAGTTTCTTGAAATATTTCTCCACAAGGATAGGCTATAAAGAAAGTGCTTTTCAGCATGCAAAGCTTGAATCCTGGATTGATCTCCTAGATTATATAAAATAAAACATGTAGATCAATTTAGAATTCTGAAAATCTTAGATTAATGACTAATTCTCGAAAGTGTGTAATCATTTACATTTGTATTATTATTATATCGTGTATGTGACGTTCCAAAAAATTGTTTATGTTGTATATGCTGTATCGTTAAAATGTAATGTGAATTTTATGTTTTGCAGAAGAAAATAAATTAAATTCCATTCAATTAGTATGCTTATTATTAATTGTCCTACCATTCTCATGTTTCGGATGGCCTCAGATAATGTTAAAGTGATATGTGTTATTATAAGAATTGCACAAATAAGGAATTATTTTACCATAATTTTCATGAGGAGTAGGTGCATTATAGATACTATATTATTTTGTATCATTATTGTTATTATGATGATGATGTTGATAATAATAATATAATAATAATAATAATAATGATAATAATAGTATCATTTACTATAAAATCCCGTTTTTTCTTACATGTTTTCATGAAGTGATTGTGGGAATATGGGTTCTTTTTGATAAATAATGTTTAAATCTTTTTAGAAATGTATTTATTAATCTAAAGAGTAACACAGATTGAGCCATATAAGGTTCTGAGAAGATATACACCTAATCACGAATGAACCAAAGTCACAATCACTTCATGAATAAAGAAAAGAAAAAATAATACCAAATTCATGGGCAACTATGATACAATGATAATAATGAGAATAATGATAGTAATAGTAAAACTAATAATAACAATAATGTTTGTAATTATTAGCCAGAAGTTGCTTCACCTAACAAGTAACGACAGGTAGAAACATGCCTGGGCCTTAGTCAATTTGATATACCTAATTTAAAAAGTCAGTCCTTATGATTAATTTCTTTTATCAGCAACAATACTTAGTTGTGAAGAAGGTAGATGTGTGCGTGTGTAGTGGCAGCCATTCAGACAACGTACAGGGCCTCATCCAGCAGATCGAAAAAGACATGACGGACGTCGTAGGAAGCGTGAGGTTTCAAACTCTCCCTTTCAACATGAGAAACATGGATGCGTTTGATTTCAGTGGGATGGATGTTCTACTTCTCTGTCATTCTATTGATAACAGGGGATTCTCACTTACAGACGTTATTGGTGCTCTGTATGATAACTTCTTACCAATGGCCAAGAAGTTTGTGGGTGCACTTCACAGTCCAGTTCAAGCACACTTTTGTCCATAGAAGTGTTTCCTTCCAAACCCCTTTAAAAGCGTTTGGAGCAGTAGTTGGTACAATACTTAGTTGTGAAGAGGGTAGATTCAACATCTAACATTCTTTCAGGCACGAAAATTGTACATGAAACGATTCAATCATGCTTAAATAGAAGGTTGAGTTCTGGAGAGAGGTAAACAATATTTTGGGAGCGTTGTCATTGTTAGTATGCAAGTGTGGAAGAACATCACAGACAAAATGTTCCCTGAAAAGCATGGCTCTTTAAATGCCTCTATATTCAGAATATGACAAGTAACAGCTTAAAAATGAGGCCCGATTTTTGTGCAACGTGTACGGTAGTCCCATATGCATCTGTCTGTGTACAGTGCTTGTTATTTAACCCAAACCGTGCCATTTAAAAAATCATATTGATGACTCCACATCCCTTGCAGTACACACTAATAATTATAATATGCTACCTGATAAACTTTTTCTGATCCATTCCATACCGTTTCTTTCACAATGCAATCGCCTGACCAGAACTCGACTTTATCTTTTAAGCAATGTTTACATTGTTGCACCCAACAATGTAAAAGAGTAAACATTATTAAGCATTGTCATTACTCGGCCTTTCCGAGTAGTGATTCAACAGTTTTCCATTTTCGAGTGAAGGAGTTTACTCTTACGAGTTACAATTATTGTGCAAAAAGAAAGTATAACATGTGCTTTATGATCGGAAAGTAGTTTTCTAATGTTGAACATAGCATGCACCCTCGAGTGCTTGTAGCTGCAAATGTTCAATACATATTTATCCATTCAAAACAAGTAAAAATATTCAGGCATTCCCCGACCCACAATTCAGATTAACAGTAATCTCTTGAAATACAGTTCCATCATCATAAGTCTATACGCCAGTAGGTACTGGCCCCACACGGCATTTCGGGAACGTTATAAGGCGGTATGTTTTTTTTTCTCTCTCAATTTATTGTCTCGTTGCAACCTTCACTTCATCAAGGGCTGGTTTCTCATTCTACCTTATCTGTATAGGAAAGAGCAAAGTTGGGGTGATCGCCCATGATTTTCCTGAGCAGGTACGCACAGCAGCAAACCTGACTTCTCGGATGGAATCATTCGTACTCAACAGGAGACAACATTTACGAGTTCTTCCGTAGTTCTAATCGGTGGTCGTCTCAATCAGTATCCCGTAGAGATTAATCAAGAACAAATTAACGAACTAAAACAATTCTTTCTTCTTGCTTCATCACCCCCACCTGAAGAGGCTGCAGAAGTTTGCCTAAGGAGACGAGGATACAATTTGTGCCTTCCATGTGTCTGCATGAAGATGTGTCCATGTTGTATGCCTCGGGAAGATGTGGGACGGACTGCTCATACTCCTCGTGATTATGGTTCCTCTTCACAACCTACGATACATTATAGTATAAATCGAAATCAGCGAAATCTACAAATTTACTTTTAAAGTAAATTCATACCGCAGTTGCTGTTGAATAGGAAGACAGTTTAGAAGAAACTGATCACATTTTCTGAAACACAATCAACACTGTATATTATATACACACAGAGAAATAAAAGGTGTTCTTGGGGAGTAAAACAAAATTGGAAAAATAGGGCGCTCCTATTACACCTTTTAGGGAGTAAAACACGGAAAAAGGTATATTTGAGGGATGTAATTTTACACCCTATTTTAGTCAGACGAGCTCTGATTGGTCAGTGCATATGCGCATGCGCTACAGCAATGGCGCATTGTGTCAATATAGGTACTGCCAATTTTTTTTTTTTTAAAGCATAATTCACATATTTTAGTCAAGTTAGGGGAATTATCATGTTTCATTTGGGCATATTATTTTTGTGAAAGCTATCCGATCAAGAAGAAGGGGTTGTACCGGAGGTTATATTTGATAATATAATGAAATTAGCAGAAGTGTTGTTTTACTAACTAGTACATAATTGCCTTCTTATACGTGTTTGTAAAGGGAAGATATTCGGTAAGGCATGACTGTATATTTAGGAAATTCCATTACATTTGAATCGATACGTCCAGCCATAGGTTAGTTCTTACAGTCTGCACTTGTGTTGAGTTCACACTAATTGTTGTTTAGGTAAGCATTTAAGCCTTTCAACATATAACTCGACATTCTGGTCTGATTTCTTTAGAGCAGTGAAACGTAGACAATCAGTGACTGTTAGGTGATCATACGTCAACGGCACATGCAGTGGCGTACGCAGGATTTTTTTCAAGGGGGGGGGGGTTAAAATCAAAAGGGGGGGGGTTTCCCAAAAAACATACATAAAACATACACATAAAAAAAACTCGAGGGGGGGGGGGGGTTTAACCCCAAAACCACCCCCTGCGTACGCGCCTAGGCACATGATAATATGTGCAGCATACACCGGGGCGGGCCTCTCGTCACTCGAAAATCATTCTTAAAAGACAGTTTGTCCTGGGTAAGTTTTAAGTTTTAGCAGTTTGAATGGGGGTGACTTTACTTTCTCAAGGTTATTCAGGACATAAAGAAATCAGGTGGCGTTTCACAAAGCCCTTTTTCAATGACAAATGACAAAAATCAGTGACAAATCTACTGATAACCAATCAGAAGCAAGGATTTCACTAGCTTATAGCAAAAACTGTCATTTGGTGACTGATGACAAATGTTGTGAAACACCACCAGGATATTTTATTTGTCTGTACCTACTCCTGA